CCTAAAACCCTAAACCCTAACCCTAACCCTAACCCTAACCCTAACCCTAACCCTAACCCTAACCCCCTAACCCTAACCCTAACCCTAACCCTAACCCTAACCCTAACCCTAACCCTAACCCTAACCCTAACCCTAACCCTAACCCTAACCCTAACCCTAACCCGATCGAGCTCCTCTTGATTGAGCTCCTGTCGATTGCGCTCCTGTCGATTGCACTCCTGTCGATTGCGCTCCTCACTGCTGCTCATCTCTCGATTGCGCTCCTCTTCATTGCGCTCCTCTTCATTGCACTCCTCTTAATTGCGCTCCTCTCAATTGCACTCCTGTCGATTGAGCTCCTCTGAATTGTGCTGCTCCAGCAGTGGAGCGCTCCTCTCTCCTTCTCTGCTCTCGATTGCGCTCCTCTCTACAGCGCTCCTGTCGATTGTTCTGCTTTCGATTGTGCTACTGTCGATTGCTCTTCTCTTGATAGCGCTCCTCTTGATTGCGCTCCTCTTAATTGTGATCCTCTTGATTGCGCTCCTCTTGATTGCGCTCCTCTCTGCTGCTCTTCACTCGATTGCGCTCCTGTCAATTGCGCTCCTCTCCAATGAGATCCTGTCGATTGCGCTCCTCTTGATTGCGCTCCTGTAGATTGCGCTCCTGTCGATTGCTCTGCTCTCGATTGCGCTCCTGTCCATTGTGCTGCTCTTGATTGAGCTCCGTGCTGTTATCAATTGCGCTCCTCTCTCTTCCTATGCTCTCGAGTGAGCTCCTGTCGATTGCACTCCTCTCGATTGCGCTCCTCTCGATTGCACTCGTCTTGATTGAGCTCCTGTCGATTGTGCTCCTGTCGAATGCGCTGCTCTCTCCTGCTCTGCTCTCGAGTGAGCTCCTGTCGATTGTGGTCCTCTTGGTTGCACTCCTCTCATTTGCGCTGCTGCAGCAAAGTGAGAGCTCCTGTCGATTGAGCTCCTCTCTCTTGTTCTGCTCTCTCTAGCGCTCCTCTCCATTGCAATCCTGTTGATTGCGCTCCTATCGATTGTGCTCCTGTCGATAGACCTCCTCCATCCTGCGCTCCTGTTGATTGCTCTCCTGTCGATTGCTCTCCTGTCGATTGTGCTCTTGTTGATAGAGCTCCTCTCAGCTGCTCTGCTCTCTCCTGCGCTCCTGTCGATTGCGCTCCTCTCTCTTGCTCTGCTTTCGATTGCGCTGCTCTGAGTTGTGCTTCTGCAACAGAGTGTGCACTGTCAAGCAGTGCGCTCCTCTTAATTACGCTGTCCAGCAGTGCGCTCCTCTAGATTGTGCTGCTGCAGCAGAGTGAGCGCTCCTCTTGATTGCGCTCCTCTCTGCTGCTCTGCTCCCGATTGCGCTCCTCTCGGTTGCTCTCCTCTCGATTGCGCTCCTCTCAATTGTGCTCCTCTCTCTCGCTCTGCTCTCTCTTGCACTACTGTCGATTGCGCTCCTCTCTCCTGCTCTGCTCTCAATTGCGCTTTTGTCTCTTGCTCTGCTCTCGTTTGCGCTCCTGTCAATTGCGCTCCTCTGCAATGAGCTCCTGTCGATTGCGCTCCTGTCGATTGCTCTGCTCTCGATTGCGCTCCTGTCCATTGTGCTGCTATTGATTGAGCTTTGTGCTGTTATCAATTGCGCTCCTCTCTCTTCCTATGCTCTCGAGTGAGCTCCTGTCGATTGCGCTCCTCTCGATTGCGCTGCTGCAGCAGAGTGCTCGCTCCTGTCGATTGCACTCCTCTTGATTGTGCTCCTGTCGATTGCTCTCCTGTCTATTGAGCTCCTGTCCATTGAGCTCCTTTCGATTGAGCTCCTTTCAATTGTGCTCCTGTCGAATGCACTCTTGTCGATTGCGCTCCTCTCTGCTGCTCGTCTCTAGATTGCTCTCCTGTCGATTACGCTCCTCTCTCTCGCTCTGCTCTCTCTTGCGCTACTTTCGATTGTGCTCCTCTCTCCTGCTCTGCTCGTGAGTGCGCTCCTCTCGATTGCGCTGCTGCAGCAGAGTGCTCGCTCCTGTTGCTTGCACTCCTCTTGATTGTGCTCCTGTCGATTGAGCTGCTGTTGATTGCACTTTTGTCGATTGCGCTCCTGTAGATTGCGTTCGTCTTGATTGCGCTCCTCTTGATTGTGCTCCTGTCGATTGCGCTGCTCTTGATTGTGCTGCTCCAGCAGAGTGAGCGCTCCTCTCGATTGCGCTCCTCTCTCTTGCTCTGCTCTCAATTGCGCTCCTCTCAATTGCGCTACTCTCGATTGCGCTCCTGTCGATAGAGCTCCTGTCGATTGCACTCCTCTCTCTTGCGCTCCTGTCGATTGCTCACCTCTCTCCTGCACTCCTGTCAATACAGCTCCTGTCGATTGTGCTCCTCTCTATTGTGCTCCTCTCTATTGTGCTCCTCTCTATTGTGCTCCTCTCTATTGCGCTCCTCTCTCTTGCGCTCCTCTCTCTTGCACTCCTGTTGATTGCACTCCTGTCAATTGCGCTCCTCTCTCTTGCTCTGCTCTCGATTGAGCTCCTCTCGATTGCACTTCTGTCGATTGCGCTCTTGTCGATAGAGCTCCTCTCTACTGCTCTGCTCTCGATTGCGCTCCTGTAGATTGCTCTCCTGTCGATTGCGCTCCTGTCGATGGGTCTCCGGTCGATTGGTCTCCTGTCAATTGAGCTCCTCTCTTCTGCTCTTCTTTCGATTGCGCTCCTGTCGATTGCGCTCCTCTCTGCTGCTCTTCACTCGATTGAGCTCCTCTCGATTGCGCTGCTCTTGATTGAGCTCCTGTCGAATGCGCTGCTGCAGCAGAGTGAGCGCTCCTCTTGATTGCGCTCCTCTCTGCTGCTCTGCTCCCGATTGCGCTCCTCTCGGTTGCTCTCCTCTCGATTGCACTCCTCTCAATTGCGCTCCTCTCTCTCGCTCTGCTCTCTCTTGCGCTACTGTCGATTGTGCTCCTCTCTCCTGCTCTGCTCGTGATTGCGCTCCTCTCGATTGCGCTGCTGCAGCAGAGTGCTCGCTCCTGTCGCTTGCACTCCTCTTGATTGTGCTCCTGTCGATTGAGCTGCTGTTGATTGCACTTTTGTCGATTGCGCTCCTGTCAATTGCGTTCGTCTTGATTGCGCTCATGTTGATTGTGCTGCTCCAGCAGAGTGAGCGCTCCTCTCGATTGTGCTCCTCTCGATTGCGCTCCTCTCGATTGCGCTGCTCTCAATTGCGCTGCTCTCAATTGTGCTGCTCTCAATTGTGCTGCTCCAACAGAGTGTGCGCTGTCCAGCAGTTCGCTGATGAGATTGCGCTTCTCAGATTGCGTTGCTCCAGCTGTGCATTGCTCTTGAGCTGTGCGTTGCTCTCGAACAGTGCGTTGCTCTCGAGCTGTACGCTGCTCAGATTGCGTTGCTCCAGCAGAGTGTGCGTTGCTCCAGCTGTGAGTGCGTTGCTCCAGCTGTGCATTGCTCTTGAGCTGTGCGTTGCTCTCGAACAGTGCGTTGCTCTCGAGCTGTGCGCTGCTCAGATTGCGTTGCTCCAGCAGAGTGTGCGTTGCTCCAGCAGAGTGTGCGTTGCTCCAGCTGTGCGTTGCTCAAATTGCGCTGCTCCAGCGAAAATAAATTTGTTTGCGTTGCAGCACTTGAGCAGTGTAAATTTCGAGTGCGTTGGGGGTCAACGCAGTCGCGTGAATTTCGAATTTGGCGGAGCGCAATTGTGCGTTGCCCGCAAGCAAGACACACCGGCTAGGGCTAGGTCTTCGATACCTGTGCTCCTTCCATATGAACCCATGACCCTCCTGCTTCTTGAGCATCCAGGCCCATGACAAGTTGCTCCATTGAATTGACGCAGGCTGGTCCGGGTTGCAAAACTTCCATGCTTTGTGTTCGTCGTCATACCCAATCATGATGGCTGGCTTTGCTCTAGCCCTGTACTTGCCTTGCTGGTCCTTCTGTTGAACATGAACCCATGCCAAGCATCCGAAGACTCGCAGCTGCTGGGCCAGCTTGTGCGCGGTGGTTCCATAAAAGGCCTCATGGGGGATGGTTTTGGTGGCTGATGGGGTAAGGTTCATCATGTGTGCTGCTGCTGTGATTGCATACGGCCACAACTCTCTGGGGCAAGCTCGACCAATCAGCATCAAGCGCATCTTTTCTTGGACCGACCTGATTGCTCTCTCCGCCCATCCATTTTGGACGCTGATCCCCGGGACACTCTTTTGCCACTTGAAACCCTCTTGAGTTTGCCAGTCTTCGGCTGCTATGCTGCACCATTCTCCTCCATTGTTGCTGCGGAGTGTTTTGAGTTTCCTGTCCGTTGCCCATTCCATCCTGGCTATCCACCTCCTCAGCGCTGTGAGTGCAGCACTCTTTGTGCAGAGTGGTTCCACGTAGATCAGAGAGGAGAAGTCGTCCACAGCAATTAGTGTGTAGTGGTAGTTGGCATGTCCTTTGAAATCTGTCATCAGGTCTATGTGTACCAGCTCTAATGGTGCCTCCATTCTTTCCAACTCTGATTGGCCCATCCGTGCTCGAGTCTGTTTTCCTTGGCTGCACGCATTACAGCGCTTTGACTCATGTTCCATTTCCTTGTCAGTACCTAGGTAATGAGCCCGGATTTGTCTCGTTTTGTCTCGTCCTGGGTGTCCGAACCTCTCATGCCATAGGTAGCTGTCTCGATGCTTCATGTCCTTATTGCCCTCTGGGGCATTATCTAGTTTTCCTGTGTTCTGGTTGTCTGCTGGGACGTTGTCTGGTGTTCCTGTGTTCTGGTTGTCCTCTGGGACATCATCTCGTGTTTCCTCCAGTTCCAAAGCCAGTGCTTGTCCTCACACTTTGAAGTGACCCTGTCTTCTGTCCCTTTTGAATTGTACTTGGGTACCATCGTTCTGCTTTATGGTAGTTCCAAATTCGTCAAAGATTACTCGTGCACCATTCTCGATCAAGCCTTGTACAGACAATAAATTAGCATTCAGTTTCGGTACATAAAGCACATCCAATAGTTGGATGGTGGCCTCACCAACCCGAAGGGAGGCATCTCCTATAGCCTTCACCTGAAGCTTTTCGTCCCCTGCCGTACTGATTTGGCCGACCTTGTTCATCGAGGTGAGCAGCATTCTCTCATCATTTACCATATGATGGGTTGCACCTGAATCGATGATCCAGGTGTCACATGCTGATCACTTGCCCCTGTCGACTGCTAGGAAGGTGCACCCGAGTTCCTAGTGGTTCACCTCTTGTGTCATATGGGCAACAGGTTCGCTTGTGCCTGGTGCGTTTGTGCAATTTTGAGCAATGTGATTTGGTCCTCCACAAGCATAGCACTTTGGAGGGGCCAAGGGATTGTGAGGATCATGCCTGCCCCTGGGTCCTTGCTCCGCCTGGTTGGCACTCCCCTGTTCCGCACTTGTGGCGACCCTTGCTGCTCCTCTAATACGGCCAGTGATCTCACCATCCTGCTGTTTCTTGGCAAGTGCGTGGTAGGCTTCGTCATACTTACAGTCTGGTCTGGCCGTCTTCAGTGCATCGACGGTGTTGGCATAGAACCAATCTTGAGCCATGCAGCGATAGAGAGTTGATTTCTTGAGGTCCTCGTCGAAACACTTTCCGAGGCGTGCCACATCATTCCAGATCGAATCGAGTTCCTTGCCTAGCCTGACAATGTCTCGATTGTGCAAGCGCACTGTGTGGATATGATCCTGCAGTCCTGCTCGCTTTACAGCGTCGTTTAGTGTTAGTGCCTTCTTGAGTTTGGCATAGAGTGTGCTGCCAAGTTGAATTTCTTCATCCGCCCCTCTGACGGTGTAGGTGTCGATGCGGCTATCCAGGCTGTTATTGCAGCAGGTGTGGATGAGGCCCACGAGTGCCTTGTCTAGGTCTTCATCGTATTCCTCGCTCCCGGGTACAATGGTACCGTACAGGATTTCCTTCACATTGTGCACTCTCTGGAGGCAGTCGATAAAGGTGGGTTCCCAGGTGTGCCAATTGCTATCGCTGAGCTTCTTGATGTGAGCAATGGAGCTCGATACATCCTTGGGGATCTTTTCGGTCTCCCCGCATGGAGCTTGGTTGCTAATGTTGACCAGACCCATGGCCCGTACTATTGCTTCCTCTGCTGTTAGTGCTGGGTTTGCTAACTGGAGGATTCTGACTACCTGCATGAGCCATCCTTCCTCTCGTCCATTTCCTGCAGTCGCTTGATCATCATCTCTTCCCACCTGTCCAGCTCTTGTCGATGGTGGCATTGCACCAAGCTTCAGACTCTTAATCAGTTGAAGGTAGTTGAAGAGTTTTTGTTGATGATGATGGTAAGAGAGAGAGAGCAAGAGAGCGAGGAGTCTATATATATACAAAAGAAGAGTGGCAGAGAGCCGCATTGACTGCGGAACATAACAAAGCATTTGTCTTGAGTAGGTTGTGACACATGTGGTCCATGCTAAGATGCTCAGGCCTTTTACTCGGCCGTAAGCACTACCTTCACTGTCTCTATGCTTTGTGTAGCTTTATCTACTTCAACTTGTTGCTCCAGCTGTGCGTTGCTCAATTTGCGCTGCTCCAGCAAAAATAAATTTGTTTGCGTTGCAGCACTTGAGCAGTGTAAATTTCGAGTGCATTGGGGGTCAACGCAGTCGCGTGAATTTCGAATTTGGCGGAGCGCAATTGTGCGTTGCCCGCAAGCAAGACACACCGGCTAGGGCTAGGACTACAATTGTGAGTATATATAGCTTTGTATCATCCATAAGAGTACCAAATAGTCTTGAGCAAGCATAGTGCTAGTTTCCCAGTGCTTCTCAGTTACCTCTCCTGTAGTGTCTCTGGACTGCTCTTCCTGCAATACTCTTAAGATACTTTTTCCACTATGTCATGCTTCCTGTGTTTCTGAGTCACCTTGTGAATAAGCATGATCTGGTGAATGCTATTCTCGGCAATCGCCAATTTGGCTATTGCGCTTGCTCTAGCGAGTTGCGTGCTTCGGCGATTGGAACGCCTAGAGATTTTTCGTCGTATCTTCAACTGATTCACAATTCCATCCGAGTCTGATAAAAAATCTATTGCGATAGTAAATCAAGGTCGAGAAATTAGACGCTGACAAGCGAGCACTTTATGACACCTTTCTGAAGCTAAGTGTTGGAAGGCGTCCATACGTTAGTCTTGAGACCGGAACCACCACTCTTCCTGCTCTCCTCGAAGGACTTGAGCAAAGTAGAAAGCTCCTTGCCACTGCTAGATTGTCGTATCTTGGGCGACAACGGTTTCTCGGGAGCGTGGAATTTGCTCAGAGCAGGTGCGTCGGATGAGAGTTGCTGTTGCATGCCTGCTTGACCACGCAAGCGGGCCTCCTCAATGGTCATCTGGGGGAAGGACGAAACGCGTGAAGACGTCGCGGTGGTGTTCTGCTCCTCCTTCTCCGCCTCTTGCTTGACATCTTCACTGGTGGCCTCTGTCACTGCTTTGTCGTCAGTACCGAGCACTTTCTGCGCCATCTTGGCTGGAAGACTCGCCGCCTTGGTCTCTGCTTCGGCTCCACTAGCTCGACGCTCTTCGCCAGAGGGCCTACCATCAAGCTCCCAGTCTTCATCGTCAGCGGGGAGTCCGCCTGCCTCTGCATCATCTTCGTCATCAGTGACATCGCCGTCCGAGCGTGAGTGCGGCAAGGATACAATCTCATTGATGCCCCCATCCACGGCACCTGAAGAAGTACTGGGAGTCATGGTTCCCAGTGTCGACTCTTTGCCTTTACCACTCGATGAAGCAGCCTCTGTTTGCGACGATGATGCGGCCGCTGCGCTTGCAGACTGCTTCTCTCCCGTTGCTGGATCGGCCGCCTCACCTTTTGCGGTCTGCATCTTACCGCCTGCCATCTCCTTGTTGACCGCCGCCTCGCTGCTCTTGTTGGAGGAGGTTCGTGATTTGCCTCTCCTGTCGAGCGCGGTGCGTACAAAGTGGCGGGCACTTTGCAACGCCTTCCTACTGGCATCCAAAAACAAGAAAGCTTGAAAGACGTGAACGCAGTCTTCGTACAGCTCGTGGCGAACGGCGACGCCCGAAAGAGAAGCCTTGTGGGCGAGCAAAGTGACCTCGTCTCGCAGCACTTCAGCATCTCCGCATTGGATGAGCAGCGGCGGCAGACCGTGCATGTCGCCAAAAAGTGGTGAGACGTAAGGATGAGTGAGGTATTTGTCGATGTTCTCACCGAGGTAAGCCCAGACTGGGTTCATGTGATCGCCTGACTTGGGCATGGGTAGGTAGTCGAATTCGGCGTTGGTATCCCAAGAATCGCAGGACATGGTCAGGTCGACCCAGGGACTGAACAGCATGGCACCGCTAGGGAGCGGGTAGTCGTTGTCTCGCAGATAGTACATCAGAGCAAGTGCCAATCCACCACCAGCACTGTCAGCACCAAGGACGATGTTGCTGGGCGGGATGCCGAGGTCGTCGGTGAGACGGAAGTAGGAAGCGACGCAGTCGTGAAGAGCGCCTGGGAACTTGGTGTCGGGAGCGAGACGATAGTTGATACCAAAGACACGACACTCGGTGTACTTGGAGAGCGAGATGGTGAGGGGACGATGGGTAGCAGCGGACATGACAAAGTAGGCACCACCGTGAATGTAGAGGATGATGCGTTCTTTGCCCTTTTGCTTGCCACTTCGCCACTCGGCCTGTAGTCGTCGCCAGGTCTGCTTGCCAACAACCCATTCGGCGCTGATCTCTCGCTTGCCATCTTCGGCAGCATCTGCTTCGGCGAGGAAACCACGAAGTCCACGCTTCTTGACGCGAAAGGTGACCGGAGTGATGAGGCCGTCCTTTGGTGTCGGAAGGAAGGCGCCCAAATCAAAGAAGCCCTGAAGACCCTGGATGGAGGCGAACTCGGAGTATTCGGCGATATCACGCAGAACACGGGTGAAGATAGAGGTTTCGATACCCCATGACTTCTTTGGGGGACCGTAGATGGCGTGCGAAGCGACGGCAGTGCCGATCGTGACGCCCTGCGACACAAGAAAGGGCAGATAGCGCCATGCGTTGGTGAAGGTGAGCTTGGTAGGCTGCGTTACCTTGGCCGCTGGGTTGAGACGTGCCGAGGCAGGCACCTCGGTCTTCTTGTATTGGTCTAAAAGCGAGTTGAGCGTCTTGGTCGACTGGTTGTCTTTTCGATTGACAGATCGACTGGAGCGACGAGGTTGGTTGGCTGACGCGGCGGATGGCGCTGGTGGGCGGACGGTGGCTTGGGAATGACCAGTGGATGAGGTCGAAGGGCTTGCCTGGCCATCTTGGACAACGTCACTGTTTTTCTTGCCTTCCGAATCTTGGTCGCTCTTCTGCGGGGTTGAAGTTGGGTCTCGACCGCGATTCATGGTAGACTCGACTGCATGCGCGACTGCTGCAGTGGCAGCGCCACCTCCTCCCTGTGAAGCATTGGACTGCGAGGAAGAGGCGGATCGTCCCCAGCTCTCGGGCATAGTGACCATCATAACGGTCAAGTCGAGAGCCATGGCTGAGTCACCACGCTCTTTGTTCTTGGCGTGGTCTGGGGATGTTTCTGCGTCGGCATCTATTGGAGAGGGTGAGAGCGAGACCTCGCTATGAGACTGGAGGTATGTTGCGATACTGAGCAGCGACTGCTGCTTGTGAGGCAGAGCATCGCCGTTCTGTTGACGCAAAGTGTGAAGACGTTGGAGGTGGTTGATGGCTTCTACGGCAGTGACGGCCTTGCGAAGCTTGCGCATAGCGGTGAGGTTGCGAAGAGCACCATCCTTGAGACAGGCGCCCTTGGCGCTCTCCTCGTGTAGTGGAGGCAAGTCGGCAAGCCAAGGATGAGCGAGAGCCTCGAGTGCTGTCATGCGCTTGTCTGCGGGGCAGAGACAACGGAGGATGAAGTCCTTGGCTGTATCTGAGACCTCGGACCAGTACTCTGGCTCGAACTGCACCTCCATCTTTAGAATCTGTTGAAAGAGAGAAGGTTGATCCTGGCCGTAGAAGGGCGTGTAGCCACCGAGGAGTGCGTAGGCGATGACACCGCACGACCAGATATCGACAGCGGCATTGTATCCCTTGCCAAGCAGTACTTCGGGCGCAACGTATTGCGGGGAGCCACAGGCTGTCATGAGGAGACCCTCATCGGGGATAAAACGAGAGAGACCAAAGTCAGAGATGACGACATTGCTAGGATCGGACTTGTCGCGCAGAAGGATGTTTTCGGGCTTGAGGTCGCGATGAATGATGTCGTGCTCGTGGAGGTAGGCAACGCCTTGGAGGATCTGCTTCACAATGTGACGAGCGTCGAGCTCATTGTAGTGGACCTTTTCGACGAGTCGGTCAAAGAGCTCACCACCTCTGCAAAGGTCGGTGACGATGAAGACACCTTCTCTTGTCTCGAAGAGATCCCACATCTTGATGATGTTGGGATGTTCGACTTTTCCAAGGATGGTGATCTCTTCTTTGAGCATCTTCTCGTTGCTATCCTTGAGTGGCTTCTTGGCAATGATCTTGAGCGCGCGCTGTTCGCCAGTGGACCTTTGAACTACAGCTTTGACGACAGCGAATGAACCTTGGCCAAGAATCTGTGGAAGCACCTCGTACTTGTGGGAGAGTTGTAGAGGAAGGAGCGGTGTGCCATCCTTTTCGATCTCCTTGAACCAGGAACGGAAGGCATGGTGGATGTGTGAGCCGACCATCTTGACCTGCTGTCGCTTTGAAGAGGTGCGACGGTGAGATGAGCGAGCTGGACGCCCTGTTGTGTTGTCGGTTGAATCGGGAATGGTGGGAGATGTAGAAGCGGAAGAAGTTGGATTGCGGGGATCTGAGCGAGAATGATCGTCTCTGGAATTGCGCCTTCGTAAGAAAGCTGAGAGGCGTTGTCTGGGAGAAGCAGGAGACTCGGATGTAGCAGTAGCTTGATTGGCGGTCGGTTGCACGAGAGATGCTTCGTTGGACGGTGAGCACCCAGATGACGAGTGTAGAGCAGTGCGGAGCGGAGAAAGAAGGTGAAGATGTGCTGCCAGTGATCGATGGATGCCTCGCAAAAAGAGCTGCCTGCTCGCTTCGTCTGCTGAGGACTCGTGGGCTTTGGTGTCAGTCTCGGAAGGACTAGATGATGTCAAGGTGTTGGCAGACTCTTGAAGCGGAGGAGACGTAGAGAAGTGAACTGCTCGAGATCGTGGCGGGGGAGAAGGGCAAGGATGGGCAGCAAAAGTTTGCTCTTGGTGAGGTATAGGGCTGGATGTGATGGAGGAACGACGTTGAGATGTAGATGGGTTGCCGGCCATACTCCGAGTAAGAAGGAAAGCTGTTAGGGAGAGAGAAGATTCACCTTCCTCAAGCTTACCCAGCGGTGAAAGAGTGAGAAATGTGGACGTGAGGAGAGTGGTCTCCCAGAGATTAACGTGAGAGAAGAGCGAAAAGAGACGGAGCCGAGCTTGAGCAAGCCTGCCAGCGTGAAGGTCAAAGTGGTGAAAGCGAGTGAAAAGGAGAAAGCGAGTGAAAAGGAGAAAGCGAGAAACTGCTGCTGCTTTCTTCTGCTGCTTTCTTCTGCTGCTTTCTCTGGCTGCTTTTCTTTGGCTGCTTTTCTTTGGCTGCTGTTTTGGCCTGTGCGTGAAAGTGTGTGACGTGCACCAACAACACATGACATCACATCACATCACATCACATCACATCGCACCGCATCGCATCGCATCTCATCTTTGCATCGGCACACAAAGTCCCCTTTTTTTAAAATTTTTTTGAGCCTGTTGAAAAGTAAAGACATTTGGTCCCGATACCTGGCAATCGGGGAGAGTCTGAGCACGATGTCACTGCTGCTAGAAGACAGAAACATATATACTCAATTGACTAAGAAGAGAACATGGCTGCCTGACATATATACAAAGTGCTGGTTCATCCCATATGTGGCAGTATCACCCTCAATGACAGAGTACAACAACGAGCGGGACCCAATAGCAGCCGATCTCCAATTAGCTTGGATCTATCCGATCCCCGATTCGACCTGCTGGATCGTCATCTTCAGCAGAGCCTGCCCAAATTGGCCCAACTGCGACAGAGTATGTTCAACGGTGACTTATCTGCCTTAGGGGGTATCAAAGTTTTTGCGATTTTAAAAATGCGGGTTTTTTCGAGAGTGCGTTTTTGGAGGGAATTTGAACCCCCCCCCCAAGGAAAAGCGGGTTTCCAAAAACGTGATGAAATCATATGGCCAATAAAATGCATAACCTAACAGTGGTCATGTTACTTATCGCTCTCATCGCTATTACCCATTGCTTGCTTATATCTTGCTTTCCTCTTCACACAATGCACTCAATGTAATGTTTCATATGGTGGTGAGAAGAATTGTATTGAACAGAAGAAGAGAGAGTGCCTGTCAGATTGAGAATGGTTGTGTCAAGACTTGCTCCTGTCTCCGAGCTGATGCGCTTTGAGTCATGGCAATGTAGTCCACAGTAGTCCTCTCATGACATCAAGACAATGCAGTAGTGTCTTCCTCATTGCGCCCAGTGGATCTGAACAGCACCTGGAACAAACCCTCTCAAAGATCATGTGCAGCAGAACTTCGAAGTCTTGACACTGCATACTGTGACATTCCTTGTGTTGCAGTGGCAAGATCCAGTTCATATTCCTGCTGATTTGTGCATCTTGTCCTCCTGAGCTCTTGTGTATCACTGGCATCAAGTTGGAGGCTTTGAACCACCTCACTCACCTCATCCTCAGAGAAAGAGGGCAACAGCAGGTCGGCAATATCAGCAGGACAGTCATATTGACTTGCAAAGGTGTGGGCAACAATGCAGGCTTGGATCATCTCGGCAGCAGTGATGCAGTCCTTGAAATGGTAGATGTTACCACGATAGCCTGTAAGGCACTGGAAGCAGTTCTTCAGGTATGCAATGGCATGTTTGGCTCATACTTGGACTTGAGAGAGCATGTAGTTGAAGTGTCGAAGGTCTCAATTCTTGTCAGCAGCAATGTGAGAGAATGGTCCAACTGTGAAGGCAGAATGGCCATATCCACCATCAATCCAGATGAACTCACCTTTGTCAAGGTACAGGCAAGGCTTCTTCAGGATGTTGCTGCCTGAGGCCCAAACCTTCGAATCCTGAACACTGCCAGGCTGTCCAACAACTGATTCGACAATCTGCAGTGAGTGTGGCAGGATCACCAGCACTACATTGATGCTGTGGAAGCCTTTGTAGCAGAAGTGCTCTCGACTGAGCACTCCTGGCTTCCAGGCAAGAGGGATGTGTGTGCCATCCACCACAAGCCAGCCCTTACCCCACTCTTCAACCCCAGTTGTATTGTGCACCCAGGCAGAAGCATGTTGTCTCTCTCCCTCTGAAGCAAACTGCATGACCTCGTTGTTTAGCTCAAGGAGGCCAGCAACTGTGTGATTGGTGTATCCAACAATGTGTCAGGGGTCTCGTGCCTGAAATCCAGGTCGGTCTGTCGAGACACTCGGTGACTATCAAACTGTGTGACAGCTATTGTCTCGGTATCGGTGACTATCAAGTTGTGCAGTGACAGCTGGTGGCGTTCGTGGTATATACTATCATAGGTTTCGGCTGACCTCTGTGGACACTCCATTCAGGGGTAGCTTGGCATGATCAATATCAATGTTATGATGACACCAAGGTCTGGTGTGAGTGTTGATGATGATGAGGTTGATGGTGTTGGTGATGAGATTGGTGATGTCGATGATAATGAGGTTGATGGTGTTGGTGATAAGGTTGGTGGCATCAACACGAGTGTCCAGTGTGTTGACTTGATGCTTGAAGTGATCCCCGGACCGCAGTGGACTACTGCCTTCGGTTCTATCTATATCTGGACTGCTAACCTGCTATGGGCGCCTTCGGATGCCAGGTAGTGGTGATACAACACACACACTACAATGAGGAGCAACCTTGATAGATTGCTGCTATGCTGACTGTAACTAATGAGTACTTGTGTTTCTAAAGTATTGACTAGTTGTATGGTGAGTAGAGTGGATGAGGATCCACTCGACCTATTGATGATGAGAAAGCATGGTTATATACCTCTTCTTAGCATCGCCAACGATGCTGCTCCTGCTCTCTCTCCAGAGAGTACCTTCTTCATCGAGTACTGCTCAGGGGCCTCTCCTGCTTGGCACCCCTGTGCCTCTTGAGCTGTGTCAACTCCTTCGACACTGCTCCTCCTCCTCATGACCTGATGTCACCCCTTCGACACTGCTCCTCCTCCTCATGACCTGGTGTCGACTCCTTCGACACTGCTCCTCCTCCTTTGATCAGTGACAGTTCCTTTGGCTCTTGTCTCTTGAGCCCCTGAGTGGTAACCATCTGCATGCTCCTTGAGCTTGGTCCTCTTCGTGGCTGTGCCTGTTCCTTGAGCTTGGTCCTCCTCGTGGCTGTGCTTGGCCCTCCTTTGCATGTGAGTCCATAGGAGTCCATGGTCTCCATGGAGACTGCACTACGCTCTCTACTGATCTCGACTAGATCTTCGATACCTGTGCTCCTTCCATATGAACCCATGACCCTCCTGCTTCTTGAGCATCCAGGCCCATGACACAATGCTCCCAACACCGCAACCACATTGCAAAGCAGCATCACATTCACCACCTCCATTTCCAGAATGGCCAAGTCTGTACAGAGCCACTGAAAGAATCTCTTGCACTTTGTTGAGAGACATCACACCTGAGCTGCTGTAGTTCCACCAGAAAGCCTCTGTTTGCTGGAGTCAGATGGTGAGATTGTTGAATGCTTCAGGCAACATATGAACAAGTCCATGATACATCCTATGATTGCTTGATTCATACCTGTTGAGAAGGTGGATAAGCTTATCAGCATGGCCAAGAGGAGTGCAACATGTGATTGTGTACCTTTGCTTGCATATGAAAGTGTACAAGCAGACAAGGTGTTGTGAGAGCAGAATTGGGTTGCCATCATTGTCCAAGTTGTCGATGTCAGTGCTGCAGGAGTGCTGCACTCTGTTGGTGTTTTGGATGACCTCCACAGGTATAGAGAGCTCGAGAGTGCAGACAATGTCATTGAGAATTACTTGCTTGTCGCTGTAGCACACCATGGCTGGAAAGAGGAAGGGAGTTGGAGAGGGAGCATGGAGAGGGGGGATGGAGAGGGGGGATGGAGAGGGGGGATGGCAGCAAGAGCGATGCCAAAAGGTTGCAGAGTGGAGTGGTGGTAGTAATGGAAGAGGTGTGAGAGTGAAAATTTTTGTTTAAATGCTTTTGAGCTCATTATGTGACTGTGCTGTGCATCATTTTTATTCACCTCATACTTGCACTCTACAGAAAAACACTCAGAAATGACTTTGCATTGAAACTGGATGATAGTACATGTAATGCTACAAGACAGGAAGATTGAATGAAGAGTCCATGTTGTTGTTGTTGCTGGTGTTCTGATGAGCATCCTGTTTGACGCTGGCCTGAGAAGCAAGGAGGCGCACCATCTCCATCACCATTTCATGATCACATGTGTGAACACATTCATTGCGCTCTTTCTCCTCCCTCTCGTGATGCAGGTGCATCTCCTTGCACTTGGTACGCTCAGCCTCCAGTATTTTCTCATGTCTGGTGCATTCCTGTTCAAGCTGCAGGCGGATCTGAAGGGTATCAATGGAAGAATGATAGAAAGCTTCAGCAAGTGTGTCGTGCTTGTGATCAAGGGCACCTCGCTTGCACTTGGTGCTGGGAGAGAGCTGGGCTGAAGATTGAGAAGAGGTGGAATCAGAGACATCCAAACTGCCAGCAGTGGAGGAAGGTGGTCAAGCCTGCAAAGGTGGAGGTGAAGGTGTGTTAAAGATGTCATCATCACCAGCACCAACAAAGGATGCACCAGAAGTGGATGCAACAGCAGCCAGGGGGTTGGTGGGTTTGATCAAGTTGAGAATAGGAGGCAAACCATGGCTGTGAGCACTGTGATCATACAGCTCACTGCCACAAATATCCATGGGTATGTCAGCTGAGCCATTTGAAGGCATGTCAGGCTTGTCATTGCTGGTGAAGTCAAGACTGGGAGTTGTGATAAGTGCTGCAGGATCAGCATTGAATTGGCCATTCATCATCTCGTGCATCCTTTCAAACCAAGCATACTTTGTTGACAGGGCAATGCAAGATATGTAGGACTGTTTAAAATTGAAAGTATGAATCAGCATCCAAGCATACTATTGCAAGCAATGAAGATCACCAAAACTTACCAGGTTGGATGCATCCATGTCCTCCAGCAGTGTACCAGCTCCAGTGGGTGAAAGCTTCTTCTTCTCCCTGTAGTATGTCTCTAGCAGCCACCTCAGCTTGGACTTGATGCAATTGGGATCGACAGATGCACCTGGGAAAATCATCTTGGAGATATCCTGAAAAATGGGATGTTTGTGAAGTTTGAGGGCTGGATCGCTCTCAGCCGATTCTCGAGATGGCAGCAGAGTGCACTGGTAGGAGTTGTTGTTGTAGAGGATCATGACAAGGTGAAGAACATTGGCACCTGACCATGTCAAGTTCTTCTTGCCTGTGGCAGATCTAGAGGCTCAAGTTGGACAGGAAGTGTGGATGTCAGGAGCACTTGTAGAACCAGATTGAGACAGCACAGGCATGCTTTCGGTCTGAGTTGCAGAGCTTGTAGGTGTAGTGGACTGGCATAACAACTCTGCAGAGATGTCACCAGAATCATCAGTGGAGGAGGTCATGTTGAATGAGCACAAGGAAGAGGGAGTGAGCAAAAGTGTGACAAGATTGAGGAAAGGAGAGAAGATGTGGAGTGATAAAAAAACCGCATTTTCGCAAACACGCCTCCTGAGCTGTGTTTTTGAAAATGCAGTTTTTTTTTCCCTTTGCAGAGCTTATGTAAGCTTTTGCGTTTTTTTGAAAAACGCACTCTTGAAAAAACCCAGGTTTTTAAAAACGCAAAAACTTTGATACCCCCTCTTGACAACACGTAGGAAAAGAAACTGAGAAGCTTTTTATGGGAAAATTGTTAAATTGCCTAACTCGAGTGAGTTCGCTTGCCAGCTCCTGGCTCAAAGCGTTGCGACGAAATGGAGTTCTGCGCAGTTGAGGAATTTTGTTTATGCAGTTATGTTGTTAATTCTATCTACTAGCTTCTATGTACATTATCATATATATACTTGGTAATCTCTTCTACATGTGCTAGCCTGTGTTGAGCCATTTGTTGTGTTGCTCCTGTGTTGTCACTTCCTGCATGTTAGTGTGACAATGCTTATGCATCCCACATGTGTTGCCACCTATATGTGTCTTTGCCTCATTGATGACTTGCTTATCTTCCATGGGCCCCGTGACGCTCCGCGGACCCTGTGAATCCCGTTGGAGTATCGACGCGTCTCCCTCAACTTGCGCTCACCATTGAAAAATTGCGCATCTATCCATTCGCACGATAAGTGCTCCACAAATTCACTCAAAACAGTCGCCGGTCATCAGTCACAACCAGAAGGCGGTTGCTCTCTCTATAACGCTTGCTGCTGCCTTCCACGCAACATCGCCCACATAAGCAATTGGTACACAGTGTCGTCTACAATGCAGTGCACTACTCTTCCTATCAGAACATCTATCAGAGGTATTTCCATTGCACCGTGAGCAAGAAGTGTAGCGAGCAACAGCGAAAGACCATGCCTAAAACACTGTCAAGAGCGAGAGGACAGGACCGGGAGCCATTCTACATTAGATCGACATGTCTGTGTGAGCAAACTAGGCCTTGTTCAGGGCAACCGTGGCTTGATACAAGCGTTCATCATGTCTCTCTTTGAGCATGTCAAAGCCGTGCAGCGAGCTTTCTCCTACCAGATCCTGTACGATCGCCTTGAACTTGTCTAGCTCGGTAGCAAGTGTGATCGCTGCCATACGTGCCGTAGTGTAGCGCAGATACATTGCGTCTTGCAACACACTCCAATCCAGCACGTCTTCTCCTTCCAACGCAGGTCCTTCTTCCTTATTGCCTTCTGCCAGTCCTTTCTTTGCCGCTGCATTTTTGCGCAGGATTGCATCTAATCTTCTGTTGCGCTCCCCATACTTGAAGTGATTTTCAAGCAACGAGAAGGATGCGTGGTTCAAACGCTCGCCGTTTCTCAATGCTTTCGACAGTAGGTCAAAGATCGTGCAAATCTCCGAAAGGTACTGTGGATCGAGAAGCGACGTCGAGGACGACATCATCAGCTGCCAGTCCATCCGCTCTCTCTTCGTTGGCACTGCGGCCTTTTTGCTTGTCACATCGTCAGCCGAGCTTGTGGCGTATCCATCGAATGCTCGTACCGAAGACAAGATGGCTCCTAGCGACTCGACGATCGTCGCATGCACAGAAGCGATCTCGACGTATCTTTCCGATGGCCATCTTCCTCGAATGTGAAAGTCCATCGATGCCATCCCAATCTGCATCGGATACGTCGCCACGCGCGCATTCACCGCCATGAACCGCGCTCGAATCACTGCTTCTCGCTCCTGCCACAATTTCGCAATCGCATCCGCCTTCGACGTCTTTTCGCCATTGCCGTCGATCTGATTTGCAAAGCCGGCACGTTCCCACTCCTGCTCATAGATCCGGTTTCTCGCGATCCAAGCCTCCATCACTTCGACGAACATCTCGTTCAGTTGCCGCGTCACTTTGGCCATGTTCTTGCGCAGCAGCATTCGACTCGATACGGGCCGAGGCAAGATCATCACGATCAGAGCTACAGCCATTCCAATGATGACGAGCAGCGTTCGCCTCCACGCCACCTCGATACCAATACCACCGTTGGCTAACACCTGCAAGTGTGTATCAATCCATGAGTATCCTACGATCAGTACCACCGAAACGTTGAGCATGATCGCTGGCAGCAAGAGCAACTTGGGCGCCCAGATACGCAAGAAGACGAGCGGCAGAAATCCGATGGCTGTGGCGACACCCAGACCGTAGGCATTCCCACGACCGTTTCCGGTCGAGATGTACCAGAGCACAGCTCCGTATAGCAAGCCTACCACCGTACCACCAAGACGCATGGCAAAAGTGAAGATGAGCTCGCCTCCAGAAAGTGCTGCAGCCGTCTGCGCCATGATCAAGGCCCAAATACCTCGATTCTGGTAGACAAAGTAAGCTGTGTTTGGAAGTACTGCTGTGATCCAGATCGCCAACGTAGCAATGCACATGCGAAGCGCATACATGCCCGTTGGTCCGCTGACAAAGTAGTACGTAGCGGCTATCCCCCTTCCGATGCGATGCATCACGCTCGTCGGAGCAAGTGCATCGGGATCACGCGCGTAATAGCGCTGCTTTCCAGCCCGCTTTGCCTTCTTACACTTGTCTGCGGCACTGTCTTTCGAGGTTGCAGCAGCCTTTTCCTCGTCTCTAGGTCGTGGAGAGCTTGAAGATGGGCACAGTCTGTCGGCATCGTCATTGTCTGCGTCCGAGTCGCTCTCTCCCTCGAGATGATCGGCTACAGCGGAAGTCTGGGCACTGCTTGCAGAGGAGGCGGTGTGAGCTCGATCTTGTCTGAAGTCGTTGTCCATGTCCTGCTCCCTGTCGAAGCCACTGTCTCCAGGGCCGAAGCGGTCCAGCCCGTCAGAAGACCCTCGCTTATCGCTGCTGAGAATGCCAGCTAGACGTCCGAGATGCTTGGGCCACCAAACGCGTTTCTTGTTGCCCGCTCGATCAGCGATGGTAAGCATCTCTGCATGAAGCTGTGAGACCGAATCGAGAACATCGATGAGATTGGTGACAAAGACAAGGCAGACATGCAACGGTCGAACTCCGGCCCGGAAGGATCGGATCGACTCTTTCGTCTGCAAAAAGTGTTGTTCGAGATCCAGATGGGGATGTAGAGCGCGAAAGTGCTCGGCATAAGGCTGCAACAGCTCGAATCTCTTATCGTTCAATAGACTTTTCCTGGCACCTTCCAAGCTGGACTTTGTCTCGTGAAGCTGAAGCAGGATTTCATCGATGGAGCGCTTTTGTCTCCAAGCAACATTAGCCTCAAAATAGCTTTGGATTGACACGATTGATTCGGTTGCAGCGTCGAGAGAGGGTTTCGCTACGCGGTGCAGGATGTTGAGCATCCTTGACATGGTGACCTGCTGCTGTGCCTCGCTCTGGAAGATATCCCTGCGAACGCGATGGATGGTATGAGTCTCGTGTAACTTGACGGGTTTCAGGCGACCTTTGGTGGGCAAGGCTTCGGTGCCATGTTCGCCGTCCAGGTCGTAGCCCTCTTGTACCTTTGAAGGATCCCAATCCTCGTCAAAGGTCTTGGGATCGGCAATGTTGAGTTCACGGTGTACAAGACGCCAAAAAGCGTTGAGAAGAACAAGTTGCAGATTGACCGAGCGTGTTTTTCTAAAGATGAGTTTCATGTCGTGAGCGTTGAAGTAAGAGCGATAGAACTCCATACCGAGGAAGGCGGTCATGCCATTGATGTCCGCCACCTGCTCTGCCAGGGCCATCCTGTTGAGCTTGACTTTGGCGAGTAGGCCGGCAGCAGTCTGGGCAGCGTGGTCCTCAGCTTTGAGGCTCTGCTGAAGATTGGCGCTCGATGGCTGTTCGAAAGGCGAACGTGCCGAAGGGTCGGATTGTGGACCGTCGTTCTTGGATGCATCTGAGAGTGCATCTGAATGGAGATGAAGCAAGTCTTTTGTGGAGGTGAGCATAGAGAGGAATCGAAGCTGCCATGCATAGGAGAGAGTTTCCGGGAAGATGAGAAGCTGAGAAGCGAGGCAGATTGCAAGCGAGCAGCCGATGGGGATCATAAAGATCTGGCCGAGGGTATATCTCGGGTAGGGGAAAAGAGGACCATAGGTGACCATGATATCCAGGACGATGAGCATGAAGATGGAAGCAATCTTGAGCTTGGGAAGCTTGACTTGTAAAACCGCACAGAAGTAGACGCCGACCATGAGAAAGACGCCAAAGACGGCAGTGGAGCGGACGTCGAGATATTGACCCTGGAAAACAGCGGTAGTGACGTAGGCTTCTGGATTCGTCGAGGTGGCTGCGGAGGAGCGTACTCTTTGAACAGCGGCGGCGAGGAGCGGTTGGCTGCGAGCACGATCAGCAGCAGCCATGGCAGCACATCCGAAAGCCCAGCCGAGCAAAGCACCAATGACAATCATGGAAAAAGCGATAAGGAAGATAAAGAAGGGCATGGATGGAGGGATCATGAGGGTGAGCATGCATCCAAAGAAAGCCGCCTGACCGAGGACGCGAAGGGAAGGCGCCGGGATCATGAGAAGGAAGTTGGCCCAGGAAGCGACCCAACACCTGGCTAGAATGCGAAGAGAGCGAGCCGAAGTAAGATTGTTGATGAGCCAGGCAGGCAGCTTAGAAGGTGACTTGACCTTTCCAATTGTCTTGCCATCACCTCGATCTTTTGCTGCCGTCGAAGTGGACGCAGCGTTGGAGGGTTGGTTGCTAGATGTGTTGGAAGGTTGCAAAGTAGCTCGCTCAGCATCAATGGTCATGACCGGAGCTTCTCCATCTTGATCACGTTGTGATGTGGCCATGCTGACCAGATGCGAGGCGTCCGACCGGCAGGATCAGAAAGTGGAAGCAGGAGTTGCGGCCAGGAGAGGGTTCGCTCCTCGGCGTGGTATACGGTGAAGGAAGACGGACGAGAACGATGCAAATTGTGGTCGAAAGTTGTTAATGCCTCAGCATAGTGCTCTTCACCGGTCGACTCGAAGGTCTAAGAAAGGATGCAAGCGTAGAGGTATGGAAAGAAAGGGGCTGGTGTGGATATACTGGAAGAGGGGATAGTGACCAAACCAGCAAGACGGTAAGCACAAGAAGAAGAAGCAAGTGCAACAGGAACACTGCCCTGAAAAAACAACGGACGACTCGACATCGGAACTCGGAACTCGGAACTCGGAACTCGGAACTCGATATATGGAACTCGGAACTTGTAACCCGGGACACGGGACACGGAGCTGTGCTGAGCGTGGAGGAAATGCGCATTTCCAGTAAGCCTAAATGAGTAAGCTCAGCCTGGCTGATTTCAGCGCATTCTGTCCTCGACTTGCTCCATCTTGCCATCTCACGATAGCGATTCGTCACAGCAATGATGGTAGAAAACGCAGGACAGAGTGGAACTTCACCATCGGCATCGACCGGGCCGTATCCTAACAAGCGCAATCGACCCGACGATCGCGGAGTTGCGAGGGACGACACAGGCAATCAAGCGTCGTCATCAGCCAGCACCTCAGAGATCACAGAGGCATTCAGCAGCTTCAGGGATGAGATTGACGATCACAACGACCGTCGCGAACGCCTTATCAAGGTATCGCGCGACGTCACAAGTCTCTCCAAAAAGGTCATCTTTCTTCTTCACCGATTCGACATCAAGCACTTCGCATCCGAGGAGCCGTCGAATAAGACTCGCAAGCTCTTTTCAGATGCAGAGGAAAAGCTTGAAGAGATCATCGCTATACTTCGGAAAGCCGCTGTCGCTGAAGCTCTCGGCTCAACAAACACAGCAGAGCAGCACGAGTCAACATCAACACCGACGCTGAGAGCGCAAAGATATGAGCAAAACATTGGCGGAGGGCTCGAAGAATTTGTAAGTCCCGCTCTGCAGCAAATGTCTCTCAACCGGCCGCATTGATCTCACACAATAAAAAAATCTCTCTTCTCGTTCACATTGACACAGATCGAAGCAATCTCCTTCTACCACTATCTTCGAACCACCGAGCTCATCACATTACAGCAGATTCAAGATCGCTTTCGTGCTCTTCCGGTTTCCGAATCGCAATTCTATCCGCAACCAACGCAAAGCAGTCAAGATGTTCCACAGCCCATAGCTGATTCGCAGTCGATCGCGCTTCACGTTCCTATACATCGATACTTGTTGGGACTCTCAGATTTGACCGGTGAACTGATGCGATTCGCTACCAATGCTGTCGGTCAAGGCGACACTGGCGCCGTCGTCAAGCAAGTTCTTAGCCTCACACGTCAACTCCGAGATGCATTGGATCCTTTCATTCCGCTCGTGCGCGATCTCAAAAAGAAACAGATTGTCACTAACCAGAGCTTGCGAAAGATCGAGGACAGTAAGTTCTTTTACCGATAGCCTTCCCCCAAGGGCATACTTGCCGCACACAGCCTTGCTGACTCGATTTCCCCTTCTTTTCTCTCTGCCCCAAAGTCCTCTATGCCATCACAGTGCGCTCTGCAGAGTATGGCTCAGATCCAACAGCTTTGCAGGAGATGGTCCGTCGTACCCTCGCTTCTGCTTCAAGTGCTCCAAATCAAGGTCATGACGATGATGACTAGATACAGATCAAACAGCTCAATCAAGCACTTGATGCAACCCGATTATATAGTAGAAATGGTATTACAAGTTGCAGATAGGGTGACAGTAGGATCAAGAGCCCAAAAGAAATGCGAGTGCAATGAAAACGATTGAATGTCGATGAATAGTGATGCAAATCGAAAGAATCTGTCCAAGTAATATGAGGATGGATGTCAATAGTTGGCAGGCGGATTGAAAGCTGCCTTCTTCAGCAAGCTTGACTTTCAGCAGGGAGGGTCAAGAGGCATCTGTGCGCGGGCAGCAAGCTTGGCGTATTGCTGCTGGATCACGGATCCCAAGACCGGTTCCTCCCCGCCTGTCTCTACATGGTCCAAGGCCTCCTCCTCGCGCAGTGACCGCGACCGAGATCCTCTGCGCGACGATGAATGAAGCACTCCATAACCGAATGGCTTCACTGCATCTCCCACAGCTGTAGATGGTCGAGTGCCGCTGCTGCTGCCGTCGCTGCCGTTACTTCCGCTGGTGCCGCCTCGCTTACAGCGGCCAGCAGCTGATAAGGCGCGTCCATCGCCAGTCTTTTTGGTGCGTGGAGGTGAGACGGCTGACCGAGGTCGAGCAGAAACGGACAACCTTGCAGCTCGCCCTCTTCCGCCCGCATCGTGACCGAGGACTGTGCTCAAGTCACTCTCGTCCCCTTCATCGGTGTCATCATTTTGGCTGGACGAAGCGGTATTACCTCGCGATGTGCGCGGTCGGCCGTCATCTGCGCTTGTGTCCGACACGGCTGCAAACGAAGCTGCCGAATCATGAACCGCTACTCCGTTGGATCGCGTACGATCTCGCGAGTCCTGCTCCACAGTGTTCAGAAAAGCAAGCAAAACATCCTCGTCCGAGCCTGCAGCAGCCGTGCAAGTGGCTGCGGAGAAGGCAAGATGACTGGGACTTGTTGCAGTGCCTGCTCGCACAGCGTCAGTGATCAGGTTGCTTGGCATCCTTGTGACAGGAGAGAGTGCCGAGTCCGAAGGTGAGTTGGAGGGTGAAGGCCAGCTTGGTGCTGTTTTGGGCCGTGCAAGGCTGTGGTCCTCAAAGTGAGGGTCTTGTCGCAGAAACGCGAAGGGTTGCGGTTCTACTTGTGCATGGCCATCGACAGTCTCACGACGATGTCGAGCGTCATGAGCTTCTGTGACGTGCGATGGCAAAGTGTCAATTCTGATGGAGCGAAACACAGATGACGCTGTTGCAGGGCGTCCAGATGTTCTGCTAGCATGTGAAGGCCCGCCCCCTAGTCGAGCTGCAGCTTTGACAGAGTCGACATCGTAGACCTCCTTGCTACTGAGTCGGACGCCGGCAGTCAAAGGAGGAGAAGTGATGAAAGTGCGACGCTTTTCTTCCATCACAAATCCGTGCCGATCGTCGGATTCCACGTCTTGATGTCGGAGAGGCAAACCGACGCTTCCCGACCGTGTTCGTACCGGCCACTGCACTCGGTCGGACCTGGGCTGACGAGCCGGCATGGCGTGATCGGCAATGTCGCCGGAAGCTCTCATCTCACGTGGCTCGGCCTCGCCAAGGCTAGAGAATAAGATCATGGAACCATTGACGGAGAGTGGGTGCGACTCGGCGGTGCCAAGGCTGCTCTGACTGTTGCCAGCAGTCAGATGTGGTTCACGTCGAAGAGAGAACATCTCGCCAGCCGATCTTGGTCGAGCCATGGTGGAGGCAGATGCTCTTTCTTGCTCGCCCGTGCGTGGCCGAGATGAGGAGGCAGAACCAAGTGGACGGGAGTAGGCGGGAGCAGGCCCATGCTGCCGAGTATGGGCGCCGCCATGTGAGATGCTCGAAGCTTGGTGTCGCAAGGTCGAAGTGGGCACGACTAGATTGTTACGTGTGATGATCATGGTGCTTGGAGTGATACTGACTGTATCGTTGTTGGAGTTGCTGCTGAGGTGCCCTGCTTCCATCTCTCTCGTCTGCTGGTTGGCGCCTGGTGACACTGGTGCCCTCGGGAGAGAGCGGAGCGACTGACTGGACATGGAACGTGACTTGAGTTTGGGACCAAACTCGCCCTCGACGTAGAAGGCGAGCGAGTCGCGATCTTCCTTGCTGCGGCTGCCGCGCGCTATGCTTACTTGAGTGGTGTCGCCAGCTTCGGTTGCAGGGTGGAAGCTGAGATTGTCTTTGTTGAGATGAGAAGCTGCATCGCGATGCTCTTCTGCCCATGCCGGAAAGTAGGAAGGGGGCCGGTTGATGTTGTGAGGAGCGAGCTCGCGTGTCTGGCGCCAAGCTCTTCGGAAGATACGACCAGCCATGGAACTGGCAACGGCGAGGCTTGCGACAATGTTCATCAGACGGTAGGCATACGTGTTGGTCAAGACGTAGATGAGTAGAGCCGAGATGAGAAAGAGGAACTGAATGGCAAAGAATGCAGTGGTCTTCTGGACGAGCATGGTCTTGACGTCCTCTGAGTCGAGGTTGAAGCGACTGGAGGGGAAGATGGGGCGCAGGAGACCTCGCCAGCCGGCCTTATTCAGCTTGCAAAGGGTAAGGACAAGGCAGAGAAGGTCGAAGAGCAAGAGTGCGCCAAACACGCCAATGACATAGAGGCCGTTGAAGTGCCATGCGCAAAAGTTGGAGGTTGGAAGCTGATTGCCGTAGCTCATGACGGGTAGAAGGACAGCGAATGCTACGACGAGAAGCCAAGAAGATACGACCAAGGAGACGATCTTCTGCTGCATGTGCCAGATGGAGCAGGTTCGAAGACAGAAGACAAGCATGGTTGCGCTGATGGCGATGCTGAAGAGGGCGGTGCTGCCTTTCATCCAAGCATCGCACTTGTCGGTCATGATGACGCTGTTGGTGACGGCGGTGATGAGCCAAGAGAGACTGACATAGCGAGAGAGGAGATAGGCTATTGAGTAGATGCTGGAGAAGCTGCTTGACCATGTGGTTTCCTTGATGAGACGGATGTCAAAGTGAATGGTAGAGACAATGTCCCAGCCAAGAGCGCCCATCCACATGGAGAAGTAGACGAGACCGATGATAGCAGCATGTGCGTTATCGGAGTTGACATGGCGAAAGATGTTGTCGCTGATCGGATTGACGACAAAGATCTGAGGGACGGTGGCATTGTGAGGGATCGCTATCAAAGAGGAGCTGTGAAACTGAGCGGGCGTACTGAGGGCAGAGTAGGACGAAAGGACGAGGTTTGGATAGTCGGATCCACGCTGGTCAACGAGTGAAGCTGGACTGAGGTGAAAGGACATGTCCAGTGATAGGGATAGACGGCACCGTGACTAGCTGGGGGGGGCTGCCGAGAACCGCTGACAAAGGAAAGGCTGAGCGATTTGGAGCGTCAGATGCGAATGAGCGCGACGCCTGTAGGTGGGCTATTTCAACTGAGAGTTGCTCATGTGAAGCTTGGGCAGCGGGGGCGCTACTTCTAGAGGCGGGAGCTGAACTACAAGGTATGCTGGAGTTCTGATGAGAGGAGTGCGTGTGTGTGTGTGTGTGTGTGTGTGTGTGTGTGTGTGTGTGAAGAGGTATATATATGCGGAGGATGCTGGATCGTGAAACGCCTATCGAGTTGAGCGAGAAGGTGAGAGTATGAGGTGGCCGGCGGCGGCGGGGAGAGTTGAAGGAAAGATGGTGTGGGAAATGAAGATGGAGGATGTGGTTGTGTGGGTTATTGATCGGTCAGCGTCGGAATTGGCGCCGGACAATGCGGCGTGAAGGAAGGCAAATGGAGCCAGCTCGAGCCCACGGCGACAGAACGTCAGCGTGGGAAAATGGATAATCGGTGATGGGTAGATGGGTGATCGGCGATCGGCGATCGGCGATGGTAGTAGAGATAGACAGAGTGCCGAAGCAAAGAATATTCGGCAGTTCCAATGATGAGGAAGCAGCGAGAAAAGGCTGAAAAGGAGGAATCTATTGGATGTGAAGATGTTTTAGTCCCGATAACTGGTGATCGGGCAGAGTCCAAGTATGATGTCACTACTATTTTAGGGCAGAAACATATATACCCAATTGGCTGAAGTGAATGTGGTGAGAACCTAGTGTTCTCAGCTTGATATACAGTACACACATAAACTGTCCCAAGATTTTACATGTCACCATACATCACTCTAATGCTCAATAGCTATAAGTTGTATTGCCACACTGTCTGATATTGTCTGAAAGTGCTGCTTCTTCTCTCCAAGACTGTGGAATTGATATTGACATTGACTAAAAAAAATTGTGCTATGAAGAAGAGCCAAAAAAAATAATTATTGTGGGACAGTTTAAGGAGCATGCTCCCAAATAGTGACACCACTCCATTCCTGACCTTGTGGGCTTTTGACTACAATGAAACTTGTAATGTAACTTGGTGGGCACCTTCATACACATTGAAAGTAGTGACATGGAAAGTTTCAGCTCAATCAGATGACTGTGAGCAATCCAGCAGCACTTTCAGTCTGACACCATCATATCTATACCATCATGATGAAAACCACTCCCAAGAAGTGCCAATCAGCACTCTTTCACCTCCAAAATGGAGAATCTACCCATTCAGTTGCCAAGAAACTTGGTCTGAGCAAGTCTACAGTGTCTTGCATCAGCAAAAGTGCCTCTGCTGATGCTCCAAAGTCAAAGGGGGGCCAGCTGAGAAAACTCCAGCCTTGTCATGTTCACTTCCTGGACCACTATTTCAAGCTCAATTCAACATCCACAGTCAGGAAAGCATGTCATGCACTGCAGGAGACATTTCACATCAAAGCATGCCCAACAACAGTAAGAAAAGCACTTCATTACTGTCATTACAAAGCACAAAGGTCAGTGAACAAACCGAAACTACTCAAGAGGCATTACAAAGTGTCATGGGCCTGGATGCTCAAGAAGCAGGAGGGTCACTGGTTCATATGGAAGGAGCACAGGTATCGAAGATCTAGTCGAGATCAGTAGAGAGCATGGTCGTAGTGCAGTCTCCATGGAGACTGTGGACTCCTATGGACTCACATGCAAAGGAGGACACAAGCCACATGTGAGGAGGGCCAGGCACAGCCGCGAGGAGGACCAAGCTCAAGGAGCAGGCACAGCCATGAAGAGGACCAAGCTCAGATGGTTACCACTCAGGGGCTCGAGAGACAAGAGTCAAAGGAACTGTCACCGGTCAAAGGAGAAGGAGCAGTGTATAGGACACTAGCAGGCAGGTCCTGAGGAGGAGGAGCAGTGTCAAAGGAGTTGACACCAGGTCATGAGGAGGAGGAGCAGTGTCAAAGGAGTCAACACCACTCAAGAGGCACAGGGGTGCCAAGCAGGAGAGGCCCCTGAGCAGTACTCGACGAAGAAGGTACTCTCTGGAGAGAGAGCAGGGGCAGCATCGCTGGTGATGCTGTGAAGAGGTATATAACCATGCTTTCTCATCATCATAGTTCGAGTGGATCCTCATCCACTCTATTCACCATACAACTAGTCAATACTTTAGAAACACAAGTACTCATTAGTTACAGTCAGCATAGCAGCAATCTATCAAGGTTGCTCCTCATCATAGTGTGTGTGTTGTATCACCACTACCTGACATCTGTAGGTGCCCCATAGCAGGTTAGCAGTCTGGATATAGATAGAACTGAAGGCAGTAGTCCACTGTGGTCCGGGGATCACTTCAAGCATCAAGTCAACACACTGGACACTCATGTTGACACCACCAACCTTATCACCAACACCATCAACCTCATTATCATCAACACTCACCAACCTTATCACCAACATCATCAACCTCATCATCATCAACACTCACACCAGACCTTGGTGTCATCATAACCGAAGCATTGATATTGATTGTGCCGAGCTACCCCTGAACGGAGTGTCCACAGAGGTCAGCCGAAACCTACGACAGTATATACAACAAACACCACCTGCTGTCACTGCACAACTTGATAGTCACCGATACTGAGACAATAGCTGTCGCACAGTTTGATAGTCACTGAGTATCTCGACAGACCGACCTGGGTTTCAGGCGCAAGACCCCTGACACAAAGCATGTCTCAAATTTGCAAATGAGCACAAGGACATGACTGTTGAGGATTGGAAGAATGTGGTATGGTCCAACAAGACAAAGATCAACTTCTTTGGACCAGATGGGAAGCAGTCCTGTTGGATTAAGAACACTGGCTTCAACAGCAAGCTTGTCAGGCCAATGGTCAAGTTTGGCAGCAGCTCCATCATGATCTGGGGCTGTATGACATGGGAAGGGGTCAGAGGTATACACTTGGTGCTGGGTTCAATGAATTCAGACCAATACATTGATATCCTGAATGACAAGCTTTTGAAAACAATCTCAGATTTGTGGCTTCAGCATGCATACACCAACATCATGTTTCAGCAAGACAATGACCTGAAACACATGTCGAAGAAGACAAAAACATGGTTGGAAGGCAATAACATTAAGGTTATGCAATGGCCGGGGCAGTCACCAGACTTGAACCCAATTGAACACCTCTGGCACCATCTCAAAATGCAACTTTCACAGTATAGTACAATTGCAAAGTCCAGGGATGAACTGCTCAAGAGATGTGAAGCTGAATGGAAAGCAATCACTCCAGAGACATGTAGGATACTAATAGAGAGCATGCCAGACCACATCAAGGCAGTTCTGAAGGCCAAAGGAGGGAATACAAAGTACTAAGGTGTTCTCGAGGAGCACTCCATAAACTGTCCCACAATAAAAAAAAATTCAGCTCTTCTTCATAGCACAATTTTTTTAGTCAATGTCAATATCAATTCCACAGTCTTGGAGAGAAGAAGCAGTGCTTTCAGACAATATCAGACAGTGTGGCAATACAACTTATAGCTATTGAGCATTAGAGTGATGTATGGTGACATGTAAAATCTTGGGACAGTTTATGTGCATACTGTATATACATCTATGAGGTACATGCCAAATGTGGGAGTATCCTTCTTCATGATCTAGCTTGACAATGAGTGGGATTGTGTTGCACCTGATCTCTGGACAGATCTGTTCCATCAGATCTCTGATTGTGTTTATGTCAGCATGTATCATTATATTGGATCGCTTCCTTCGGCAGCCTTTTCTCGCAGTTTGCTTCTCTTTTCGGATCACAAGCACCCGACACGACCTCGAGAAAATGAACAAGAAAATAAATGAAGATAACAATTAATATACGGCATTATCGGGGTCACGATCAGACTCCCTTTACCACAGCCGTATGTTCTATGTAATGCTTGGTTTTCATGGTGTGAGACTGAATGACAAACACATATATATACTCCATTCACTGCTCTGGTCCTATTCGAGGCAGGATGTGTCTCTTCATTTGTACTCCTGTGTTGCTATGATACCGGGTGCCACTGTGCTGTCACCATGACAACAATTACGTACCTCATTGTACTTCTCGCTTACGTGAGCCTCCCGTGTCTCAATGTCTCGGCCGTAACATGTGCATCTTACTTGAGATGCCGACGCATCTTCAACTCCCCCCTTCGGCGGGATCTCCAGTCCTATCATCCTAGCCAATCGTGAGGTGTTAAGACCCTGTAAGGGTTTTGTCAAGACATCTGCAACGTTGTTTGCCATTCCGACATATTTGATTTCCACATCACCCTCTTGTACGTGATCGCGAACGAAATGATACCGTGTGTCGATGTGCTTTAACTTCCAATGTTTGGCTGGATCTTTACTCACCTGTATGCACCCCTGGCTATCTGTGTATAGTACGGGCCGAACGTCCGTGGTCTCCAAATCCCGGAGCAAATATGAGAAGAATAAGGTTTCTCACACCGCTTCGGAAGCAGCGACAAACTCTGCTTCGACTGCCGACAATGCCACACACTTCTGAACGTGTGATTTCCAACTCACTGGACACCCATATACATATGTTATCGACCCCGAGGTGCTTCTTCATCCATTTGTGGGGTCGGATGCCCAGTTTGCGTCGGTATACGTTGTTACCGGTGTATCCGAATGCCCGTTTGTCTCTCCTCCTAGGTGCAACTGATATTCGTTCATTTGGTTCAGGTACTTTACCACGTGGATGGCTGCCTTCCATGCACTGTCGATCGGGATCAACATATATCGCGCCAATACGCCGACGGCAAAGGCAATATCTGGTCGGGCTGTGTTGGAGACCCATAATAGTTGGCCGACCAATTCTTGATACTTCTTTGCTCGCTGAGGTTCACATCGCTCGCCTCCGGTGACGTTCGCTACACTCAGCATGGGTACCCAAGATTTCTCGTTTGCTCCTCCTAACCATTTGTTCACCATTTCCTTGATGTATGCCGTTAGGCCCAGAGATATCCTCCTCCGTCTTCTATCACGTGTGATCTTGACACCCAGAAATTCTTTGACTCTTCCATTGTCTTGCGTCTCCCATTTGTCCATGATCTCTCGCTTTGCGCGATCTACTTCATCACGACTGGGTGATGTTATTAGCATGTCGTCCACATATGCTGTGATGATCGTGATCTTGTCGCCTGTCCCTCTTGAGTATAGGCATGGTGCGCTCGGCATGCAATGGAATCCGATCATCCGGAGATGTGAGTCTAACTCAATGTTCCATTCTCGGCCCAATTGTTTCAGACCGTACAGTCCTTTCACTACCTTCAACACTTTTCTGGGTGGTATTTCGATTCCTACTGGGGGCTTGAGGTATACATCATGGTGTATAGTGGAGTTCAGGTATGCTTGCTTTACGTCAATAGAATCCATTTCCCAATCTCGTACTGCTGCGACAGCGATCACCCCTCGAATGGATTGGATGGGTGCTACTGGTGCGAAGACCTCTGTATAGTCGATGCCCTCGCGTTGAGTGAAACCTTGTGCCATGAGCCGGGCTTTGAACTTTGTCGGCACGAGGTTTGCATCGGTTTTGATCTTGAGTACCCAACGTGTGTCGACAGTATTTGCACCCTTTGGGAGGTCGACTATCTCCCATGTGCCCATCGCCTCCAATCCATCCAGCTCCTTTCGCATGGCCTCCTCCCAGTGCTTTCTGTCCTTTCCACTCATTGCTTCATGTATGGTTGGGTCCAGGTTCTTTCTCCATTCCGGTCGCGTCGCTACGAGTCCATAGAATTCGCTGTCAATTTGAGTTTCGGCGATTGGTCCTTGTTCCATCACCTCCACTGTTCCTTCACTTAATCTTTCTTCCGAGTCTGTCTCCATATCCATGTATTCTCGTAGTGGCTCTTCATCTGTTTCGTCGAATATATTTTCTTTATTGTATCCTAGATCTTCGAAATTTTCCTCTGTCATCATCATTGGGGGTGCCTTTGTGTCAACCGGTCGCCACTCTGTTCTGTCTGACCAGCACTTTGATTCCATGAATTTTGCTGAGTTGCTCCAGAAGATGTTTGGATTGTAGTCCGGGCTGTAGAAGAGCCAGCCCTTCCTTTCTAGACTGTACCCTAAGAAAATGGATGCGACGGCTCGCTGGTCCAGTTTCTTGTTGTCCCATTTAACTTTGGGTACGTTTACCCATGCCAGACAACCAAACACTCGTAGGAGCTTTAAAGCTCGTTCCGGCGACTTGCCAAACATCGCTTGATAAGGGAATTCATTATCAACACTCGGAGTGAGGTTTATTTTGAACGCTGCAGCTCTGATCGCATATGGCCAGAACTTCTTCGGTAGTCTCCTCTGCATTAGCAACGTTCTCATCTTCTCTCCAAGGGTCCTGTTCATTCTTTCTACCCGTCCATTTTGTTTGCTGTTGTACCCTACGGTGGTTTGCCACTCTATGCCCTTTTCTAACGACCATTCTAATGCATCATTGCTTTTCCATTCCGTTCCTTGATCGGATCGGATTGCTTTTAGCTTCCGATCCGTCTGTGTCTCCAGGAACGAAACAATCCTTTTAAGTTGCATAAAGGCATGACTCTTTCGTGTCAATGGCTGTGCATACACATACTTGCTATGATCGTCGACCAGCACCAACGTGCATGTGTACTCCGTCACGTGGGACGAGTCTATTATTAGATCGACGTGGATAAGATCCAGGGGCCCTACGGCTCTTTCGCCGCTACCTTTCCCCATCCGAGCGCTTGTGCTCTTGGATCGTACGCACTGCTCACATGTCAGAGCGGTGTTTGGATCCAATTTCATGGTATGCTTATCCTTTAACTTGGTTGTGATCGCCTTAGCTTTGTCTCTTCCTGGGTGCCCGAGACGCTCATGCCATAGTTGTTGCTTTGAAACTTTCGGCTCATTCTCAATATGCTCGAACTCCTCATCAACACCTTCAAACAATGGTGCTGATGTGGCCATCGCGCTTTCTTGCCATGTGTCACCTCGGAACTCCAGAAGTCCTCGCTCACGATTCTTTGCAATCTTAAGTGTCATGCCGTTTGTTAGAAAAATTTGGCCGCCGGTTGTGTCCAATATCACTCGTGCTCCTTCATCCATTAATGAATTTGTTGACAGAAGGTTAACATTAAGGTGCTTTACATACAATACATTTTGCAGAGAGATTTCCCCGTAATCTGTTGATATGCTTGCATCTCCTATAGCTGCCGCTTCCAAGACCTCGCTTCCGGCGGTAATTATCCGCTTTCGGCAAGTTCTCGGGTGGATGAGCATGCTGTAGTCGTTCACCATATGGTAACTCGCCCCCAAGTCCAAGATCCAATGAGCTGTTTCTTTTGTGTTCGAGGGGTCCTGCCATTTCATTGGGAGGGTGAGGGAGCACCACGCTTCCTATTTAGGTTCAGCGAGGGGGGAGTCCTTGGGAATGGTAATCAAGGTGTCGCATTGACTGATACCATGTCCCGGTTGCTTGCAGACCCAGCATCGGATTCGGCATGATTTGCTTGCGTTCCTCGAGCTCGTGTGGCTGTTGTCAGCTTCGGCTTCGGTCTCTCCGGCCCGTTCGTTTTGATCGTCGTTGCCGGCGGTTCTAGCACTGGCTTGTCGAGGGTCGATCCTTTGTGCGGGGACGCTCTCGACAGCGGTCTGCCGGATGCTTAGTGCGGTGGCAAGGGCATTGAAATCGATTTGATGGACGGTGGCAACCGTCTCCTTGTACACCGGATGCCGGATCGTGCATTTCTGCAGAGCCGAGAACAATGTATCATCGGCGAATGGTTTGCCGAGGAGGCTGCTTTCGGTTTGTATGGACCGGATCTCTTGAATTAGCTTTCTGGCGTCCGAGTTAAACATCTTTGTATCGTTGAGTTGCGAGATAAGCGCAAGTCTGTGAGACGTCTTGGTGGCTTCATTCGTGAGACCGTTTTCGATCTTTCTCCACACTTGGTTGAAAGTAAGGTACTCCTTGATTACATCTAGAACGAGGTAATTTACATTGTGTTCTCCGGTAGTGTCGATTGTTCCACGCAGGGCGTTGATTAAAGCATCGTCGAGGGAGCGGCTCCATTTCGGGTGTTTCTTGTCGTACGTTCCCTCGAGATGTTTCATCGCATGAGGCACGGATCGGAGGAAAGATTTCACGTGAGCGCTCCAGCTATGATAGTTTCGTGACGTGAGCTTTGGCACGGGTTCGAGGAGCTTTGCTAGGGTGCGAAAGTTATATCGCTTGTCGCCATCATCAAAGTCGGAGTCGGAATCGGTGTCTTCGTCGGCTTCATCATTGATGGCCTCCGGCTCGTTCTCGCTCATGGCATTATTATCGACCCGAACCTGGGTGTTCTTGCCTTTTCTGCTTCCTTTGGTCCTCGTTTCGGTGTCTTCTACCATGGTTGTCGGCGAGTTTCGGTTAGCTCGGTGATGGCTTCTTCAGACTCTTAATCAAATGAAGATAACAATTAATATACAGCGTTATCGGGGTCACGATCAGACTCCCTTTACCACAGCCGTATGTTCTATGTAATGCTTGGTTTTCATGGTGTGAGACTGAATGACAAACACATATATATACTCCATTCACTGCTCTGGTCCTATTCGAGGCAGGATGTGTCTCTTCATTTGTACTCCTGTGTTGCTATGATACCGGGTGCCACTGTGCTGTCACCATGACAACAATTACGTACCTCATTGTACTTCTCGCTTACGTGAGCCTCCCGTGTCTCAATGTCTCGGCCGTAACATGTGCATCTTACTTGAGATGCCGACGCATCTTCAACTAAATTGATCAAATTTGAAGATCGAATCGTCCGATTTGGGCTTCAACCGTGGCTCATCGAAGATCGGGATTTAGTCGAATTTAAGCCTAACCAGATCACCTGACGATCGCTTCCTTTAGAACGAGCAAGTCGTCTTCCCGTCCTTCTTCCTGCACCTTTTTTCATACCGCATCACTTCAATCTCAACGATCCCCAGATAGAACGCTTTTGCAACTCCGTGTTGAGAAAGAATGCATTGTAGAGCAAAGGACGTTACATTGGATATAAGGAAATCTGAGACTGAGCGTCGTTACTGCGGCGACTGGAAGTTCCACCCTTGCTGCTGTTGCGGTGGTTGTTGTTGTTGTTGTTGTTGCGGGTTGAACCCTGACTGTGGGTTCATACCTTGAGCTTGCGCCTGTGCCTGCAGATGAGCCATATACTGCTGTCGAATCTGCTGTTGCAGATGCGGTGGCAGGTTCTGGAAATTGGGCATGTTTATACCCATTCCGCCCATCATCATTCCTGGTGCCGTGCCCTGCTGTCCTGGCTGAGGCTGCTGCTGCGGTTGTTGAGGTTGACCTTGCTGCGCCGGCGAGGAAGCAGCTGCAGGAGAGCCTTGCTGCAAGCCAGGAGGTTGAGAGCCAAACGGCATTCCACCTTGCTGCTGCCCCCCTGCAAAGTCACTGACTGAAGCCATTGTTGCTGGGCTGGGAGCAGACTGCATCTGAGAAGGATCGAATGCGAGATGCGACGATCCAGTGCGATTGCGGCCACCAGCGCTTGTCATGCTGCCTACAGAGCCAGAGCTTCCAGGTCGGTTCTGGAAGTCAGCCTGTCCACCGGAAGGTGTGCCTGTCCTTCCTGGCACGAACCCACTTGCTGATGGGCTCGCCTGTGCCTGGCTAGGACTGTCGGAATGTCGACTGACCGAACGAGTGTTGGCTGGACTGGAGGCGGCGCCACCAATGCCACCGTTGGGCATCATCGTCGCAGGACTGCCGATCCCTGTACTCGGTCCTGCCCAGCCTGGACCTCCCCCTGCTTGCATAGACTTTTGTCGCTGCTGAGCTGCATTCTGCAACGACGTCATGTGCTGCAACTGTACTTGCAATGGCATCGCCTTGAAACCAGCGACGTTGGCTTCCATGAAGGCCACCCATGCATGTGTACCTTGTCCACGCAGGTGCGACTGGAGTGCATGCAAATTCACGAGAGCATTGGGGCCAAACGCTTGCATGAGCGCTTGGGTCTGAGGGTTGTTGGGAATGTTCTGAGCGGCAGCAGGCGGTGCGATGGGGACTGGTGGTGCTTGAGAGAGGTCTAGGCCTTTGCCCTGCTGCGGTGGCTGCTGTTGTTGTTGTGATTGTTGTTGTGATTGCTGTTGTGATTTCTGTTGTATTTGCTGTTGTGATGGCTGTTGTGATGGCTGTTGTGCTGCTTGTGGCTGTTGTTGTTGCGATGCTTGGTTCTGGGCTTTAGAGGCTGCGGCAGGAACCGCGTTAGTAGGTGCCGCTGCCGTCGGGTTATCCACTGGTTGGGAGCAAGGTACCGTTGAGCCGGTCTGCACATTGGAGCAAGATGTAGGCGAGCCAGCAGCCGAGACCTCTCGTGAACGATCGATCCCTTTGCTCGCTGCTCGTTTCCTTGCATCTTGCCCGCCAAGATCGGCGGTAGAGTCTCGAGACCGCTTTCGTCCGTCCGCTATTGGCAGATCGCCTGTTCGTGTCGTACCAAAGACGGCGATCAGTTTGTCATACAAAGCGGGCAGTGGCGAGGACGGTGCATGCTCGCTTCGTGGGAAAGGGTCCAGCTTCGGCAGAGCAGCGCTGGGAGCGGTTGCGCGGTTGAGATCGTTTGGCTTGCTAGACTTGTCGGCGATGCCTACAAGGTAGCCAAGGTTGGCCTGCAAACGCACCGCAGCCCCGCGGTATACGGGGTCTGTGGCAAGCTCTTTGGATTGCAACTCGACGCAGAGTCGAATCAACTCCTTGTTGATGCGAAGGATGAGCGCCACCCTACCCTCGCGAGCAGGAGTAGATGGTGACGAGAGAGCTGTGAGACCTGCTGAGGTCTCGTCGGTCTTCGACTTCTTGTCGGGAGTGGCTGGGGCGGAAGCTTCGGCAGCGGCAGCGGCAGTAGAAGCCTTCTCAGCAGGCGCGGCTGCCTCATTGTCTTTTGAGCTCGTCTCTGGGTCGGTGGCATTGCTCTTGGCTTCCTGAGTCGGCTTTGCGCTGGACGCAGCTGGCTCGTTACTGGCGGCTGTGGAGCCTGTGCCCTCAGCGACGCCTGTCTGAGCTGCGGCAGCTTCTGCGGAGTGTTGGTTGCTTTCGGTAGCGGCTTTGACCTCGGCGCTCGCTACCTCAACTACCGCTGTGCCTTCTGTAGTCTTGACCGCCGAGTCTGCTTTTGCGCCTGCTGTTGTCGAGGTAAATGACGCAGGATTGACTGCAGAACCTGGCGCTACAGCATTTGACTCGGCAGGCTTCTTGTTGTTGGCGTCGTCCGAGAGGGCAGTGCCGGTATCTGCAACTTTGCCCTGTTCCGACGAGGTGTCGACAAGATTGCTGCTCTTGGGGCCGGCATCTTGGATTATGGTTGTTGCTGATGGAGCAGACGAAGCATCAGCAGGCTGGGTCGCCGGCAAAACTGTCGCGTTAGTCGATTCTGATGTGGTTGTTGAGATTGCAGGCTCAGCTGTTGATACGGGTGCTGATGGATTCTGGGCGGCAGAGTCTGGTGCGACATGATTTTGATACGTTGTGTTGTCCGAGGCTGAGACTGATGTGTCCTGCAGGCCTATTGAGACTTGGGCTGGTCCAGCATTCGCATCTCGAGACGATGCATCAACTGTGGCAGCAGCGGTTGGAGGAGGGATATCTGCGCTGGATTCGGTCGGGTTAACAGCAGAGCTCTCGTTCGAAGGCCGAGCTGCTGATGTAGCGTTTGCTGCCATGTTGATCTCAGCTGCTTTTTGGGCTGCATCGATGCTTGGCTCGGCGGCGGTCTGAAGTGTCGGAGCAGCTGGCTCGCTGGATGTCGGTGCTGATTGCGACGTGGGCACAGCTGAACCGTCCGCAGAGCCAGGAGCGGTGGACTCAGTGGACTGAATCGGAGGCTCTGGCTGCTTTTGAGGTGCTGGAAGAGCTGAGGCCTCGGACGTAGACGAGGCAGCTTGTGTTTGTGATGTGGGCTCGGTTTCAACTTGTGATGGCTGCGAGCTGGACGCGTCTGTTTGACTAGCGCCTGTGGCGAGTTTCACGACTGGCTGGGATGGCTGGACCGAGGACAGCTCATCTGTGGAGGCGGCTCCCATCGAGGGCTGCGGTTGCCTCGTCGAATCCATGGTCAAGGTCGCGTTTTCGGAGCTCATGTCTGTCTATGCTGAAACGGTGTCAGCCAGGAGTGGCCAGTCGGGAGTATCGTGAAAGAGACAGTATGGCTATCAACCTGCATGCAGGCTACGAATATGAGCCTTTGCAGCGAGCGCCGAGGGTGGCCTCGCAGGCGATTGATCTGAGACTGCCTAGCTACCAACTGTACCGGATGGACGTTATCCAGCACTGGCGACGTTCAAGCGTCTACGACAGGGATCTGACAGCGAGCGCACCAATGAGAACGAAGATGAGGGAACAAGCGAGGCAAGGTGCAAGGAGTTGACGATTGGGGTATAGACTCGGATGGATCGATGGGGAGGTTGTGGTCAGAGCGTCGGAAGGAGAAGGTGCGAAGAAAGCATATTTCCACAGATCAAGCCAGAATATTACAACAGTATGAGAGCTCTGCATTCCGGGACCCGTCTTCCATGTTCCGAATTATAAATCTAACAGTGCTCGCTTTCATTTTACTCGCTATCAGTCTCACTGCTCCTTTTCTTCTCGTAAACCAAGTCGCTACAATCTGCGTATCTACTGGCTGAGGATAGCTGATGAGCTGTTGTACCGGCAATGCTGCGCCTAATTGCAAGCAATGTACATGGATGGAACGACGATGGATATGGTCTACACCGTGTTGAGGTCTCTTGCAAGCTTGAGGCACTCGGCCAAGACCTGAAGCAAGCCTTTGCGACTTTCTTCGACGTGAGGAGGCTCTGCTGCTTTCTCGAGTTGCACGACGTGATGACCAAGTGTGTCCTGCAATGCGGATAGCACTGCACCCTTTTCAAAGCCGCCCTTCAGCTTGTCGTTGTCATTGCCATTGCCATCACCATCGCCATCGCAACTCTCTTTCAAATGATAAAGCACATTGAGGAGTACATAGCTGGCGCGGAGACTCAGATTGATGGCATTGAGCTGCACATCAGCTTCCAGGCCAACAGTGCCCCGCCTGGCATCTACATTGGCTGGAAGGAGGTCAGCACGCTCCCACTGGTTCCTCTCGTCATCTTTTGATCGGTCGAGAAGGAGGTTACTGAGCAGAACCGGGAAAAGTCTTTCAAGTGTTAGTAAGGCATTCATGGCTGCTTTCGACTCGGTCACCATCGCTAAGATGGCAAGGCAAGCCAGTCTTGTCGCCAGTGAGGGCTCTCCACCAGCACTTTCCGAGCTTGACTTTGACGCCTTACCGCTTTGATCGGGGCTGACGCGATTTACATAGGCCCATTCATCCACCTCGGACAAAGCCAAAAGCATCCGGAGTCGCAGGCTGACTCTGTCCTGTCGCTCGCCCCTGCTCTGAATATCCTGTTTGGAATCGCTTCCGGCTTGGCAAGGGTTCGTAGTACCGGTTGAAAGGAAGAAATCTAACACTTCTTCCACTTGCACGAGGTTGACGAGAAGCTCGATCCATGCCCTTCGTACCATGGAATGATCCTCCATGAGCAGCTGTTCACATGCCTGTGCGAGCACAGAAGTGCCGTGAAAAGGCTGTGAAGCTTGCTGAGCTTGGTAGCCATTCGTTGTGTCCAAAGAGAATGCAGCGATTTTCAGTCCAACCTCTGGCGAAAGCGAGGCAAGATTGGTGAGTGCAAGAAGCGCCTCGAACTTCTGCAGGCGCGAAGCTGAGGGGTAGAGCAAGAGACTGCAGGTGACAGACGCAACTGAGAGGAGTCCGTCATGCGAGGGAAAGAGTAGGCTGGGGTTGAGCGAGATGAGGAGCTTGGCGAGCGCTTGCAATGGTGCAAGGTCTTCCGATGTCACTTCAGCACCAGAAGACCCAGATGCGCGCGAAAAGAGCCCGTTCGCTGCTTCTTTTTGTTCAGGCTTGCCGAATGAAAGCAAGCTGTGCAGGACTGGAGCGGACAGGGCAAGCGCAGCTTTAAGGGCGCCCTGTTGTACGGCTTTGCCCCGCACCGTTCGATCCTGTTTAGTGACGAGGGCTAACAGAGAATTTCCGCAGGCTCGGCGGACACTTTTACTCGGATTGACTTTCCAGCCTGAGGTAAAGTCTTGCGAGTCGGTGGCAAACTTGCTTGATGTTGGAGGTGGTCCAGCAACAGCTATCGCGCTGATCGTTTCGACGCCTTTGGCTTCCAACACAGCAATGCATCTCTTCTCCACAGCATGAGCTTTTTCAAGCAGTTCGTCTTTGTCCGCTTGGTCGTCACCCTGCTTGTTGCCTTGAGCATTTGCAAAGTTTCCAAGGCGTCGCACTTGCTTCTCCTCAGGAGTAAGCGATGGTGGATATGCGGTGATGTTAGAAAGGATAGTGGCAAGACTGAGCTGGAGTGCTCCATCGAATCTTTCACTGTCAATATCGAGAGTCTGCTTGTCATCGGACGTCATAGACTGGGCGACGCTGAAGCTGGCACACAGGATTTGGAGAAGCTTTGTATCATCGGCCACTCTTTGTTTGAACGCGGGCTGAGCAGTGAGATAGGCTAGCACCTCGAGGCAGCTTAGCTTGACCGTCCGTTCGTAGTCGGCTTGAAGGATCTCTTGAATAGACGATGAACATGCTTTGCTCGCAGACTGCTCTGAGGCAGCAGCTACCATCTCAGCCTGAACAATCTGACAGAGAGATTCGTCCTTGCGCCTGCGTTCTTGCTTGTGCTCTTGTATCTTGCGGATATGATCTTGCTGAGAGGTGGGCTGTGACGAGGCAGCTTGAGTCAGACCCTGAGCAGCCTCCGCTGCGACTGCGCGATAGACCTTGATATCGGCTACTCCAGCAACGGCAGCTATCGCATTCGATTTACGTTTGGCGTGTGCATTAGAAGAGCTGCTGCGCGGTAGGCAATTGATATCGAGCCAATCCAGAATGGCTTGCTGGCTTGCAAGATACTTTCTGGTCGCTGCCGAGTTGGAAGCTGAAGAGATGAGTTCAGCCACGGCGAGACTGACGAGGTCCTGATCCGACGGAAGCTGAGGCAAGGAGTTGCTTGTAGCTCTTGTCACAGCATTGCAGGCATCTGGAGCTTCGAGAACAAGGTCGATAATGCCATCTGCGGTAAGAATGTCATGCGCTTCTGCGGGCAAGACGCTGAAGAGAGCCGAGAAGAAGTGCAGCGCCGAGAGAAGGCTGTGTGGTGTTGTGTCGGCGAGTCTCGATCGGATGACTGGAGTCAAGAGCTGCCCAAGGTTCTCGTTGATCCGCTCGGCACGGGAAGAGGCACCTTTTGTCCTTAGTGTTGGAGCTGTTGCCGAAGAAGAGCGCGATGCGAGAGTCAGCAATGCTGTACTGCGAGCTTGCTTCAGCTCGGACGCTGCAGAGACGCCATTGCTCGATGATGACGGCGCCTTATCCGATGTAGTGCTGAGCTGAGCGTAGCAAAGTGGCGCGAAAGCATCAACAAAAGTTTGAGCTGTTGAAGTCGATAGCGGATCATCGGACACTGAGAAGCGCCGAATGCTTTCTATGATCTCGTCCTGCATGCTTGCGTAGAGCAGCACAAAGATGTCGCAGGTGATTGTGATCGCAGCTGGTATGGTGTAGATCCAAGTTCGGCGTCTTTCAGGGTCCTGAGTTCCAGGGTTAGGTTAGTTGCTTTCTTCCAAGGTGGACTTCTTCTTCTTCTTCTTCTCGGAACCCGGGAGTTCTTGCTTGGGTTTTCTCGGAACCCGGGATTCGGTTGTTCGGATTTAACATGTCGAAGAAGTGCACATTTGCTGTGTGCTCGGCTGCGCCTTTTCGCGGTTAAGGAATTTTTTTCCCGGAAAGCACATCGAGAAGAATTGGACATGGAGCAATCAGACACCATCATCGTCTCCATATCATCCTCATATCATCCTCATATCATCCTCATCGCATCCTGGCCGCGACACTGGCGCACAGAGAGAGAATCTTGCCTGCTCGCGACCAAACAGCCTCATCTCTTGCTTACCTCTCGCCACCGCCGCTACATCTTCCTACACCTCTTATTTCGACTAAGCTACGTAATTACTCCTCGACTTCGTCAAGGCAGCGAGGCGACGAGTCCTGCTTGACTCAGCTCAGCACTCTTACGTGATCGTCTTGCTACTGTGCACATCGGTCGTTTCGCAGACTATCATCGAATCACGCCAGGTCGCGGTTCGACTTGGTCCAGAGACAAACTCATCTCCCTACCTCTTATAGCTACCATGATGCCTTACACGGCATAGTTGCCACGACCCTCCAAATCCACTTTCCTCACTCATAGTTCGATCCGCTTCATCCGAACACAGCATCGACCTCAGCACACATATCAACACAGCATCAGACCGGCAGGAGCACTCAGTTGGCCAATATACAGGGATATTTGCCGTCCTGATCTGCTAGCTGTACACCGGTCTCAATCACGCTGGCTACGCTCGTCCCAATACATTTGCCATCATGAAGCAACTCGTCTCTCAAGATGCACCCAAAAAGATCAAGCACATCCAGTTCGGTGTCCTGTCCAAGCAGGACATCGTCAACATGTCGGAGATCGAGGTCACCACTCGAGATCTCTACACGATTGGTGAAGCCGAACGCAAACCAGTTGCCAACGGTACACTAGACAGACGTTTGGGTGTGTCAGATAAAAACTCTTTATGCGAGACCTGTCATCTAAAGATGGCAGACTGCGTTGGTCACTACGGTTACATCAAGCTCGTCCTTCCCGTCTTCCACGTCGGCTTCTTCAAGCACACCATCGCCATCCTTCAGAGTATCTGCAAGAACTGCGCCACTGTTCTGCTCGAAGAACCTGACCGTCGAAAGTTCTTGAAACGTTTCCGCAAACCAAATCTCGAGAACCTCGACCGTACACGGGCGTTCAAGGCTGTCAATACCATTGCACGCAAGGTACTCTACTGCCCCAAGTGTGGATACACCAACGGCACTGTCAAAAAGCAAGGTCAGCTCAAGATCGTTCACGAAAAGTTCCGTGCAAAGAAGACAGCGGCGGAACATGACGAGTTTAGGGCTTCGTTTGCTACCAATATCAAGATGGGCAACGGCGACATCTCACCACATCTCAACAGAGCACAAGAAGACCTCAATCCGCTCAAGGCACTCGACCTCTTCAAGCGTATCTCGGATGAAGACTGTGAGCTTCTCGGATTACGGCCCGAGTTCGGTCGTCCTGAAGAGTACATCTGGCAGTATATCTGCGTTCCACCAGTCTGCATTCGTCCCTCCGTAGCTCAAGATGGCGCCACCAACGAAGACGATGTCACCATCAAACTTACCGAGATCATCTTCACAAACAGTCTGCTCAAGCTCGGCTTGGTCAAAGGCGGCAAGGGTACCACCACAAGTCAGCTTGTGCAACAGTGGGAGTTCCTTCAGTTGACCGTCGCACTGTACATCAACTCAGAACTGCCAGGTGTACCTACACAACCAGGACAGAAGCCAAGCAGAGGTTTCTGCCAGCGTCTCAAGGGTAAGCAGGGTCGTTTCCGTGGTAACTTGTCAGGCAAACGTGTCGACTTCTCCGGTCGAACCGTCATCGGTCCCGATCCCAACCTCAAGATCGACGAAGTCGCCGTGCCACAAAGAGTCGCCAAGATCCTCACATACCCAGAACGTGTCTTCGAGCACAACATCGAGCAGCTTCGTCAGGCCGTCCGCAACGGAACTGATGTTCATCCCGGCGCCAACTATTTAATGGATGGCAAGACTGGCTTCAAGCGCTTCCTCAAGTTTCCGGGCATGCGCGAGGAGCTAGCACAGAAACTCCGTGTCGGTGACATTGTCGAGCGCCATATCCGTGACGGTGACATCGTTCTCTTTAATCGACAGCCTTCACTGCACAAGCTCTCCATTATGTCTCACAGAGCAAAGATTCGACCATGGCGTACGTTCCGTCTGAATGAGTGTGCCTGTAACCCGTACAATGCCGACTTTGACGGTGACGAGATGAACATGCACGTTCCACAGACCGAAGAGGCGAGGACAGAAGCTACCATCCTCATGGGCGTCAAGCACAACTTGGTCACACCGCGAAACGGAGAACCCATCATTGCGGCCATTCAGGATTTCATCACTGCATCGTACCTCATCTCCAAGCGTGACCGCTTCTTTGATCGTGCACAATTCGCCCAGGTCTGCAGCTACTTTGCTGATGCGGATCTGCAGATCGACATCCCTCCACCTGCCATCATGAAGCCTGTTCGCTTGTGGACTGGTAAGCAGGTCATGTCCTGCCTCATCCGTCCCAACCGTAAAAGCCCGCATCTCATCAACCTCGAGGCGCAATGCCGAACCTTCGAGAAGCCCAAGGGTGGCCACCCAAAAGACATGTCGCCCAACGATGGTTGGCTTGTCATTGTCAACAGCGAGGTCATGTGTGGTGTCTTCGATAAGTCGACCGTCGGTGACGGCAAGAAGAACTCCGTCTTCGGTGTCATGCTTCGTGATTATGGTCCTGATGCTGCCATCACCGCCATGAACCGACTCGCAAAGACGTGTGCCCGATGGCTTGCCAACCAGGGCTTCTCGCTCGGTATCAACGATGTCATTCCAGGACCCAATCTTCGCAAGAACAAGGACGCAAAGGTGGAAGCTGCCTATGCCGAATGTCTTGACTTGATCGAGAAGGCCAAGCATGGCAAGCTCGAGAACCTTCCAGGTTGCGACCAGGAACAAACACTCGAGAATATGATCTCAGGTGTACTATCAGGAGTCCGAAGTGACGTCGGTGAGATCTGCATGACAGAGCTTAGCAGACACAACGCTCCTTTGGTCATGGCAGTCAGTGGTTCCAAGGGTTCCAAGATCAACGTGGCACAGATGGTCGCTTGTGTAGGTCAGCAGATTATTGCAGGTTCACGTGTACCCAACGGCTTCCAGGATCGATCGCTGCCACACTTCCCCAAGAAGTCCAAGGATCCGCCGTCTAAAGGCTTTGTGCGCAACTCATTCTTCAGCGGTCTGACGCCAACTGAGTTCCTCTTCCACGCTATCTCCGGTCGTGAAGGCCTGGTCGATACTGCAGTCAAGACGGCCGAGACGGGTTACATGCAGCGGCGTCTCATGAAGGCACTTGAGGATCTCTCAACGCACTACGATCTAAGTGTCCGCAACTCAGTCGGCGGTGTGGTACAATTCATCTACGGTGATGACGGTCTGGATCCCGCCGAACTCGAGGGCAACGCCATGCCCATCGAGCCTTTCCGTCTATGGCGTCACTGCATGGCCATAACACATCACATTCCGGGCCGTGGTATGTATCCTTACGAGATCATGGAGATCGTCGAACGCGAGCTCAAAAGCCCTCGCTTCGTCAACACCTGCACACAAAAGTACCGCGACTCTGTATACGAGTTCCTCAGCGAGAACGTCTACAAGCGCGCGGTCGAGGTGCGCCAAGCATTCGGCATGTACGGTGCGGAGGAGCGCGCCGAGTATTGGGACGAGCACACCGACCTTTCGTTCGGCGCCGACCGTGATGCATGGGCAATTGTCAACAACAAGACCAAGATCAAAGAGGTGGCGATTCTCGAGTTCCTCAACCAGTGCTATATCAAGTACATGAAGGCCAAGATCGAGCCAGGTTCGGCTGTAGGTGCCGTAGGTGCACAGTCGATCGGAGAGCCAGGTACGCAGATGACGCTCAAAACTTTCCACTTCGCCGGTGTTGCATCGATGAATGTCACGCTTGGTGTACCTCGTATCAAGGAAATCATCAACGCTGCCAAGTCGATCAACACGCCTATCATCGAAGCTAAGCTAGTTTCGGAGAAGTCGGAACAGTCGGCACGAATCGTCAAAGGTCGAATTGAAAAGACGTACCTCGGCGATATCGCCTCGGTCATCGAAGAAGCATGGGCAGCGCAGTATACCTACTTGGGCGTTCACATTGATATGGAAGCCATCCAGAAGCTGCAGCTCGAGATCACGCTCAACGACATCAAGTGGGCGATTGTCAATGCTCCCAAGCTCAAGATCAAAGAGGAGCGTGTGATGGTGATTCCCAAGAAGAACCGCATTCGTATCTACGTACCTCCCGAGGGCATTGACAAGGAGAGCGAGGTGTACTACAACCTTAAGGCACTTAAGCGCACCTTGCCTTCGATCGTTGTCAAGGGTATCCCACAGGCCACACGTGCCGTCATTTCGGACGAAAAGGGAACTCGCAAACTCCTGGTCGAAGGTTACGGTCTGCTCAAGGTCATGACGACAGAAGGTGTCATTGGCACGCAGACCCACACGAACCACGTCATGGAGATGCAATCCGTACTTGGTATCGAAGCAGCTCGCACATCCGTCTACCGCGAAATCGAACACACGATGTCAGCTCACGGTATGAGCATCGATCCGCGGCACGTCATGCTGTTGGCAGATACGATGACGTACAAGGGTGAAGTGTTGGGTATCACACGATTCGGTGTAGCCAAGATGAAGGATAGCGTGCTCATGCTGGCCAGTTTCGAAAAGACGACGGATCACTTGTTCGATGCCGCACTGTTCGGTAAGAAGGATGAGGTGCTGGGTGTTAGTGAGAGCATCATCATGGGCAACCCTGCACAGACGGTTGGTACGGGTATGCCAGCATTGGTGGTGCCTGCGCCGACGTTGCCGCCTCGCCGAGCGCTGCTATTTGATCGATAGTTGGTCACTCTTTCAGCATTGTATCACCGAATTGCAAGCGTTATCAGCAAAGTCAGAGTGTGTTGAAGCAGAGTCTCTTTGGAATTGAGCATGTTTGAGAGTATATCAGCTCGACAGGGAAGCGACCGACTTGACAAATCGTTGCCAAACGGAAGAAAACGAGGCGTAGACATCGATAGATCCGATGTCGAGATTGGTAATAAAGAGACCACCTTTGGCATTGAGTCCGTTGACTGAAGCTTTGACGAGGCTGTTCATCGTGAATTTCTTTCCATCTTTGGTGGTGGCGTTGTTAGGGTCAACATTGTAGAAGATGTAGCTTCGCTGGAAAGCTCTACCTGCATTCTTCTTCGAGGCTGTCTTTTGTTTGTACTCGGTGTAGCTAATCAGCCACAAGTGCGGAAGGAATGTCAGATTGTCAATAATAGGGCTCTTCAGAGCGAGAATGGGCTTCAGGGCGGCGACTTACTTGAAGTTGGACAGCTTGTCTTCATAAATGATGACATGATCCGCAATGTCGAAGAACCTGCTCGACTCTGGCCAAGTTCCAGGATTCAAGATTGTGATAGCTGATCTGTGCAATCTCTTTGAGGCTTTCTGTTTGCTCTTTGCAACGTAAGCCTTGTGTGCTGAGCTGTAAGCTTTTGTTGTCGAGGCCCACTTGCTACCCTTCACAGCATCGGTATAGTTTGTGTAAAGCTTCAACCACTTGCTCTGTGTGCTGACTTCATCAAAGAAGATCCCGTCGAGCTTAACACCGTCCGCCCAACCGACATACTTTGCCACGTCTGCTTTCACTTCTGCCTCAGCCCTCTTGCCGTAGTCCGTCCTGACATATCCGACAAGCTCAAGAATCTGATTGGCACCAGCAATTGCTCGAAGCCGTTTGATGGCTGCCGCGTAGTCCGAATTGGGGGCTTTGCCAGTGCCAGGGCCGGAGTTCGGGTTGACAACGACGGTAAATGCTGCCGTTGGGTTGTTTCGGAGAGCAGTGTAGAGTGGATCCCAAGCGTTGGGGAGCGGGTAGATGTATAGCGGTACGAGGATACGTGGTGTTGTTGTATCAATGCTCTGCTGCGCTACCTTCTTTGAGGTGCTTGTTGAAGCGCCAGTCACCGTTTGCAGCAAGGAAGCAAACATCGTAATGAGCACCAACAAGCTCGTCCAACCTGTCGGAAGGGAGATGCAACCTGATTTGCTTGGTACCATTTTGTATGCTTGCGAACGGATGATGGTGGCAAAACACTATGGTGGTGAGATACCTACATCATCACAGCCACACCAAGCGGACACGGTCAGCGATGACACATCAGACGCAGCAGGATGTAGAGTTTTGCTTGTGTTGTGTTGCTGTCAACTTGCAGGGGAGCTCGGTGTCAACGCCGGTCGGAGATCAAATATGTGCTTCGAGCAGAAGCAGTGTCGAATGCTGTGTTTTGCTGTAACAGCTCGGCAAGGATTCCCAGATGTCAGGGTCTTACGTATACTATTTCAATCGCCCCGATTCCACTCTCGACTGAGCACCATCAGCAACAAGTTTGTCATATCGCCAAAGGCCAGGCTTGTTCCTCTCCATCGTTTCCCAATGCAGGTACTTCTCCTTGCTTCACAGATCTCATCACCCTCTTGGCCGGCAACTGAAGTTAACCACCGCTCAAAAAGGGCGACACGTTCGTTGGGGCCGAGCTCACACCTCAGGATCGAGAAAGCTTAGATCGGGATCGTCACGTTTACTACTCTACTGTACAGGATAATTGTGAGAGAAGAGCAAGGAACTAGCAGTCGACTCGAGCAGCGTCGTTCTTGACCGTGGCAGAGATCTCATCGGGATCGTCACCAAATGCGATGCCAATTTCCTCGAGAGTCTTGTTGGCGGTTTCGGGGAAGAGGAAATAGATAATCCAGAAGTAGACAAAGCTACAGGAGACAATGACAAGATAATACTTCCAGCCGACGTTCTGGAAGCCAATCGGAGCGGTCTGGAGTAGAATCAGCGTGGCTGCGAACTGTCCGAAGAGAGTGAACCCAGTACCGATAGCGCGAATCTGCATCGGGCTGTATCGATGATGAAGCGGATGGGCTGTCAAAGTGAGTCGGTGGTCTTTCTTTCTTGGCCGAAGTCAAGCTTTCTTTGTAGTCGAGTCTACTCACAATATCTCGGAGACATAGAGGTACATGCTGCAGTCGATGCAACTGCCTTGGAACGCAAGATACAGGAAGATGATGAAAATGGCCATTCCATTTCCCACCTTGCTGTCCGTCGAGGCATACCTGGCAGTGAGTGCAGCCTCGATGGCAACGAGGATGCAGCAAGCAGCGATTCCAACAAGCATTGCCATTCTTCGTCCGATTCGGTCCATCATGTTGGCTCCGAGGATGTTCCAAAAGACGGCAGTAGTGAGCCAAACAGAAATGAGGAGGAAGGGCATGTAGCCAGTTTGTCCGAGGTTGCGATAGATGACGAAGCTGTAGTTGTTGATCACCAAGGGACCGCCCGTCTGGGCGCCAAACTGAACCAGGAAGCCAATAAGCAGACGTTTGCGGAACGAGGCAACAGAGAGGGAGCGCTTCCACTTGTTGCCGTGAATCTTGGCCCTTGCCTGCTCGTGACTGATCTGGTCGGTGATTTGTCGGTATTCCTCGATCGCAAGCGCAACGTCGGGCTGAGTGCGACTGGAGGATTCAGCAATACGCTGAGAGATCTCTCCATGTGACGCGGGTGGCGTTGCGCCGGTCACATCAACGCCTCCTTGAACGTGGATGATGGCAAGTGTCCTCCAAGCCTCTTCTGTTCGTCCCTTGGATACAAGCCAACGTGGTGAGAAAGGCATCCAAGGCGACCCAAGCAGAAGGAACAGAGGTGGAATGCAGAGAACCGCCAACGGGAAACGCCATGCAAACTCGAGGTCTTTGGCAAAGTAGCAACCAAAGCCTATCCAAGCAGAGAGGAAGTAGCCGCCAACCAGGCACATGGCATGGAACCCAACCTCGAGTCCTCTGCTCATTGGCTTTGCTAGCTCGGACTGATACAAGGGAACTGTAGTCACCAAAATCCCGATGCCCAGACCCGAGATGAAGCGTGCAGCATACCACATGTCGAGATTATTGCGCACACAGCCAGCCTGGAGCGCTGCAGCAAAGATTTCGATGAAAGAACCTAGCTGAATCGACCTCTTGCGTCCGATCACATCGAGGAAGACCATGCACATAAGACAGCCCACTGCACCACCTGCGGCAAAGAGACCGTTGGTAGCGGCGGTCACATTCGAGTAGCGGCTGTATTCAGGACTGGTAGGGTCGGCAGTGAGGCCAAACGCAGCGATCCAGCCTGGTTGACCGACGGTGGTGGAGACAATGGAAGCTCCATAGCCGTACGTCATGGATCCGAGAGCGACAAAGGCGATAATGAGGCGGTTGGTGCAGGTGGCCTTGTTGCTGTCACGATTGTGCGTATAGGTACTCTCGTCAAGAGCAGTTGGCATCTCGAGGTCGCCCTTTGACATCAAAGAATAGAACCCCGTTGCCTCTTCTTCGGCATCAGTGGCGCCTTTGGACATGTTGCTCATGCCTGAGATTGTACATTGCATGGTGTTTTATTTCTGCGTTGAAGACCAGACGAGCAAAACCGAAGGGGGCGGAAGAGAAGGAGGACGAAGGACGGCAAGCAAAGCAGTGCGAGTAATATACGGCACACGAGTCAACTATAGACGTTGCGCCAAGGCAAGGTTAGAGCTGCTGCCTACGGTTACGATGTACTGTCGGGCGTTTGCAGAGGTTTGGCGGTGCTGGATAGGTCAAGGTTCGGGTAGATAAAGCATCTAGCTGCGTCCTGCAAACCGAGGCTGACGGAGGGCGGGGATATCTAAGACCTGAAGGATAATTAATGCACCGCTATCACTCAGCATTTGATTGATTGCTCGCTTGCTCGCTTGCTTGCTTGTCTGCTCACAAGTCGAGGCAGCCGCCGAGTGCATGGTCGGCCTCGAGGCTCGTTCGGGTTTAGAGAAGTGGATGGTGGAAACGGCAGCCGACTTCGATTCGTGGGACCGGAAGCGAGGGTTGAGTGGGAGGCTCAGTATCACATCCTTGAGAGCGACGTCGAGGAGCTCAAGATCCAGATTTCGGCTCAGTGGTGTGTGAAACAGATGTCAGATTTGTGTGAGAGTGGTTACCTAAAGCCGTTCGCTTGTCACATGGCCAAGCGGTTCTGTATACCCAAGGATCATGTCTGAAGTCGACCTGTCAAACAAGAGCGCTTTGCCTTTGCCTGCATTTTTAATCCCGAACCTGGCTTCCGAAGAGCAGAGAAAAAGTGTTGTAGGACGTACAACAAATAGTGAGCTTCCGGTAGCAACGTCTACGCCGGACTCGACCTCGGCAAGGACCTCAAAGACCCAGTTGAGTTTTAGTTGAAGAAAAGCCAAGTCGACGTAGGACGACGCTGACCAAGGCCCTTTTCCATTAGTAGCAGCCAGGCGTTGGCATGTTTTTGAGAGAAATGTAACATAAATTGCTTACTAATGATGAGTGGAGTGTGAAAATATAGTGAGAAATGAGCCAGCCGAGGCCGTGAAGCTTAACTTTACCAGTCCGTGCCTGATGGCGACCATGAGTAAATCGCGGGTTGATGAGCTCATGCTTATTAATTGCACAGACGCATCACGTGGATAGTTTTCATTTTATTTTCAAATTTGCGCAGTTCGAAAACCGAGTTGGTGGTTGCTTCCGAACCACCACCATCTCCACCTCTCCGACATACTCACTTACGAGTTCGTCGTTGGTCGTAGCTAAGTAACCGAAACCTCTCTAATAGCGATGATCGCATGTATCGATTGCGATAATATGTAAGAACTAAGTACAAGATAATGACTAGCATATATATGTTCCAGCGTTCTGCGCATACGTGCATGATACATAGATGTGCTGTCCAGTATATGATGTAGAAATATGTCGGGGCAACTATGTCGGCTATCTGTTAACCGGCATGCCCATGCCGGTCGCGATAGTCGATCCGGGTTAATATGATACATATCCAAGCGAGCGAAGTTGGCGGCAGTGTGAGATCGGACTACAAGTCACATACTTTGACTAAAAGTCTTGCTGAGTTTGGCAGAACTATCTCCACCATCTGGAAATCTCCGGAACGCAATCTAAGAGAGAGCGGATACCACCGACAAACCTTCCCGCGCCACCGAAGCTAGTTTTCGATCGGTCTTGCAACTTTCTAGGCAGCTTGGATGCTGGGTCGATCAGAGCGTTGACAAAGCATCATGACGACGGTCGGTGCAAAAGACCTGACCTTCGACGAGCTACCCGAAGGCGGACGAGGATGTCTTGCAAATTTGTGGGGCCCACCAGGCACACCAGCACGCTATCTTGGAACGCTCAACCACATCGATTCCACCGCCATACTCAACGGTAGGGCTGCTGCTATCCAACATGGCATCTCGATTGGCCTGAATCTACCACTCGACCAGCTCTCGCCTCCTGCCGTTGGACGTACAGCGCTCCAACACGAGCGTAAAGGTCTAGAGGGCTTTTCAGCTATGGACGATGTCTACACCGTCAACCCTCAGCAGACGTCGCAGTGGGATGCTTTGCACCATTGGTGTCATACCTCTCGAAAACGCACCTTTGACGGATTGACGCAGGAACAGGTGCTTGACAAGACCAGGATACAGCCGCCCATCCTGCAAACATGGGCGCAGCGAGGCATCGTGGCGCGTGGCGTCTTGCTCGATTTTGCGCAGTACGCTGAGCGACATGCACTTCCAGACTTTCATCCAGTCGAAAGCTTTGCCATCACAATGGCACATGTTAGAGACATGGTTCGGGAACAAAACGTAAAGTTCCTCCCGGGAGATGTGCTCTTCATCTATCAGGGCTTTACTCGACATCATACATCTGTTTACAGCGATGAAGAGAGGGACAAATTTGCGAAACACATAGCAACACCGACGATGCCTGTAGCGGGTCTCGAACAGAGCGAGGCTTTGGCTCGCTTCTTGTGGAACAACAAAATCTCCGCCATCGTCAGCGACAATCTCAGCGTCGAAGTAGGTAGATGCAATTTTTCCCGCGCACCCTGCGTGGCACGACATTCACTGATCAACTTGACTTACTCACATCGGGTCGCTTGACCTCAACCTGCAGCGATTTCCGCCAATCAACAGTGATTGGATCCTTCACGACTTGCTCCTTTCTTCCTGGGGTATGCCGATGGGTGAGGTGCGTCTTCCTTGCTTCTTTGTCCAGCAAACGCTTCTCGAAGTGGTGTGGACCTTCTGACTGATGCTTCCGACCGCCGAGTCCGCCTCCTTGCCTCCTAGCTGTTTGACTTGGACGAGCTCGCAAAAACATGCACAAGGCTGCAAAAGTTTACCTTCATGCTGTGAGTTCCTGAGCTCCAAAGCCATGAATGCGGCCATCGAACATGCAGCTTGCTGACATCTGCTTCTGGCCTTCATTACGTCGTTGGCATGTCGTAGAGCGTCGGCTCCTTTCAACTACGCGGGCGGACTGTCCAGTCTCGCAAATGCTGTCGCAATCCTCTAGATTCAACCTAGCTAGCCGCATACGATCATCCTTTCCTTAGGCCGCTGCTCTTCTGCGCTCTAACCATACGAAGGCAATGAGAATGAACTCAGATAGGATTGTCGTCATTCGGTATACCACCATTGGTAGCTGTGAAACGAAAATTATATCTCATTTGACCGGTGACAGGCGCGGAGAACGAACCGGCACTTTCGGTCAGCTGAATGTGGGGCATAAAAGAAAGCTGCGTATGATTGCACAGACCAATTCAGGATCTGAGTTCTTCATCTTCCCTACATCCTTCCCACCAACCACGCCTTGTGATCATCTTACTCAAACCCTTCAGAACAATCAAGTTTTTGACGCCATCGTTCCGGAGCATCCAAACAGCCCAAAGTCCCATCTCAAAATTCCTGTGTCTCATGGCGTCGGATCGCTTCTTTCAACGAGATCCACTTCGAGCACCCGGAGGAGGACTTTTTCGACGGTGACACCAAAGTTTCGTTCTGCTAAAAGCACTTCTGTGCCATTGTGCGGTGAAACATGCTGCAGTAGGGTTCTGCGAATCTTTGCACAAGTGTATGCTGGAGATTGCGATCCAGTGCGATGCCAAAGGATGACGCGGGGCCAATCTGATCGGAAATCAGGCAGAGCCGATCCAGTTAGATGACCAATCTGATCAGAGATCGGGTGCAACACAGTCCCGCTCGTTGTCATGGTAGATCATTAAGTAGGAGTACTCCCACCTTCGGCATGTGCCGCTCACATGTATATATATCTCACAGAGAGCACTAGGCTCTCGCCACATTCCTTCAGTCAATTGAGTATATTTGTTCTGTCTATAAACTAGCAGTGACATCGTACATAGACTCTCCCCGATCGCCAGTATCGGGACCAAAACGTCTTCAGTTTTATCAGTGTAACGTGTTCTAAAGATGTACACTCTAAGCAATACACAATATGAGAAATCGAATGGCGAGATCCTCTGCTTCGAGACCTTTCGTGCTCGAATGAAAATCTAGCTGTGACAGCCACCTCGGGTACGTCTAGGCCTGGACTGGCAATTGGAATGCACGCTGCGATCCGCTCGAAAGCTTGTTGGACTTCTTCCTCGTCAAGTCCGACAGCTGGAAAGGCTTCTGCTTCTTACTATCCTTACCAGGTGGCTTGGTGACGTTCCTTCCAGTGATAACATCATTCTCATCGCCGTACCTGTACGCACCCTCTGCGATACCGTTGGCCTTATCCGCCTTGGCTTTGGCCAAGAAACTGAAGTGACCACCCACCACAGGTCGAGCAAGGAAGTGAATCAAAGGATCCTCCGGCTGCTTAGGGAAATCACCCGTCGTACTCTCCATCAGATCCGTAAAGGGTGCATCTGTCTTTCCATCCCTAATGAACGCATAGAGCAAATCAATGAACAGCTTGTGCGTAGCAGGATCGTCGGAAGCTGCAGCAGCAAACATCTCCCAGTCGGTCTTTGTCCATTTATGTCTCGAGTCCAAAGGTACACCATATTTCTCCTGCACACGTGGATACCATCCATCTTGGATCTTGTAAACAGCATGAGGCACAAGGTTGAGGTTGAGAAGGCGATCAGCGAGGAGATTGTACAGTGTACCCCAAGAAGAATCGGCTTGGTAGGCGAGTTTGGTGTGGGAAGCATCGTGAGAGATAGCGTAGTCTTGCCAGAGCTTGATGTAAGTGGATGAGATGTTGGCGTAGAATTTGGCGTCTTTGTTGTGACCAAGGATATCGGCGATACGACCCATAGCGGCGATGGCCGAGATACCTTTGATGGCCAAGTCGGTTTGGTTGGCCAGGGTTCCGGCAAAGTCGTCTGTGGAGAGCTGCTCGGCGGGGATGAGACTGTCTTCGACAAGGAACTCTGACCATTGCTTCATAATGTCGTAGTGCTGAGTAAGGAAGGGGACTGCTTTGTCCTTGCCAACCAGCTGGGCCCAGTGAAGGGTCATCCAAATCATGTTGCCCGACTCTTCGACTTGCATGGGCTCATCGTTACCATCGTTGTAGCCGGAGGCGTTGGGGTAAGTACCGAGATCGTGGACGCACCACTTGTTGGGGTACATGCCGGATTCGGTGTACTCAAAGATCGGCAGCATCAAATCGCGAAGCAAATCGGGGTTGGTGTAGGAGAGCAGGGGGAAGAGAGGGAAGATGACATCGACGGTCGACATGTCTCCGTTGGATGAGATCTCCTTGAGGAAGAGAAGAGTGTCGGAAGTGTTGTACTTGCCCTTGGAGTCCTTGCTGACCGTGATCTCGAAAGTAGCAAATGCCTGACGCAGCGAAAGCTGAGTGATAGCAGCGTACTTGTCACCAACTTCGCCACCACCAACAGCAGCACGCGAGTCGTCCAATACCTGCTTGTCGAAAGCCTTGGCCTTCTCAAGAGCCGATTCAAAGTCGTTCATGAAGAAAGCAACAGCATCTTCAAGCTTGTCACCGAATTTGGTCTGCCAGTAGCCGTAGCGATCCTCCTGGTAGCTCTTGGTCGAGTTGCTGCCGGGATACTTAGCACGGATGTAGTTGACATAAGGTGTACGCATGTGACCCACGACAAAGAGCGCTTCCTTCTCGGCATGCTTGGCGTCAAAGTCGATGGCAAAGGCAAACGAGTTGTCGGGGCCACCGACGGGACCATGATCGAACGAAAGCTTGCCACGGTCAATGAACTCGGTGTGAACGACGACATTGTTGTTGTTACGTGAAGAGAGACCGGTGTGGTTCCTAGCAGCATAAGTGGCGTTGCCCCACTCGGCACGCTGACGGTACTCAGTGTAGACCTGAGGACGCTTGCGTGTGACGAAGAAGACCGAGGTGTCATCCTTCTCGTAGTACTGCTGGTCGTAGGCGTAGTTCTCGTAATCAAAGTCATGACCAGTAACCCATCGCTCGTCGATGTCGGTGTAGAGCTGAATGCTACGACCCTTGATGGTGGACTTGTCGAGCTCGACGTGCAGGTAGCTCAAGGGCAGACTCTGACGAAGGTAGTCATCGGGAGTGATGGGAGTGAGGAAAGTGACGTTGAACTTGACCTTGTCAGCTTCGAAAGTGAACATGGTACGAGTAGCAGTGTACTCTGCACTGAGCTGTGTGGCAGCGGAACCAGCACGAACAAGAGTGCCAAAACCGTTGCCCATCCATTCATAAGTGACGTTGTCGATACGGATGTAACCAGACCAACCGAGACGATACTCGCCGTCAGCACCATATGACGAGGTCCAGAATGAGGGCCACTGGCCAGCCAAGTAGCCGCCATTGCCGACGGTGTTGGGAGGAGTCGAGTCCAAGTTAGAGCCCGAAGGAAGCCAAGCATTGAAGTATGGGCTCCTCACAGCAAGAGGGAAAGAAGGCGGGTTGACGGGATAGAAGGAGCTCGAGGAAAAAGCCTGCTTGGCATTTGTGATACCAGGGTTGCTGCTCGCAGAGGTGGAAGTGGAAGCCGAGTCAGGCGAAGAAGCGGCAGGTGATTGAGCGGACTTGGACTTTTCACCTTGGGTAACGAGCTTGAAGTCGGGGACGTTGAGTTTGCCATCCTCTAGGATGGTAGGCTGGGTCTGCTGAACACTCCATTGAACACCAGACTGTCGAGGGTCAGAGCTCAAGCTGAACGTGTTTGCGCCAGCGGGGAGACGCTTTTGGGAAGCAGGACGAGTAAGATCAGCGAGCGCTTCGAACAAGGTGTTGAGGCCTTCGGACTTGGCAAGGGATGCTTGAGCGTGTTGAGGACCAACAAGCAAGAATGCTGTGACGAGCGCTGAGGCGGGCAACCTCATCGTGGGAAAGAACCGTTTCAGAGGGAAAAGAGAGGGTACTCGAGAAGACTGTTGGAAGCGTCACTCTTGAGCAGTGCAAGTGCCTAAGGAGGCCCTTTATAGAGATCAGCAGATCGTAACAGCGGCTAACCAAGATGCAAAGTAGTGCTATGGAACAGTCTTCACAATTGCAGCAAAGCTGTATCGATAGTCCGGAAGCGTTTACCGAGAGCTACTGTGGCGGTCCACACAGGCGTGCGACCCCTGAAGTGGCTTGCAAGATTCTTGAATCGGTGCGGTCTAGTGGGGGTGGAAGCGAGCAAGCGAGCGATGGAAAGAGGCGTGGGTCTATGCGAGATGAAGGCGTGGGGGTCCTAGCGAAGGACCGAAAGCTAGAACAGGTCAGCGGCGGCGTTAGCGGCTGCTTCAGGAGGAGGAAAGAAGGATGGTGGTAACAAAGTGCACTGGGACAGGGCTGGAGGAAGGTTACAGTAGAAGTAGAGTGGTCCGAGATACAGTCTAAGTGGGGCTCTGTGCTCGTACATAAGCGTGATTCTTTGTCTTGAGTCGAGGTCCGTGTCCGAAGGAAGGACTAAGCGGGGGATCGAGAAGCTTGAGACAGTCCATTCATTCGCACAGGGTCGGCAATGATCGAGAATGAATGAATGGGAGGATGAAGCAGCTATGGAGCGTAGGCCCGAAAACTGCATTGGAGACACAAGAAGGGCAGAACAAGAGAATGTAGAAGGGGAGGCCACCCACATCGAACGCCACTTCTCTCTCGTGCGTCGTGGGACAAGGATCAAGCGAGTAGAACAGCTACCGTCACAGTACATCACTGCAATAGAACGACAGTTGTTGACGGAAGGAAGAGCGCCGTTTGTATTGCCAGCCAGCCAGCCATACTCTCACAGAGTCGCCGGGAAGGAACAGAGCCAAGAAAGTCCGGGGACTTGAGCGCTTCCGCTCGGTTATATGACTCGCTTTGCGGGGAAGAACATGTGAATCTTTTGGCTTCAAAGATGTCAGATCAGAGCACCATGCACATCTGATATACCGACTCTCTTTGTATCCCCCAGGCAACAATAGCTTTGTGAAAGAAGGTCGACAAGTGTCATTGTATTATCAGTGCATGCATGCTTTCTTGATTGCAAGGCTCGCCTTTTTACTCTTCATCCTGAGCACTGTTGACTTGGCGGCTGATCCTGTGCACTGCCTTGAGGTAGATCTTGACCGCCTCAGGGTCCACACCGGGCGTGATACCGTGTCCCAAGTTGGCAATGTAAGCTCCTCCGCCACCAAATCCACCCTTCTTGGATCGCAGCATCTCCTCCACCTTGGCCTCGATGGCCTCCTTGCCAGCGTACAGGACAGCAGGGTCCATGTTACCCTGCAACGCCAATCGATGTCCGGCCTCGTTCTGTCCACTAGCATTCTTGTAGCTCGACTTGCCTGGCGAAGCAAGCTCTACCACCTTACGCGCCACGCAAGGCTCCACGGTCCAGTCAAGACCAACAACGTCATAGCCAGCCTTGACTACCTCGGGCAATGAGTGGCCAAGCGCACCCTTAGCGAAAACGATCAAAGGTGGGCATGGAATCGACTTGGTCGAAAGAATGTCGCGCACCGAAGCAGCAATCGATCGCAGGTATGGCAGCGAGAACTGACGCAAGTCAGAAGGCGAGAGCTCGCCAGCCCACGAGTCAAACACTTGCAGCAACTGCGCACCTGCCTTGACCTGGCCCACAAGGAAGTCAGTGCAGACATCAGCGATCCTCTGCAAAAGTTGCTTTGACTCCTCCGGGTACTTGAACAACCATGTCTTGGCCTTCTCGAATGTCTTGCTTCCTCCACCTTCCACCATGTATGCCATCAAAGTCCAGGGAGCACCGCAGAATCCGATCAGTGGCACTTCGCCGTCAAGCTTGGTGCGAGTCAATTTGATTGCCTCGTACACGTAGCCAAGCTCCTTTTCGACATCCACCTTCTTTTTAAGCTTGGTGGCAATGTCCTTGGGCGTCACCAGCGGGTCGGGGAAGTGGGGTCCCTTGGCAGGAAGCATCTCCACTTCCATACCCATAGCTTGTGGGATGACGAGGATGTCGGAGAAGATGATGGCAGCATCGAGCAGACCAGAGTATCGACGGATAGGTTGCACTGTGATTTCCGACGCCAGCTCAGGGTCGCGGCAGCACTCGAAAAAGTCGTGGTCTTCACGGATCTTGCGGAACTCTGTCGATGCGGAAAGGGAGTGCAATTTGAGTCAGTGATAAGCTCAAGAGAACAATCCAAGAGAGTCTGCTGGGCGCATCAGCAACAGGCAAGCTGTTGGATAGCGCTGAGAGCAGCTGAGCGAACGAGAACTTACCCGGAAGGTATCGGCCAGCCTGACGCATGATCCAGCATGGAGCACGCTCAGTCTGATGACCGCGGGCAGCACGAATGATCAAGTCATTTTTGAGCCCCTCTTCGGGCTTTCGGCATTCCTTATCCTTTCGCTGAGTGAAGGATTGCAGGTGCTGCATGCCTGGGATCTTGGACGACATCTCGGGTTGCAGTAAAAAGTGATCGAGTATGATCCGTTTCGGCGAGCTCTTTGGGCTAGTTTGGTGAGCAGAGCAACTTCAGGCGAGGTTGAGGAAGGAGGCAAGGTAGATGCGTGGAAGCTTAGAAGCGCATTTGGTGGAGCGTGCAAGTCAGACACAAGTGTTGAAATCGCCCGATTCAGTCAGCCGAGTTGGCGCGAAAAAGTCGATAGCCCGATTTCAGTGAGATCTTCTTACGGAAGCACAGGCTGTTGAAAGTAGACAATCCAACATGGTGATGTAATCAGACATAAGGCAATATGTGAGAGATCGGGTAAAGCAGATCTGATCGGAGATTAGAGAGAGACGATCTCGCCAGGGATCGGATCCAACCTCCGCTCGTTGTCAGGCATCGTCATTAAGTAGATAGCACCCACACTCGGTATCAGCCTCAGAGATGTATATATATTTGCCTGAGAACTCTAGGTTCTCGCCATGTTTCACTTGAGTCAATTGAGTATACATGTTTCTGTCTTTTAGCAGCAGTGACATCGTACTTAGACTCTCCCCGATCGCCAGTATCGGGACCAAAACGTCTTCACTTTTCAACACAGGCTAAGCTGGCTTGCAAATTGACTGTTGGCCTTTGTTCAAGCTCTTCGGGCTGGACCCTCTGTGCTTCTTCACGGCCTCAACATCAAGTCTCGTCGTGATGCTTCGTCTCATCAAAGCTTTCTGTCCTACTAGACGGTGGGAGGCCAGCACAGACAGGAGACACAGACTGGCTGGTGGAATCGAGAAGAATGTACAATCACAACGGTATCAATGAAAGGGTGTATAGTACAGTACAGTACACGGGGAATACAGTTCGAGCTCGCAAGGCATGCTCGACAAAGCCGGTTTGCAACTGAAGCCTTTCACTGATGATGGCATAGCTTCTAGAATCCAGCAAGTATGGGCAAGGTCCGGGTTGAAGACTGTTTCGGTAAGAGTACAAGCTGGCTGTCGTCATCTCGAGTGTGGACGAAGAAGGCGAGCGCGGTCGAGCAGCGCCGGAAGGAAGGACACGGTGACAAAGGTAGGCAGAGTTGCCACCTTACTGTCTCAAGGTGGCATTTTGGTTCATATTGACCTCGTGTTCCTTCTTTTGCTGGTTCCACGTTGCCATGTTCTCGGTCGTCTTGTCTTGGTATACGCGTCTCTGCTCGTCTGTGAGCGCCTTCCATGCTTCCGACACCTTGCCCAACACTTCCGAGTAGGGCATGCCTGGATGCTTCTTGCGGATCTCTTGTCGCACCTCATTCTGGAACAGCAAGTAGGCACTTGGAGGTCGCTTAGGCGCATCTGGGTCACGGAGACGCTTCTCCTTGCGCTTTTGCAACTTGCTCAACTTCTTGACTGCCTTGCCGTCGGCTCCTGCTGTACCTGCTGCTGCAGCTGTGTCGGCACCGGGTGCGGCGACGCTTGGATGCGAGCCATTTGCAATGCTGAGGAAGTCGAAGGATGTTGGCACACCTCCAGCGCTGCCTGCGCTCGAGACATTGCCTTGTTGTGCTAGTACGAGGGCTGCGACATTAGGGTTCTGTCGTGCTACCACCTTGACGAAAGCGTCGCACGAGTCTGCGGCGTGACGAAGTTGAGCTGAGAGGCGGCTTACCGCGTCGAACATCTGTTCCGAAGAAAGTCATGTTGTCAGCTCATCTGATCATATGTGGTGACAATAGCAGCAAGCAGCTCTGTGTGTGTCTGTGTCTGTGTCTGTGTCTGTGTCTGTCTGTCTGTCTGTCTGTCTGTCTCGTGGCCAGTGTCCAACTTACGGTCTGTCTTGCGATGAAAATGTCGTCACCTTGGGCACCCGAGTGACTCATGGCAGGGTTGAAAGCGGCATGTTGGTGATGTGGTGCCTGCTGATGATGGTGCTGATGCGATCCAGCATGGTGCTGGTGTGCGGCGCCTGTCACTCCATGCGACAGGAGACCGTATTGGTCGAAACTGGCGGCATTCATAGCGGAAAAGATGGTGGGCGGCTAGAGGACGTCAAAATCGGACGCTGCGATGATGACCAAAGAGGCAGTTGAGGCAGCGATGATGAGCACTAGGTCTACGTGTTAGGAGTGGCGGGGGGGGGGGGGGGGCGATGTGGAATGCGGAGGTGTGAGAGCGTGCAACGCAACAGGTGGAGGAACAAGGGGCGAGAGCGTCGAGAAGGCGTTGGCGTCGGCGAGAGCGCGTTAGGTAGCACAAGGAAAGTCAAGCGAAAGCAAGACAGGATGTAACATGCCGGATGAACAATCGACAGCGAGAACATGTCGCAGTCGGGTCAACGGCAGAAGGAAGCCGGCGATAGAGTGCAAGAGAAGCAAGCAAGAAAGGATTCCCAACAAGAACGGCAGAGCGCGTAAAGACACGCGTCAAACGCGATTGGATATAGCCAACAGAGAGCGGTTGGGTGGTGGTCAGCAAGCTGTCATCGCTTTCCACATGATAATCATTTTTAGAGACAAGAAGGGCGCAAGAGACTGGAGAACAAGAGACTGGAGAACTGAGGACAGCAAAGGCGCTGCGAACTCAATACAAAGGGAAAAAGCAAAGGAAATCGAATGGGAAAAGGATAGGAAAGTCAAGACTTACCAAGTAAGGAAGCAGCTTTGATTTGCGATGGAAATGGATACGAATGGTTGGGAAGATGGATTTACACGACTTTGAAACAAAGGTGGAAAGAAGGGAAAGTGATGGATTAGAGAGAGTCGAAAGGGTCCATGTATTTCTAGTATTCGAGAGCTCTTCTGAAATCACTCGATTTCAGGTCGGTTTACGATCACTTGGAACCTCCTTGAAAGCAACTTGTAACTCGAGCGAGAAACAGCTTCACCAATCGCTGAAATTCTCTGTAATCACGACTAGCGCTAGGGTTCCAAAGCGTGTCGAAGTCAAGAACCACCTTTTTGATTACGAATTGGCTCAAAGAAAAGCAAGCTCTAACAGCCGAAGGCGCCTTTTCGCGGTGCCTTCCAAAGCTGCCTGGAGCCAGGCGAGAAGTAAAAAAAAAAAATGTTAGATCTTTGTTTCGAATTCTGTCGGCCGGTAGCACTGAAACCTTACACAATGTAAAGGATGAGTCGAGCGTGTGGATCAGCGCTATTTAGGCCAGAATTTCAGGATGAGCCTCTCTTTCATACTTCCATCAACCATCCAGAGCAAGGAGCTTCCCAACTCTTAGCACTTTGCCTTGAGAGCTGAAAGGTCTACCAGACATTGGCTCGCTGAAGGAGGCGGCCGATTACCAGCCAGCTTGTCCTCTGTAGCCAAAAGCTCAGCTGCGAAAAGACCTGAAATCCTGTACTTGCGATAAGAGAGAAGAGACGCACAAGGTTGTTTGGCCTCTGGCTTAACGATTGCTGCTCTGCCAAAGCGTTGACTGTTGCTACTACTGCTGCTACCGCTGTCGTTATCGCTATTGCTGCTGCGGTTGACGTCCTCGTTAGTTAGCGAGGTAGTTGTCCTTGCTCTCCTTGCTGCCTCTTCCTCTCATCGTCTCATGCGGTCCAGTCTCGGTGTCAAACTTCTCGCCGTCTTGCATAGGCTTCTCAAGCACTCGAGATCACGACACTCACCTCTACCTGTAAGTATCAAGCCAACCCCCCTCCATCTTGCTCCCCTCCATGTGCCGGCTCTATTGCTGGTACTCAAGACGTTCCTGAGCAAATTTGGCCAGGTCTAGCGCCTTGAATGTCGCAGACCCTTTGTCAATCAAAACAATCACATACAACCATCATCCGAAGTGAAAGAAATATCCAAGGCGGCAGGGGGCGTTGGGAGACAGTAAGAGAACTCAGTAGCGGGCGAGGCATGCCGTACAGCAAAGGGCAGGCCACATTTTGGCGGTCGAATCGCTGTCGAATCGCTGTCGAATCGCTGTCGAATCGCGGTCGAATCGCGGTCGAATCGCGATCTATTCTGGCTCGGCTGGTCGGCAATGATCTCGTCCTGGTGGGCTCGAATTAACAGTCAAGTTAAAACAAAGAAAGGCAAGGTGAAGCGCGCGACGGATGGAAAATGTGCGCTGTTTGCATAGAGGATGTAACATGCACAGCCTTTTTGTTTTTTCTTTTTTTTTTTTTTTGGTTTTTCTTTTTTTTTGGTTTTTTCTTTTTTTTTGGGTTTTAACTTGCCTCACACGTCTCGCGACTGAGAGGAACGGTCGAGCCAAGAATTGCAAATCAGAAGTCGAACAGTCGCCTGCTCCTGTCCTTCCTTGCTTCCTGTCCTTCCTTGCTTCCTGGCCTTCCTTGCTTCCTGGCCTCCATGCCTGCCTACTCCATCAGCTGTCCTCAGCTGCTCACATCGCCGAAACCATCTCATCGCATCTCTGGCTCGAAGCCCTTGGGGCTCGCCCGAAAACTCGTTCTTCAGCAAGTCTGCGGCACAAGTAGCGGGTCAGAGGGCAGATCGAGCTCCCACGTGCAGCTAGCTGCGCATATAGCCGGCCATCTGTTGACGCCGTCGAGCCACGGACCTGTCCAGATAACCTTCTTGTTGGATCTTGATGGAACTGGAATCGATGGACCAAAGTGAAGCACAATCTGCATCTCTATCCTTGCATACTTGTATGAAAAGAACATGTACTGAAAATCATACTCTCTTGATTGAACGCCATCTAGGCATAGCTTCCATTCCTTCCCATCCCGCATTCCTTCCCATCTCGCATCCTTTCCCGTCTGGAAAAGCGTCCGCATCACGCCGAGATGGATCAACCTCATGGCTACGGCTCGTGGACCATGCAGCCAAACAGCAACCCGGAGCTGCCATGGCATCTCGGGCCAAGCGACCCTTCGCAAAACATCATGCAGACCTCGATGCCCTCGCTTTACGCCTCCTCCGCCTCATCATCTTCTGATCCTGCTGTTTCGTCCATATACCCAGGCTTCGTAGGAAATCACCACCACTTCTTTCAACAGCACCAACAGCAGCAGCACCAGCAGCAGCAGCAGCATCTCCTACAACACTACCAGTCGTCCCAGTATCCGCAACAGCAAGTGCAGCAATACCAAGCAGCAGCCACCTCTCTACCCTCCGCATCGACAACGCATCATGACGATTCGATCTCAGTCGACGCCGCAACCATACGTGGACTACAGGCGCTCTTCCCCGACGCTGCCCCCAACATGCTCAGGGACGCCGCGCTTGACTCTCATCCATCAATGGCGGTGGCACCTTCCTATTCGCAGCAACCCTCTCAGCAGGACGTGTACAGTGCTCAATCGGATCACACGCTTGCCAATGCCTTGGACTTTACGAGACCATCTTCTGCGCCTCAACAAGCAATTCCGAACCCGCTGTATGCTTATCCGCAGTCTGCCTCTCCCTTACCGCCAGCGTCGAACCATGTATCAAACACCCCGCAAACAAACAATGCAACGCCACAAGCACAAGCAAACGCAAGCGCATCGGATCCACAACCGAACAAGAAAGCGACAAGCACCAAGCTGCGTCAATCGGAACTCACTTTCCTTCCAGGCATTGCCTCATCTGTGAGCAAAGAAGCACCTCGGTCGATCCCTGCGCCCATCGCCATCCCTCCGACTCAAGCCGTGTCCGATCTGGCATTCGAACCCACCACACCTCCGATCCCTCCTGCCAAAGCATTGGTGACCAAGCCAACGGCCGGTGGAGCAAGCATCATTAATGACCTCACCAAGGCCAGTGCAGTACCTCCCGCTAGCGTCGACAGTTTATTATGGACCAAAGCAAAGCAGCCCTTGTCTCGCTTGTCGGTCGAGCGTTGGCCCGAAGCATCAGCACGCCAACTTGTGCAAATGCTTTGTGCTGTCGACTCGGATGGCAAGTTCCGAAAACCTATTTCAACGGGCGCCGAAGTGCGCAAGACGATCCTCGAGACCTTGAATGCGATTGCGACTCTCGAGAAAGGTCGAGGTTTCACTGAACACGGTCGCAAAAAGTTCTTTGGGAGCTGGATGTCGATCCCAGGAGGCCGTCATGTCCTCGCGACCTGGTTGAAGCAGACAGTCCCGCCCAAGAAGGTGTCGGAAGGCACTGCAGACATGAGTCGACGATACAAAGAGACGCTGATACTACTGCTCAGCATTCTCGACTTTGTTGACATCAAGAAGGCCTACCTCACCGACGAAGCAGGTCTCGGCAAAGCTATCACCGGCGTCTCGCTCCGTGCAGTGGATCCGACGGCGCGCAAGCTGGCCGAAAAGCTCAAGGCAAAGTGGACGAAAGTCATCGACGAGGAAGAGTCGACCAGACGTCCTGTCTCGACTTCTGCCTCGACTTTTGCCTCGACTTTTGCCTCGACTTCTGCCTCGACTTCTGCCTCTACTGCTGCATCCTCGTCGTCGTCGACGGCGGCCGCCAAGCGAAAGCCCAGGGAGAACTCAGGTACGAGTGAAACGAGCACAAAGCGTTACAAAAGCGCAGCATCGACTCCTTCCACCGCATCAGGCGCTCGAACGACGACAACGGCCAAATCGACGAGGGCTTCTGCCGCAAGCAATGCCAAATCAGGACTACCCTTCTTCGCTTCAGGCACTACGATCAAGAAACCTGCAGGTGCGACCGGCGCATCATCCAGCGCGGGCAGTAGTCGCGCTGGTTCAGACTCGTCTTCAGCTGGAGGTGCTGGCAGGATGAAGGCGCATCAAAGCGTCATGAGCCTGATGGACAAGATAAGCGGTGGAAATGCCAGCGATCGTGCCGCTGCGGGAAGCAAGGAAGGAGAAGGATCGTCTGCTAGTGCTCAGGAGAAGAAGAAAGTCAAGAAACGCGTTAGCTGGAAGGATGACAGCGAGCTCGTCGCAGTCAAATTGATCGAGCCAGCAGACTACGGTCAAGACGAGGAGGAAGACTTTGCCGAGACGGCGGCTCAGACGGCAGCGGTGGATGGGCATGACGAGGGTCTTGCTCTGCGCCAGTCGGTCAGCACGATGGAAGAACAGATGGACTGGTACGAGCCACGAGAGGTGCTCGTCCCCATGATTGTTTACGAACCTGTTGGAAGCGAATCAGTCGAAGGTCCCTTCCAGACACAACGCAATGCACAATTGGAGGAGAAGGTCTACCAAGAAGGGCAAGAGCCTGAAAGTCCGGATGAGAGCCAGCTCAAACAGCCTGGCTCGACGTCTGACACCCCAGCAGAACTCAAAGATGTCGAAACTGTCGAGATTCCAACGCCTTGGATGGACGAGGAGGTGGAGGAGCGCGCAAATGAAGTGGAGCAAACAGGGCATATCGGTAGCGAAGGCGACGTCAAGATCGAATCAGGACCTCTGGCGACTGGGATCGACGTCGGCGCGTTGCTTGCCAACATTAAGCCTGTTCTGAGTGCAGCAAATGGCTTGTCGGCAGGCCCAGGGCGAGCAGCAAGTTGGACATCCACATCTGCTTCGAGCTCAGCGTCCGCAGCTCCACCCAGCTTCGACGCCAATCAGATCCGTTCGCTCTTGGATGCGACCGAGGGAAGCGGGCCCACTTTGAACGCTGTAAATGCGGCAATGGCCTCTCAGAACATGACGAGCGGGAATCTCTCTGCATTGCTCGCAAGTCTGTCCTCTACTGTCAATGGATCGCAGGCAAGCGCACCGTCAGGCGTTCAAGGCGGAAGCAGCGGCGGTGGCTGGGATCAAAGTCAACACGCTTACGGTGCCGGCGCAAACAATCGCGTGCAAGAAAGCTACCCGGGCGAGTACAAGCGCGACTACACGCAGTCATCGTCGCAACACTATGGACAAGCGTCGCGTTTGTACGATTACCACAACGCTCAGTCTGGATGGGAGAGCGAAGGACTGACCAACTATGGCGGCGGCAGTAGCAACTACGCAGGCAGTTCGCACACGAGGCCATGCAAGTTTTTCGCACAGGGCAACTGCTTCCGGGGCGACTCGTGCCGTTTCCGACATGGTTGAGAGCAGCATCTGGTCTTGGTTCTTTTGCCTCTCACTCTTTTTTGTTTGACGTTGTGATCAGTCTTGATGTTCAGTTCGGATCGGTTAGCATTTTGTACTCTATTCCCATTGTCTGAAAGCATTCAAAACTCAACTCTGTTCGCTGCATCGTGCATTGATGAAGAAGGGGTCTGATCAAGACGTTTGGCAAAGGTGGGAAATGCAAAATTCACTGGGCTGTGGGTGATGAAGTGGTGACAATAATTTGCTGCTGTCAGACAACAGTAAATGGGGTTGTGTGTGTGTGTGTGTAACGTTATTACGTGCGCAAGCTATATGCGCTGTGTAATGGTGTAACTAGATGGATTGCCGGAAGGAAGGAGGAGATCTAAGGAGAAGCTAGTTTGAGTACTAGCTTCCGTACAAGCAAAGATTTGCGCCATGATATCAATCGAGCGTTCTCGTGCGGCTAGTATTCGCACGATAGAGTACCCAGGCGTGACTGTGTGTGTGTGTGTGTGTGTGTGGATGTGGGGTCGAGAAAGTGGAGGCGAGAAAGTGGAGGAAAATTTGGACTTTCCTTGGCGGCCCTTCTGCCAGCTCAGCTTTAGTCTCAGCCGAGGATCAGGAAGGGATCAAAGCGTTGAGCATCTCGATTGGTCTTGATCATCGACATCAGCTAGGATGGAAAGGACAACCAGGATAGAAAGGACAACCAGGATGGTCTCGGCAGCATCAACGTGGAAGGAAGCGGAGGAGAGCGTGCTTTCTTGCACAGCTCAGATCATGAACCAAGCAGTCAAAGTGCTTCGGTCGAAAGCCATTACGGACAATTCATACACATTCGAAAGCAAGACGATCGCTGGCTCATCAGCGGGCAAGCACTTTCGACACGTGCTCGATCATCTGCGTATCTTACTGGACGCCATCGAGGAATGGCAATCAAGCACTACTGGTCTCGCTGCTCGATGTAGATCCAATGCATCGGCGACCTTGTCTGAGGCAAGTGGAAGCGAATCGAACAAGATGCTGCGGGTAGACTATGACTCGCGCATCAACTCGAAAGTGGCCCACCTCGAGACTTGCGTTGCAGCGTCGTTAGAAGAGTTTGAGCGCACTGTCGAACGACTCTGTCGCATCTTTGAAGGGTCTAATGGACGACTATACGGACAAGCATTGCGATTGTGTGCGACGACGCCCTTGGTGGTGGAAATGGAGAGCACAGTGGGTCGAGAATTGTGGTTCTGTGGCCTCCATGCGATCCATCACTATGCGCTGGCAAGAGTGATCTTGGTCAAAGAGCTTGGTCTGGAAGGCATTGAGGAGCAATTTGGAGTTGCACCTAGCACATTGGTTCACAGAGAATGGCGCAAGGCCTCGAACCGTACCGATGTCGCACACCATGTCTTGGCGCCAGGGCTGAAGGATGAACTGACAAGAAACAGCAGCAGCAAATCATCTCGATCATCTCGCACAGCATCTTGCTCGAGCAGACACTGGAAAGGACATTCGCAGACATCTCGTCACCGTCAGGTCAGATGCAAGCTTTGACGCTCTTCATCTCCAACACACGCACCATACAAGCATCAGGATCGGCGTTCTACTTGTTACTGTTATGGCATCTAGTTCGGAAAGCAATCCTACCTGGAAAGCAATCCTACCTGGAAAGCAATCCTACCTGGAATGCATTCTTGATCGACGCAAAGACTGCCTTGCCATCTGTCGCTCGCACTTGCATGTGACGTTTAAGCTGGATCGCAATGAACTGTTCAGAGGCTTGCCCAGCATTGTCGAGTTTGCCTGACGGGAGAAAATGGAAGCAGGGGAAAAGAAAAGAAAAATTGGGGACCAGAAATGAAGCCTTAAAAGTCATTGAGTTTGGGCAGAGATCGGGGATGAAAGATCGGGGATGAAAGATCGGGACGATTGCGATTCGACCCTGTCGCAAATAAAGTCAGCGATCAGAGCGGCGGCTGTGTCTTCTGAAAACGTGGATGCAACATCAGCGACGAGTCTGGAAGGAATGGCTCGCACACGAAGCAGGCTCCACATAGCATTGCATAGCATTGCATAGCATTGCGTTGGTTTCGAGAGCAAGGTATTGTTTTTGCTGGCAGGCAACGAATCGCGTTGGAGGCAGAAGAACAAGAGGATGCAAGAGGCTATTTCTTAGCAGCGGAGCTGAGCGTGGATTGTACACTCTAACAACAGTATGGCCGCCTAGAGATAAGCAGAAAGAGAAGCCTAACAGATAGGGCTGAGTTGTCATGTCTTGGGATGAGCGGGGCTTGAAAACACCACGAGCTGGAATTCAAACTGAACATGCTTTGTCAGATTCCATCCGCACACACACACACACCCACAAAATAAATGCAGTGCCTCTCTTGTTGCCTGCGTCGGTGAAGAGAGAGAGAGAGGGGTGTTAAGGGATCAGGCAGTATCTGTTCGAGAGTAACTGAGTCGATAATTTTAGATGAGTAAATACATGAAATATAATGCATATATATAGATGATTGTCTGCCAAGCATGTGTTTGAGAATATGGCTAAGTCAAGTGAATCTATCATGTACAGCTTGAAGGGGATGTCTTTCGAGGACAAGAGAGAACATTGAGTACAAAGGGGATGGGGTTGCATGAGAATGTTGCAACCATGAATGGAGTCCATTGTCAAGTTTTGGTGAAATGGAGGAACAAAGGTATTTGAAAGAAATGAGAATCAAAGGGGACTCATGAGAATGGGAAAGATATGCAGGCCTTTGAAATCAGTTGGCGAAATGAGATGTGCATGTCAAATTTTAACTGTCCCCCTCGCCATCTGAGGAAGTAGGGCTTTCAATGGGTTCAATGGGACTTTGGCAAGTAAAACCTAATCACTGTTGTGCAGTAGTCATTAGATGTTGGCTTACTGGCTTAGTTAAGAAATCTGTGACATTATTGAGGGTTCTGACATATTCAATATCTACTTCCTTTTCTTGGACCGAGAAGTGAAGAAAGTGGTATCTAGTGTCAATATGCTTAAGCTTGGCATGATTTACTGGGTCTTGTCCTACTTGTATACAACCAGTGTTGTCCGTTAGGATCTTGGGTACAAAATCTCCTATATCCAAGCCTTGTAAGAGATATCTATAGAAAAGTGCCTCTCGAGAGGCTTTGGAGGCTGCCACAAATTCGGCTTCGATGGCTGATAGGGATACACATTTTTGAACATGAGACTTCCATCCTACCAAGCTCCCAAATATTAGGGTGATGGATCCAGAAGTGCTGTGTCAGTTGGTATTTGGGTCAGAGGCCCAATTTGCATCTGTATATGTGACGATTGGGGGGGCGTTGGTCTTATCATTTCCTAGAGTGAGTATCTCATCTTTAGTCTGGTTTAGATACTTGACAACTTTGAGAGCTGCTTGCATCACTTTGGGGGAGGGCCTAGATATGTGTTGAGCAAGAGTATTCACTGCAAAGCAAATATCTGGTCTGACAGTGTTCAAAACCCACATTAGTTTGCCAACTAACAATGGGTATTGTTGTTTGACATCTGCTGGGGGGGTGTAGTTGGGTGGTATAATAGGGGGTGATACATCCATTGGACTTCGTGATTTTTCTCCATTTGGTAGCCATTCTTTGATAATTCCTTCAATGTATGCTCACTGATCGAGACTAATTATTTGCAATTGACAGTTGTGAGTAATTTTGATTTTGAGGAATTCCCTGGCTGGTCCATTGTCTGTTATTTTCCATTTGTCAGTAATTGACCTTTTGACAGTGCCAATTAGGCTCCGTTTTGGCCCCATGATGAGCATGTCATCAACATAAACAGTGATGATTACTTTTGTTTCACCAGTCCCCTGTCAGGGGTCTCGCGCCTGAAACCCAGGTCGGTCTGTCGAGATACTCGGTGACTATCAAACTGTGCAACAGCTATTGTCTTGGTATCGGTGACTATCAAGTTGCGCAGTGACAGCAGGTGGCGTTCGTTGTATATACTATCGTAGGTTTCGGCTGACCTCTGTGGACACTCTGTTCAGGGGTAGCTCAGCACAATCAATATCAATGCTTCAGTTATGATGACACCAAGGTCTGGTGTGAGTGTTGATGATGATGAGGTTGATGACATTGGTGATAAGGTTGGTGAGTGTTGATGATAATGAGGTTGATGGTGTTGGTGATAAGGTTGGTGGCATCAACACAAGTGTCCAGTGTGTTGACTTTGATGCTTGAAGTGATCCCTGGACTGCAGTGGACTACTGCCTTCAGTTCTATCTATATCCAGACCGCTAACCTGCTATGGGGCACCTACAGACATCAGGTAGTGGTGATACAACACACACACTATGATGAGGAGCAACCTTGATAGATTGCTGCTATGCTGACTGTAACTAATGAGTACTTGTGTTTCTAAAGTATTGACTAGTTGTATGGTGAGTAGGGTGGATGAGGATCCACTCAACCTATGATGATGAGAAAGCATGGTTATATACCTCTTCACAGCATTGCCAGCGATGCTGCTCCTGCTCTCTCTCCAGAGAGTACCTTCTTCATCGAGTACTGCTCAGGGGCCTCTCCTGCTTGGCACCCCTGTGCCTCTTGAGTGGTGTCGACTCCTTCGACACTGCTCCTCCTCCTCATGACCTGGTGTCGACTCCTTCGACACTGCTCCTCTTCCTCAGGACCCGCCTGCTAGTGTCCTATACACTGCTCCTTCTCCTTTGACCGGTGACAGTTCCTTTGACTCTTGTCTCTCGAGCCCCTGAGTGGTAACCATCTGAGCTTGGTCCTCTTCGTGGCTGTGCCTGGCCCTCCTCGCATGTGGCTCGTGTCCTCCTTTGCATGTGAGTCCATAGGAGTCCATGGTCTCCATGGAGACTGCACTACGACCATGCTCTCTACTGGTATCGACTAGATCTTCGATACCTGTGCTCCTTCCATATGAACCCGTGACCCTCCTGCTTCTTGAGCATCCAGGCCCATGACATCCCCCTGAGATAAATGCATGGTGCGCAAGGGAGGCTGAGGAAACCCATGGATCGGAGGTGGGCATCCAATTCTAAATTCCATTCTCAGCCAGATTGTTTTAATCCATAGAGTCCTTTGATCAGTTTGTAAACTTTGCCTTTTGGGATATCGGCTCCTTCGGGAGGTTTGAGAAAAACTTCGTGATGCAAGTCGGTGTTGAGATATGCTTGGGTGACATTGATGGAATCTAATTCCCAGTCTTTCCAGGCTGCAACAGTGAGGATTGTACAAATGGCATCTTGTGGAACAACTGGGGCAAATATTTTGTCATAGTCTACACCGGGTCTTTGGGAAAATCCCCTGGTGCAGAATCATGCCTTATACTTGATTGGTATCATGTTTGTGTCAGTCTTGATGGTCAAAACTAATTTAGAGTCAACTAGATTTGTGTTTGGAGGTCTGTCCACTATTTTCCAAATGTTCATCCTCTCAAGTCCATCCATTTCTGCTTTGATTGCTTCTTTCCAATGGGCCTGATTTTCACTGCTTAGAGCTTGCTTGACTGTTGGTTGGAGTACTGGTGATAACAGTTGTGCTTTGGCCTGGTATATCGGGTTTGGTAGGTCAACCAATAGGCCATGCTCCCTTAGGCTTTCTTGGAAGTTTTGTACAGTTTCATCATCTGGCCAGTGCCTTGGGCATTTTCAGAGTAGTATTGCAATTGTGGTAGGATGCATCCAGGGTTGCAATTCCCATGTGCTATGGAATTGGTTGAAATAGTTTTGGTATTTCCTTAGTGTTTCACTTGAATCCAAGTATTGCTTGCTGACTTGTCTGGAGAGAGTCTTTGGGTCCAGCATGGGTGAAACTTCATGAGAGGGTCAGTGCTCGAAATTTGTAATTCTGTCTGAGGCTTGTCCTGTTGGTGTTGTCGATATTTCAGAGGGCTCTGAGCCCTCTGGTGATGGGTTGGGTGAAAAAGGGTCCCCCTCGAGCATCAGATCCTCTTCTGAAGGGGGGTGGTAAATGTTGTCCAGGGGTTGGGAGAGTTCTTCATCAAATTCATCCTCTTCTGAGTATGAGAGATCTTCAATGTTGGCAGTGTTGTCATAGAAAATGGCATCCGTTTCTTTAATTGGCTTTGCATCAGTCCTGTCTTCCCAGCATTGATCCTCCAGGAATCTTACTGAGTTGCTCCAGAATACGCTGGGATTGTGCTTGGGAGATAAAAGTTTCCAACCTTTATGCTCCTCATCATATCCTACAAAGATAGCTGGGATTGCTGAGTCCTTGAGTTTCTTCCTTTTCACCTTGGGTATATTTACCCATGCTAGGCAGCCAAAAGTCCTAAGTAATTTGAATGGTTTCCTGGGATCTTTATTGTAGAAAACCTGATATGGGATTTGATTCTTGACATTTGGCAGCAAGTTTTTCATGTAAGCTGCAGCTTCAAATGCATATGGCCAGAATGTTTGGGGAAGTTGGTGAGTGTGTAGCATTGAGCTCATGATGTTTCAGATCATGCATATGGTTCTCTTGGCCTTGCCATTTTGTTTGCTGGTATAGACTGAAGATTTTTGCCATCTGAACCCAGTTTCATTTTGCCAATGCATGGTGACATTTGAGCACCATTCTCCTCCATTATCAGAGTGTATGGTTTTCAATTGATGTCCAGTTTGAATCTCAGCATATTTGATCCATTCTTGAAGGACATAGAGTGTGTTGGCCTTCTTGCATAGGGGTTTCACATAAGTGAAACTGGAGGCATCATCGATTGCTACCAGCACACAGGTGAATTCAGTTTGTTCTGAGAAATGGGTCAAGAGGTCAACATGGACTAGTTCTAGTGGGTAACTAGCAATAGTTCTGTCGCCTTTGCCCATTCTCGCCTTGGTAGATTTGGTAGCTAGGCAGTCGTGGCATGTAAGGGAGTGGTTGGGTTCGGCATTTAGGTAGGTATGGGGTCGGCGAGGCTTAGGGCATTTCTTAGCAATGTTTCCAGTGTCGAAACAGTTGTAGCACTTGGGGGCCTCTCTGTTGGGTCCTGCCTTGCCATTCCAGTAGCTGTCAGGGTAATCTTCAGTCTGCAAACTTTTGACTACCCTGATGCTGCTGGATGCTGTTCCGGGGGCAGCAACTCGATGGATTGGCTTCAATTGCATCTGCTCCTGACATTTGAGCAGTGCAGCAGCAACTTGATCAAAGTCATGGGTGTTGCCCATGCATTCAAGAGTGTTGATATACATTGCATAAGATGCATTGTATCTGGCTGAGTTGATTAATGTTTGTATTTTCATCAACTGGGGCAAGGGATGTCCCATTGTGTCAGCTTTGGCCCAGTGATTTCGAATGTCTTCAATGAGTTTTCAAACATCATTGTTGTACATTTGAAGATGGCCAGCATCTTGAAGTATAGTGGCTTGGTCTAGATTGTTGTTCTTGAGGAGGTTAGTTTTGATTTGCTCATAGAGCTCGTGGAAGGTCCATGGCATAGAGTCTTTGGGTCTAGCCAGGATGTAGTTCAGGTTATTTGGTCCTTCGATTTCGCAGACCCCAATCAGGATCATCTTGAGTTGCCCATCGAGGATTCTGTCGAATTTCTTGTTGCCAGGCTTAACTTTTCCTTGGAGGTGTCAGAGAGCATCACTCCAGGTGTCAATAGCATCTAAAAATAAGGGGTTCCAAACATGCCAGTTCTTGATGTTGAGCTTTGGGGCTACTCTGATGGTAGTTGAGAACCACCTGAGTAGTCCCAAGAAGTCATTGCACTTTGAGGGTCTTTTGTATTTGTTGGGTTTGTGGACTTGGTGGCTCATAGCCATGAGCATACCTCACATAGTCCTTTGGTCCATGTTTTCAATTTCTTCTTCAGTGATTTGGTTGAATTGGACAGGACTAGTAACATCTTCGGGATTCCAGAGAGATGGGGTCTCTGGTCCAATAATCATCTGGGGGGGCAGGTTGGTGTCAATGGTGGGTGGTAGGTTTGGTTCATTTTCGTTGTCTTCTTCACCTCTGGAGGGCAGTCTTGAATTGGTTGGATTCATCTTTCGTTTTGCTTGAGGGAGTAGTTTGATTTGGTCTTGTCTGGTTATTGTTTGTCAAGGTCAGGGTGTCTTTGTTGGTTTTGGTATTCTTGAGGTATCAAGTTGCTGTTGTTTAGTTGGGAGTGGCATGGTTGCAGTCAGCTTTGCCTTTGTCGATTTAGAGCACTCAGACTCTTAATCTGTTAAGGGATCAGGCAGTATCTGTTTGAGAGTAACTGAGTCGATAATTTTAGATGAGTAAATACATGAAATATAATGCATATATATAGATGATTGTCTGCCAAGCATGTGTTTGAGAATATGGCTAAGTCAAGTGAATCTATTGTGTATGGCTTGAAGGGGATGTCTTTTGGGGACAAGAGAGAACATTGAGTACAAAGGGGATGGGGTTGCATGAGAATGTTGCAACCATGAATGGAGTCTGTTGTCGAGTTTTGGTGAAATGGAGGAACAAAGGTATTTGAAAGAAATGAGAATCAAAGGGGACTCATGAGAATGGGAAAGATATGCAGGCCTTTGAAATCAGTTGGCGAAATGAGACGTGCGCGTCGAATTTTAACTAGGGGAGAGAGAAAAAGCTAAGTCCGAAGCGAACAATGCGTAAGGGCTGATTGCGTCGACGCAACTTACAGCACTGATCCTCCACTCTTCTCATTTCAACTGCCTGCGTCATGATAAAAGGGTCAAAGATCTGATCACCAACTCAACTCAACTGAAATGTGAACGGACAGCAGCCTGTTTTCTAGGCGAGATCGAAAAGGACGCAAAACAGGGCAAATGCCGAGAACAACCTCCGGTGCGGTTCACTGGCCGCCCGCCAGAACAATTTCCTACACTGGGCAACTGCCTCATTGGGGGGGGGGGGGGTACTCTCTACCGCAGGCTTGACTTAGGATTTGTTATTCAACCAACGAGGACCGCTGAATTCCGAGGTTTTCTATTTGAAGCTTGCCTGTTATTTGCCTTGCCTCGCCTGTGCTTCTGCCGGGCAGATGCGGATTAGGGGCTGAATTGAATTCATTTGATTATGCTTTGATTTTACTTTCAAGGCCGTCGGTTAGTATGCGGTTGCAATGCCCAAAGTGTGCTTGCTCGCCTGTCTAAATATTTCGCCGAGTTTGCTGCTGCCAAATCGAAAAAGTTTGCCGTCAACTGTTTCGCTTGTTGCTCTCTCCAAACAGGCGCGTTTCCCCCCTATCCCTCGCTCTGTTGTTGGCCCCACTTGTCAAGGTGCTTGTGTCTGTGTGTCTGTGTGTCTGTGTGTCTGTGTGTCTGTGTGTCTGTGTGTGTGTGTGTGTATATGTGTGTGTGTGTGTGTGTGTGTGTGTGTGTGTGTTGGGTGTCTCTGTCTTAGGGTGTGTCGGTGTTGCTGCCATTACTTTACCCTCGTGTTTCTAACCTTAGACCTTTCCCTCCTTCCCTTTGCTTCCCTCCTTCCACTTCTCACCTTGATCCTTCACCATCACGACCAACACTTCCGGCTTTGCCTTTCATTCGACATCGTAGAACTCTCTTCTCTTCATCCTTCCCTTCCCTTCCCTCCCCTTTCCTTTCCTTTCCTTTGGGTCCTTCCTTCGACGTGCATTCCAGCTTTTCCACTTTCCTTTCCATCTCAACGAGGTATCGCATCACCCCATCAAATATACTCACAATGAAGGCCGCCGTTGCACTTCTTACTGCCCTCCTTGCTGGCGTTTCCGCCCAGGCTCCGGTTCCTCCTTTCCGTTACGGAACTCCCAACCCCAACGCTCCCGGTGTCAGGGGTGTCAACAGGAACGGCCCTACCAACCCTTCCACCCCTCAGCTCAACACTCCCGTCAACCAGACTTCCCTTTCTCGTCTTGCTACCCTCAACTCCGTTGATGATTGGTGCACTTACGGTCCCATGGAACCAGGCACTATCATCGGCAACGTCGAGGGCGAAGTCGTCGCTTACTGCACCAAGCCCCGTAACAATGCCCGTGTCATTGTAAGTATCTCCTCACCTTTTCAGTCTTGTTGCTATCTCCAACACCCCTTGCTAACCCCACCCCTTGCTCTGAATCAATCATGCTATTCTTGCACATTCTAGCCCGACGGAACTGTCACTGGTGCCCACTTTGTCAAGACTCCCCTCTACGTCCAGCTTATGGCTCTGGGTGACTTTACCAAGATCGGCATTACTCCTGGCGATGAGGGTGGTGAGCTTGACCCTCACGGTGCTACCAACATGGGTAACCCTGTTGGTGGTAACGTCACCTCCAACGTCTCCGGTGAGGATGTCTTCTACGAGGAGTGGATGAACTACGTCTCCTACAACCAGGTCTGCTTCCGTATCTGCATCGCCGGTAGCGAGCAGGCTCCTACCGCTCTCGAGTGCGAGCACGAGCTCGATGTCATGGGCTGCCAGTTTGTCATGCCCGGTAACTACGCCGACAACGTCTTTGAGACTTGCGATGGTGATTCCGCCTACCCGCCTGGTCTCTACCCGCAGCCCGACGGTCAGACCTCGACCTTCAAGCAGTTCTTCACCGGCCAGTACGTTGCTGGCGGTATCACTCACGCTTACACCAACGGTGCTGCCGACCAGGTCACTCCTCCGGGCGCCTACTCCACCCCTAGCACTTCCAACTGCAGGACCACCCAATCCATCTCCAACGGCATCCGATCCCTCGTCTCTACCTCCTCCCCTGCTTCCCCTTCCTCCACCTCTGCTCCTGGCTCCATCTCCTCCAACCATACCAGTGCATCCAACTCTTCTTCTGCCTCGCGCGCTTCCGACTCCAACAGCACTTCTTCCTCTGGTAGCTCCAGCGGCGCATCCAGCATGGCCTCGTCTGCTTTCGGCATTGTCGCTTCCCTCGTCGCTGTCGTTGCTGGTGCTTACCTCGTCTAAGTCACTTGGCTCGAAGCCTGCTCATCGTGCTATATTTCCTTTCTGGATTTGCACTCATTGCTAGCATCTTGATCTTTTATTCATTCTTGCCACCTTTCTTGCCACCTCACTCTTTTCATCCTCCATCTTTGGCATTTCCCCCCCCCCCCCCCCCCCCTTTCTAGCATTGTACCGCGCTCCTTTTTGCTCGGTGCTATTATCACTTGCTCTTCATTGTTGAATCGTCTACATCACATTCACTTGTTCTTTGTCCTGCTTTGCTTCCGTCTTTCTTTTTCTAACTTGATACTTTGCGTGCAGCTTCTTTCTTTAAGGACAATCAAACTTGTTTCTGATTTCAACCTTTGATGCAGTGCAGTGATGATTTCTTCTCGGTCTGAGCGACTGTCAGGCCGATGTTTGAAAGCGTTTTAATGTTGGGAGCCAAGATGCAAGCCGAGTTAGAAGGCTATCATATCGAGTCGGCACACAAGCCCATGTGAGGCGATGGGGGTATCATTGTGCTATTACGAGCAAGTCTATCACCTGGCGCAGAGTGCCAATCTCGGGACGAGCAATACAATCAGATTTCAAGGTTAATGCCACCTTACCATCAAGGCAAAGCATTCTTCGGAGCAGGTGGCATGTTGAGCTCACTCGCCTTCTTCTTGACCATCTTCTTGTTCCATTCACGTACTCTAGCAGCGTAGAACTCTCGATGCAGTGAGTAGGTAGCATGCAGTGGATGTTGTTTCGCTAGTGATTCTGCTGATGTTGGAGCTGCCGATGCTGCTGTTGCCAAAGGGGGTGCTTCTGTTGCTATAGAGCTTATCGCTGTACTTGCAAGACCCGACACTGTTGATGTGACGGTTGAGAAGACACTTCCAGCAACTGACATCGCAGAGAAAGGCTTACTCTCCTTCTGCTTTGCTTTGAGTCTGGCCTCGTACTCTGCCTTGATCTTGTCGATCTCCGATTGGCTTACTTTGTCCGGTAACCTTTCTCCACTTGCTCCTCCTCCTCCACCAGCACCTGCTGTTGATGCTGTCGATGAAGACGATGCGGGATCTGAAAGCTTGTTTGCAAAATGTCGATCTGCTAGATGAGCATGACAGACATAGATAAAGTCGAGCGTAGGTATCGATTGGGAGACGAGCACGTGCGGGCTTGACTTGTGGCAGACATAGCAACATTTAGGTGTTCCCGCTTGTCGAAGGACGTAAATGTTTGCTGGCTTGCCGTTGGTCGCCATCGTAGCAGCTCGAGAGATCCTTCGTTGGCTCTGCTAGACTAGGGCTATTGATGTTCCTTGGTGCAGTAACGGTGCGAGTGTCGATGTGCAAGGGCGGATCAAGGTGGAGCAAAGTGTAGCAAAGTGTGGCAATCTGTGACAATCGGTGTCCATCGGCTGCCCGATTGTGCAGATCCACTTGGCCCAAAAAAACAAGAAATTCGAGAAAATGTCCGTTTTTCGAAGGGTCAAGTGAGCATTTCGACACTGTTGTTCTGCCCGAATTTCATTCGATCGGCAACCAAAAGGAAGCAAAAGAAAGCCCAAAAAAAAAAAAAAAAAAAAAAAAAAAAAAAAAAAAGAAAAAAAATCAAATCAAATCAAACACTTTCTGCCACTTTTTGTTCGCTGTTCAGACTTTCACAACCATCTATCTTGCCACCATCTCATTCCCTTCAGAAGTCGACCGGCAACATTTCTTTCTTTCTCTTACACTCCTTTCCTTCTCCGTCTGATCACGACCGGCTTCGTTGATCTTGATAGAAATAGAAGGCTTGGTTCCAGGTCTGTGCCACCAGAACTCGCACCAATACATTCAAGCCAAAGACCAAAAAGCCTCGTTCATTTCTTGAGCAGCTAGTCGTAAGCCTCGTTTGCGTATGGATTGCATCGCAAGCGCTACCTTTATCTCTTCTTGCGCATATACACCGTCTCCTTTCCCTATCTTGCCAGCCAGCGCAGATAGAAAGCGTTAAGCTGTACGACAGATCAGCCCACCATGGGTGTTCCCGCTCTTTTCAGATGGCTTTCCAAAAAGTACCCTCGTATCGTCACTTCGGTGCAAGAGCAAGATCCTAAAACAGCACCCGGTCCAGATGGTTCCGAGATCGTGCTCCCCCTCGACACATCCACGCCCAATCCCAATGGCGAAGAATTCGACTGTTTATATCTAGATATGAATGGTATCGTACATCCATGTACACATCCAGAAGGAAAACCAGCTCCTGAGTCCGAAGAGGAGATGATGATCGAAGTTTTTGCCTACACTGAACGTGTCGTCAACATGGTTCGTCCTCGTCGTTTGCTCATGATGGCTATCGATGGTGTTGCTCCACGTGCAAAGATGAACCAGCAGCGTTCCCGTCGTTTCCGTGCTGCCAAAGAAGCACGCGAAAAGCACCAAGAGAATGAATCTGCTCTTGCCGAATGGAAGGCGAAAGGCCTTCCCATTACAGACCATGCTCTCCAGTCCAAAAAGGCATGGGACTCAAACGCCATCACACCAGGCACGCCCTTCATGGATCTTCTTGCAGCCTCCTTACGATACTGGGTCGCACAGAAGATCAACACCGACCCTGGTTGGAAGGATGTCCAGGTCATCATCTCGGATGCCAGTGTTCCTGGTGAAGGTGAACACAAGATCATGGAACATATCCGTCGTCAACGTTCCCACCCCGAACACGACCCCAACACCAAGCATGTCATCTACGGTCTTGATGCTGATCTTATCATGCTTTCCCTTGCCACCCACGAGCCTTACTTCAAGGTTCTCCGTGAAGACGTCTTTGCTTCCGACAACAAGCCCAAGACTTGCAATATTTGCGGTCAACCAGGCCACTTTGCCGCCAGCTGCAAAGGCTCTCCTAAGAACAAGTCCGGCGAGCATGATGAAAAGGCACAAACGCCGCCCGACAAGAAGCCATTCATCTTCCTCGACCTTCCAACTCTCCGAGAATATCTCCAAGTCGAACTCAACATTCCTCAGCTTCCCTTTGCTTTCGATCTTGAACGCGCCATCGACGACTGGGTCTTCCTTATCTTCTTCGTCGGTAACGATTTCTTGCCCCACCTTCCCTCACTCGAAATCCGCGATGGTGCTATCGATACTCTCCTTCGCATATGGAAGAAAGAGTTGCCGTCTATGGGCGGTTACCTCACCAACCACGGTAAAGTTGAGCTCAGTCGCGCTCAGCTCATCCTCAACGGCCTCGCTTCGGAAGAAGACGACATTTTCCGCCGCAGGAAAGAGGATGAAGATAGACGCGAGAACAACAAGAAGCGTCGTGAAGCCATACAGCAGCGACGTGAGAAGGAGCTTGACGAGGGCAACTTTGGCAACGCTCCTATGGTTGAGGTTATGACCAAGAAGCGTCCTGCTCACGAGACCGAGAAGCCCGCTTTCAACGGTGTTTCGGCACAAGATGCTCGTGAACAGGCCAACAGTAACAACAAATCCTACGATCCACGCAAGAAAGCAGTCGTGCTGGGTGGTGACAACAACAATGTCGTGCGTCAACGCAATGCTGCTCGACAGGCCAACATGGACGCTGCTGAGGCACTAAAGGCTGAGCTGATGGCTCATAATGCCCAACCTCCCGTGAAGAAGGTCAAGACCGAAGCCGGTGCCGAGGCCGCTCCTGCTTCTCCCACCGAGGAAAAGCAGGAGAACGGCGATGACAAAGTGAAGCCATCATCATCCGCTGGCACCAAGCGCAAAGCTGAGGATGTTGATGCTGATGCAGATGGCGAGGTTGCCGTCAAAGCCGAGAATGGCGACGACGCTGCTGAAGAACCAGACGCCGAAGATGATGCTGACGATGACGACGACGACGACAACGTTGAAGGAAACGAAGACGTCGACCCAGTCACCACCATCAAAAAGCGCAAAGTCAACGCCGATGGAACCGTCGATTATCAAGACACGGTCAAAATGTGGGAGCCCGGATACCGCGAACGCTATTACCGCGAAAAATTCGGCGTAGACCTCTCCGACACCGACTTCCGTCGTCAAGTAGTCAAATCCTACATCGAAGGTCTCTCCTGGGTTCTAGCATACTACTACCAAGGTGTGCCCTCATGGCAATGGTACTACCCATTCCACTTCTCCCCCTTTGCCGCTGACTTTGAAGACCTTGCATCACTCGATATCAAGTTCGAACTGGGCGCACCTTTCAAACCGTTCGAACAACTCATGGGTGTTCTCCCCGCCGATTCGCGTGCTTCCATCCCTGAACCTTTCCACCCACTCATGACCGAATCCGATTCGGAAATCATCGATTTCTATCCTAGCGAATTCGAAATTGACATGAACGGTAAAAAGATGGCATGGCAAGGCGTGGCTCTTCTTCCTTTCATCGATGAGAAACGCCTTCTCGATGCACTCAAAGACAAGTACCCCTTGCTTAGCGAAGACGAAGTCCGACGAAACGGATTTGGTAACAACACTTTGTTCGTCGGCAACGAATCTCGTCTCTATGATTTTCTCTGCGAAGAAATCTACTCCAAAAAGGCTTCGGACGAGGAAAAGAAAAAGGCTATCCCAATCAACCCAGCTCTCACCCGCGGAATCACCGGCTATGTCAAGCCGGACCCAGTCTGCGTACCCGGATCGACGTTCAACTCGCCCTTAACGAGTCAGAATCTGCAGGACATTCACAACGATTGTTCAATTTCGGTGCTTTATGATTTTCCCGAGCAAAAGACTCCTCATAGATCGGTGCTGCTGAAGGGTCTGAAGCCGCCTAAGCCGACATTGTCGCCAGCTGAAATTGACTGGGTGAAGAGGGGTAGTCCTGAACGCGGTCGAGGTAAAGGTAGAGGTGGACACGGTGGTCCAGGTCGAGACATGCACCGTAACAACAACGGTAACAACTACAGTAACAACTACAGTAACAATGTTGGTGGGCAAGGTCAGGGTCATGGTAGTTCCAGCTACCGCAGCAACAACGGCGGCGGCGGCGGCGGTGGTGGTGGTGGTGGTGCTGCATCTGCCGGCCGTGGTGAATACGGTGGATACGGAGGGTACGGACAAGAGTATGGAGGGTACAGCAATGGCGGTGGATACGGAGGCTACGGCCAAGAGTATGGAGGATACAGCAATGGCGGTGGATACGGAGGCTACGGTGGCACAGGTCAAGCTGCATACGGCGGTGCCGGCGGTTATGGCGGATACGGAGGCTACGCAAGTGCAGCTGCACCCCCCGCACCTTACGCCGCAGCTGGCGCGTACGACCCATACGCAGGCTACGGCGGATACGGAGGCTCGTCTTACCCCCCGCCCGCTGCACCTGCTGGACCGAAACGAGACGATAGGTATGCGGCTTACACCCGACCTGCTGAATCCCAAGTCCCAGTCAGCGGTGCCGGGGGTAGGGGTGGAAGACACGAAAAACCACACCACTACAACCAACACAGTTCTGGGTATGCTGGATTGCCGAGTCTGGGCGGTCCGCCTCCTCCACCTGCTACTGCTCCGGCTGCTTACGGTGGCTACGCCGCTCCAACGCCTGCGCCTTATGGAGGGTACGGAGGTGCTCCAACCCCTGCAGCTGGTGGATATGGTGGATATGGCGGGTATGGTGGTGGTGGATATGCCGCCCCTCCTCCTCCTGCTGGCGGACGTGGTGGAGGCAGAGGTGGCAGAGGAGGTGGTAGGGGTGGAGGTCAAGGCGGACGCGGAGGAGGAGGAAACGCTTCTTACGGCGGTGGTGGCGGCGCTTATGCCTCTTTCTACTAAACCCAACTCCACCCCTTTCTCAGTCTTCTCTCAGTCACTCAGACCATCTCTACGACAATCGTCAATAAAAACAACAATCCAACACACGCTCACACGCAAGAATCACACAGCTTCAATCACGTATCACAACATCTGTACATATCGCATTCGCATTCGCATTCGCATTCGCATTTTTGCATTAGCAGGGCTCCAACAGGCTTTGCGGTTTCTCTGCAGACTGCGTTTGGTCTGAGTATGTGCCGAGATCCGTCGAGCTGGTGTTTTTTGGATTCAATTGCACAAACGGGATGCATCACGTGATTTCATCCAAAAGGCGTGCCTGTCTGGACTCGACTCAGCCATCGCACTGCTCTCTCCGCTCTCCGCTCTTTGCTCCTCTCTTCACTACCATCACCTTCTCCAAAGCCAGGTACACGATAACCTGGTTAGTCGATTCTTTGCCCTCCCTGTGGGAGCCTCCTTGTCGAGCTTCGAGGACCTCACGGGTCTTTGCCTGCAATCCACCCAGTTTATCTGCACATTATGTTTAGTCGTCTTTTTTTAGTCTCTCGTGCGATTGAGTTCAGACGGGATTTGGATTCTTTGCATTTTTGGACAGCTCGGTTAAACTCACATCCACACATCCACACATCCACACATCCACACACCTCTTCACACGGACAGGAATGCGATGGGAAGATAAAGAAGGATGCATTTGCTCCCGTACCTTCAAGAAGCAGAAGTGAGTTGGGAGAGTGCTTCAGTCAGCCTTCGTACGACCAACTCTTGGAGTCCAAGTTGCACTCGTACCGTATGAAAGAGTCTTTTCTCCAGCGCGATCAAGGTTGACCATGCTTCTTTGTGTTCCATAAACACCTGAGCCAGTGATCTGCCCACGACATCAGCTTCTTGTGCATCAGCGCTAGCAACAGCGAGATGGGAATGAGCAAGTCGAGCATAGGTGGTGAGAGCGGCGAATTGTGCAATCTCTTTACGACGCATGCGCATTTTGGATTCGGCTTTCTGACGGTTCTTCCTCATCTCTTTCGTCTCGCCTGCTACGACGACTCCACTGGTGCACCAAGTGGGTTCCTTGTCGGTTGTCATCCATGAATATAAGCCCAACGGATCTTGTTCTTCGAGCTGAAGCTGGTTGAGCTCTGTCGCGGGGGTTCGATCGTAGAGGGAAGAGGGCTCAGGGCATTGGCGTCGACAGTGTTTGTAGGCGCCTTGAAGCGAGGTAACAATCTCGTTGAGGACGTTGCGTTGCAGCTTTGTTCGATGGTGGTGGAGGGCGATTTTGGCTTTGACTACCGTACCCTCTGCGTTGACTTCTTCCGAGTCTGCATCAGCAGCGACCTTGAGACCAGCAAAGCTAGCACCCAGAGGCGTACACGGTGGAGAGAAAGTCAAGCTGGTCGGTGTGCTCAGGCCCAACGAGAGCTCAGACACTGTCGGAGAGGGCTCTGAACCACCCGCGCCGATCTCGTTGCCGACGAGTAGCAAATCTTGAGCGGCAAAGAGACCAGCGAGAGGACTCCTCTGAGAACCGCTTACCTTAGCTCTGGAAGCATGCGAAGCCATTCGCCTCTCCTTCAAGCTTGCCATCTCCACTGAGTCTTGTGCAAACATAGCCGAAAGGGCGGGAGTGGAGGGTCGTGAACGTCGACATGGCACCGAGCTAAACTTCTTGGTCGATCCCAGCCTAGGTGAAGATGGTAGGGATGCTTGCTGAGCTCCAGGCGTCTGAGGACGGCTGACACCCAACATACCCACACTATCGACCGAGCTTGAAGGCATGCCAGGAAGGCTTCCTACAGTGAGCGAGCGTCGACGAGGCCCGGAAGGCTCAGCGCCTGACAGTCCGTGGGCCGACAGAGCGGGTGAGCCAAGGGAGAAGAAGCTCGGTGAGGTGCTGGATGCAGTGGACGCAATCGAGCGGTTTTGGTAAGGCTCGAAGCGTGTTGCAGTCGCAGTGGCCACCGGTGGTGTCCATGAGTTCGAGTTGATCAGCTCAGACCAGTCGCGGTAAGCCGCGATAATCTGTTGCTGCTGCTGCGGAAGACCAGTCTGGTCATCAAAGGGCTCATAGAGGAATTCTACTGGTAACACCTCTGGATCGAGCCCGCCAGGAGCTGGCACAGCAACTTGCATTGGCATAGGCAAAGGAGCGATCGAAGTAGATGCTTGCGTAAGCCGAGTTGAACAAGCACAACTCGCTGAGGACTGAGTGTTTAAAACGTTTGCGCTGTGGTATGGTGGCTGAGAGAAGGCTGTGAAATCGAAAGCGTGCGATAAGGCTTCGGAAGCCATGATTGCGACCTCGTTGCACTCACTATGCTTGGCCTGCGAATTGGAGCGTTGCATCATAGGCTGAAACGAAGGGTCGAGCTCAAGCATTGCAAAACTTGTGGGTGTTGCTGGAACCGACGGTGTCGATCCTACCGAAGAACCGGCGTGGGCAGACATGGCCATCCCAGCAGACGCTGCGTATGAAAAGCTCGGGTCGTGAGCTGGCACACTAGATGGCGAATGATCCAAGCCAGGTGTTGGCAGAGAGTCTTGCCTTTCGACCATTGGTGTCAACGGGGAGTCGTTACCGTAGAGAAAGAGGCCAGCGTCGCTGGCTTGCATGTCGAGATCAATGGCCATACCAATAGGCGAGCCATCGATGTCGACAAATGCTGAGGAACCGCAGAGCCCATCGAGGGTCTCGTTCTGTGGCAGCCAAGCGGAAAGGGGCGAGGCATTGTTCTCGAGGCTCTTGTATGGCGAGGGAGCTTTATCAAGGTTTTCCAGCTGAAGAGCTGAGCTTGATGGATAGGATGTGCCAATCGAAGTTGAGGCGTGGAGGAAGCCATTGTTGTTGCTTTGATCTGTTGTGCAAGTCGCAGTGAATGCTTGGCGCATCGACGAAATCCATTCGTCTGTGGCATCATTGTGATCTGCTGAAAGGTGAAGCTTTTGTGATTGAGGTTGCGATGTCGTCGTTGTCGACTGCAAGTTGCCACACTGGCAAACGTGTGGGCACATGTTGTGTCAGCAATAGTTCCGGTCTGGTTGCTTTGTGTGCTTGCTGCCACCGTTATCGTCGGCCTGGCTGAGACAATGTCGATGTTTGGTATACGGAGATGGGGATCTATGAAACACAGAGGGGAGGGTGTCGAGCTATTTATGAAAGAGCCCGGAGGTTAAATTTTAGCCGACCCAAAGCCAAGCCATGGCAGGCTTAGCTCGCACTTCGGCTAAGCCCACGAGGCAATAGGCAGTGTCCAACGACCCTTACCTTGGTTCATAGGAAGAGGGTTTGGCACTTGTGCTTGGCTTGCAAGACTTATGCCAAGGTGAAGCTAAGCGCCCGTCCGTGTAGATTCTTGGGACAAGTGTCAAAATACGGAGGACAAAAGAACCGAGACGTTGGAAAACGCTGATGGTCTGCTGCTGCTCAAAAGTGCACTCCGATTGCCAAGGCTAGTCTCTGTGCTCTGATCAAGCTGAGACCAGGGAGGGCAGAGTAAGTGAGAATCGTCAAACAAGAAAAGGTAAAGGCAGCGGGTAAGAAGAGAGACACCAATACCTTGTCTGCTATGTGCGCTACACGAATGCAGTGTTCGATGGACATTCCAGGCTGCTCTTGCTACTTGCGGCGATTTCCCCATTTGGGCAGCTGACGAAGGAGAGCGGCAAAATGAGGTGTGTGGCTGGCTGGCCTCTGAGTCAATGCAGCTGAACGAGCTCGAGTGGGGCAGAGGACGGGGTGAGAGATCTAGGGCTGTAAAGTTCAGATTCAGTCAAGGTTGGGCTAGGACGCAAGCCAAGCAGGCTCCATGAAGCGGTCGATAGAGTCTGTCGCCATCTAGTCTGGGAGCAGCTGCATGAAAAGCGCAACACAAAGAGTGGAAGCGAGAGAAGAGCGGCGAAAGATGGTCGACCAACCACAGACCGAAAGTGGCGTATCATCAAATTCACCGAATGTCAGTCAGGCAACGCTGCATTTCTGTATTTTTGCATTTTCTTTTCATTTTTTCATTTTTGTTTATTTCCGCCTTTTTTCTTGTTAACTTTTCTCATGTCAGTTTTCCCTCGTGGCCACACTCATAACCATTGTCTTTGACTCCTTCACAATCTAAATTGTCTTTCCAAAGCACAGAATTGCTAACAAAAGAAGATCGAAGCATGCACAACAATGATGAGAGCAGCGCAAAAAAAAAAAAAAAAAAAAAAAAAAGAAAAAGAAAAAGAAAAAGAAAAAGAAAAAGAAAAAGAAAAAGAAAAAGAAAAAGAAAAAGAAAAAGAAAAAGAAAAAACAACTCCAATTCCAACCAAACCGATGACACGACAGCCAGTCACGGAGCAGAAAGCGCCATTTTTGACATGGAATTTGCCTATTTTTCATTCGATTGCTATCGCTGACTTTGACCGCTCTTGGCTTCTCTATTGTCCTCGTTTCTCCTTCCGCTCATCCAACTCTTCGCTCCTGCTCCTTGTCCGAGCTCACTTGAATCACTTGATCCAGCTCATGACTCTCTAAAAAATAGCTTGCCCAAAGTTCCTACCGCTTTTGAGGCATCTTGATGATCTTCAGTCTTGTAGAGTTTGAATTAGGGGTCCACAGATTTATCTCTTCGGCTATTGGAAGTTGACATGCCAACGGACCGGAAAGATGGTTCCGTTTGCTCTGCTCCGTTCCTATTGTACCGTAACCTGACGAAAGCTCTTGGACCAGATAGGCGTCAATTCTGCGAGAGGAAAACTCGGCGAATGGATTTCCGGAAGCGGAAAGATCGACCACCGCCGTTTGCGCAGGTGTCTGCTTTTGCTTTCTTTCTCAAGCGCTTTCATTTCCCCTTGGTTGTCTCCCTCATCAACAGCCTTGCCCTCACAGCGAAGGACAAAGGCAATGTATAACCGTGCGACCTTACCGAAATCTCTTGGCTTTTTTTTTTTTTTTTTTTTTTTTTTTTTTTCTCCGCCCGACCAGCAGACACGGTGGTGTACATGACTAATCATCTCTCCCACAAACTTGTTCCAAAGCGACCAATTCCATCAGATCTCGGTCTTTGCAATCGATCTTTGCTTCCCTTGTTCTCTTGTACGTCTCAAGAATGGAGTCGCTGTGATGTTTCGGTAGGATGGGGAGCGCCAATTTTCTCTTTTCCGACGGAACTTCACCGCACCCTTCCCATCGAGTGCGACGCCGCTTGGTGATCTAAGTGGCGTCATCCCCCTACCCTCACGCACACACGCAGATGTGTTAGAAGGAGCCAACTTCAATCTGCATGCAAACCACGACATTGTTAACTCCGGTGTGGCTGTCGCTGGTCGAAACCTTGAGCTCAAGCCAACTGAAACATGGCGCCTCCTGCTCCCGCCTGGACTTGATCGCACAAAACATCGCCGAAATTGTATATACATAACCGAAATTGTATATACATAACACGAAAAACCCAAGTACGCCTTCCTGACCGATCACGTGATGCAGAATCGGACCCTCCTTCCCGCTCGATCGGGGGCTGGATCTACGTTCCGAACCATCGATCGAAAAGCAAGTGGTCGAGCCGAAGAGAGTGTACCATCCATTATCCCTCGAAAGAAGGGGAGTAACTGTTGCTTCGATCTCTTTCTCGTCCTTGTTTTATTGCAGTGCTGTAGATCAGAGATTTCTTGTGGCAAGTGGGCTTAGCAAAGACCGTGGACCTGGCTCTTGAGTTATCTTGCTCTGGCATTTTGATGCGCTGCCATCCCGAACGATCATGCTCTTATCTGTAGGGTTACAAGGTCAACATACGAAGATGAAAAGCTTTCGCTCACCAGTGAAAAATGCGCATCTACAGTTGCATCCAAACTTGCCTGGCATCTTTTAGGATAATTAAATGCTCATCACCACACATCAACTTCACTTCTCAAGAGCTGGTATCCTCAATGAAGTGTAGATTGTGACATATTGTTGGAAAGCTGAGATTGAGAGCTACAAGTACATATAAGTTTTGTTGTGATTGGACCACATTTGTGCACAGTGAAAGTGCCACGACTTTTTTTGAGTGTAAAGCTTCTCCTAAATTACTATATACTATACTTTAGTATTTTGTATGACCCCCTTTTGCAACCCTTACAGCCTGTAACCTCCTGGGCATCGACTTTATGAGTGCCTGGACTGATTTCTTGGGAAAAGTTGCCCAAAACCTTTTGATAGCTGCAATGAGTTAAGCTTTATTGTTGATAGTATATCTTTGCTGATATAGCCACTTTTTCAGCTGCTGCCACACATGTTCTATAGGATTCAGGTCTGGAGACATTGCAGGCCAAGGCAATACATTGAGTTTGACCTCCTCCAGGTACTCCTTGGTGACTTTGGCAGTGTGAGGGCAGGCATTGTCTTGCTGAAAGATCAATTTATCCCTTGGTGGAATTCTCTGTATATTCTTCCACTTCAAGATGCTACCAGGCACTGCTTCCTCCAGCAACTCAATGTAATGCTCTAAATTTAGTTTGTCATCTATATAGACCATTAGACCTAGGCCTGCCCAGGTCATACACCCCCAAATCATGATGCTGTGGCCACCCCCCTGCAGTGTAGGTATATATATATCATAGTTGACATCCCTGGACCAGTATCACTTTTCCAAGCCCTTTCCAATATGTTGAACCTTGCATTCATCACTCCAGATGACATTCTTCCATTGTTCAACAGTCCAATGTCTATACTCCTTGGCAAACACCCTCCTTGCCTTCCTATGTTTATCTGTGAGCAAGGGTTTTCTTCTTTTTGCCCTAAACTTAAGTCCAGCTTGCTTCAGTGCATGTGTAATGGTTTGTCTGGACAAACAAAGTTGATAGTGTCATAGCCAGTAGGCTGAAGCTTCAGTAGCCAAAGTATAAGAATTCTTGCTAATTCCTCTGGTGAGTAATGCCTGTTGGCATGAGGAGAGGAGGAGGGGCCTCCCAGGGGTCCTTTTCACATATTCACTCTCTGGTACCCATTTTGCCAGTTCAGCAATGCTGGATTTGTTGATAGACAGTTTAGTTGCTATCTCCCTTGTTGAGAAACCTGCTCGGAGCAGCTCTTTGACCCATAATAGGTGAGTGGTGGTGTATTTAGTCCTCCCCATATCGATTTTTTGCCCTCCTTGCCATGTTGACAGCAGTATTGCCATATGATGTCCTAAGCTCATCAAAACACCATGAAACATCTTTGTTTATATCATACTACAATCATATGAAGTTTCAAGCATGGTCTATTAGCTCAATTCTGTGCAAAGCGATAAGTTACACAAGGTACAGAATTAATTGAGGAGGAGGAGGGGCTTCAAAGAGTGCCAACTTAAATTCCAGCATGTTCTTTGGTGGGTCCACCCTTTTTTTCTCACATATTCTGATAGCAGGCTATCCAAGCTTTGCAACCATACCACACAAAGTGGGTGTTGTCAAAGAGAACAGAGAGTACTGGTCATCATCATGAAAAGGACCTGAGAACACCATATCAAATTAATTAGATGCCAGGCAATTTTGGATGCAACTGTATACCAATTGTTTTCTTTGAAAATCGAAAATTGGGCGAATTTCCCTCGATTTTTCCACAAAAATGCCTAAAAAATGCCTCTGTTTTGTTACTTGCCACTCTCCTCACAATAGCATTTGCATCGCAACGGACATCTCTCACCATGCTCACCACATACGGTAGAGGTCAACACACATGACCAGGAGAAGAGGAGCAAGCAGACCGGGGGCAGTGTCAAACAAACAAACATACTGTCCAAGCAGAAGAAGAGCAGCATTGAAGGGGCAACACACAGCTCAAGGAGAGGAGGAGCAGTGACAGAGGAGGTTGATAACCCTCCTCAGGAGGAGCAGGAGTGGTGTTGCCTGTGACACCAAACAAACACATAAATACTCTCATTTCACCATAGCATACAAGTGGATTCTCATCCTCTCTACTCTATAATTACTTACTCTTTACTTAGTTACATATCATTGCAATAGCAGGGCTTTTGCAACAACATCTCAAACGTGTGTGTTGCATCACCATTGGATGTCAACTGTAGGCAGTGTTTCCAACACCTGCAGTCCAGTCACTCACTGAAGGCAGTGTATAACACCTGCGGTCCAGTACCTTCTCTCATCTGTAGGCAATAACCTTATGTCATGGGACCGGATGTGCAGGAAGCAAGAAGATTGGGAGTCATATGAAGAGAAGTGCAGAAATCATGGGATTGGGCTAAGTGAGAGCTTAAGGCAGAGTTCACTGAGATTGGTAGTAGAAATGACTCTATGGCATAACTTGTCAGGATCAGCAGGAACAAGGTCAATACTACAGAGTTCAGTGGGAGTAGTAATACCACACTAAGTATGACAGATCTCATGAGAATCAGTTCAAGAGGCACCTCTATTGCCAATACAGCAAGAGGAGGATGTCAAACAAGGAAGAAGGTCACTGCCAGAGGAAGTGGGACAGACCCCTGACAGATGTCAATATTGTGGATGGGTGGCAAGGACATCTGGGTCCACCATCAATGAAGCAGGGGACCTGCTCAGTAATGAATACAGGGCTGGTAGATGGGAGGAATGAAAGGGGGTGCAAACTGTTGCTCAGATGAGGTGGGAATGGCCCCTGACAATGATGAAACAATGCAAGGACTGTCCATCCATGGGCAGCAAGAGACACAGTGCTGATGAGCAGCATTGCAGGATGGATAGGAGGGACAGAAAAGAGGAGGAGCAGTGTTGGAGAGGCATGCCAGAGTGAAGGCAGTGTTGCAGGCAACACTGTGAGGATGGTATATAACCTCACTCCTCATCATAGCTGTTGAGTGGATCCCCATCCACTCTACACCTTATCTTCCTAGTTATAACTTCACATAAGTATACATTAGTAGTTTCCATCAAACAGTTGCAATTGCAGGAGCATTGCATCTAACATAGCATGTGTGTTGTATCACTGCTTCTTGACAGCATCCAAAGGCAGTTCATACTGCAGTCTGGATATTGATTGACACCAAAGGCAGTTCATACTGTGGCCTGGCTCTCTCAATCAGTAGAACCAAAGGCAGTTGTCCACTGCAGTCCAGGCATCACTCAATCAATCAGTTGACACACTGGACACTTGTGTTGGCATAAGCACATTCACATCAGACCTTGGTGTCATCTCATGTATCTATAGGTTATGGATTGTGCCAAGCTACCTCTGGATGGAGTGTCTCTAGTGGTCAGTTGAAACCTGTGATAACCCTTAAGTTACAAACTATTTGAGCAAGAACAGTCATAGAAGGCTTCTACAACAGATTCCAGCAAGAACAATAATAGAAGGCCTTTTACAGCAGATCTCGCTGAGATTAGTAGTAGTTGCCTTTTACCACAGATTTCGGGTTTCAGGCATACAACCGCTGACAAAGAGTACTGCCTTTGGATGGCATCAAGTAGCGGTGATACAACACATGCGCTAAGATAGATGCAATGCTCTGCAATTGCAACTGTTGACAGAAACTACTAAGTATATGTTATGGTAAAGATATAGCAAGTAATGTGTAGAGTGGATGAGGATCCACTCAGCCACTACAACAAAGAGGATGTATGTTTATATAGATGTTCTTGCAGTGTCACCTGCAACACTGCTCTTGCTCTATGAGGCCTTATTTGACACTGCCCCTTGTCTCTCCAACAGCCCCTGTCTTTCTTACAATGTCCCCTCTTCTTCTAGCACTGCTTCTCCTGCTCCTTGTGGATGAGGAGGCCTTGTGCTGTTTCATCATTGATAGGGGTCACTCCCACTTCCTCCAAGTGGTGAAGCACACCCTCTTTCATCTTGCCCCCTGGTGATGGTGCCCATCCTCTTGTGCCAAGTTCATTGTCATGTAGGGCCCCTACCTCACCAGGGTGGCAAACCCAATATCATCACTGTATGTCCCCTTATGAGATCTGTGGGAGAGGCTTCCTCTAGCCAGTTTTGGCAAGATCCATTGTACAGTCATGATACTGTCATGGGCCTGAATGCTCAAGAAGCAGGAGGGTCGCTGGTTCATATGGAAGGAGCACAGGTATCGAAGATCTAGTTGATACCATTAGAGAGCATGGTCATAGTGCAGTTTCCATGGAGACCATGGACTCCTACAGACTCACATGCAAAGGAGGACCAAGCCCATATGCAAGGAGGGCCAGGCACAGCCACAAAGAGGACCAAGCTCAAGGAGCATGCAGATGGTTACCACTCAGGGGCTCGAGAGACAAGAGTCAAAGGAACCATCACTGGTCAAAGGAGAAGGAGCAGTGTATAGGGAACTGGCAAGCAGGTCCTGAGGAGGAGGAGCAGTGTTGAAGGAGTCGACACCACTCAGGAGGCACAGGGGTGCCAAACAAGCAGGATAGCAAGGAGGAGGAGCAGGGTCAAAGGAGTCAACACAGCTCAAGAGGCACAGGGGTGCCAAGCAAGCAGGAGAGGCCCCCTGGACAGTACTTGATGAAGATGGTACTCTCTGGAGAGAGAGCAGGAGCAGCATCACTGGCAATGCTGTGAAGAGGTATATAACCATACCTTCTCATCATCAAAGGTCAAGTGGATCCTCATCCACTCTACACCCATCATAACTAGTTATCACTTCAGCATAAGTATATATTAGTTTCAGTCAGCATAGTAGCAATCTATCAAGGTTGCTCCTCATTGTAGTGCATGTGTTGTATCACCACTACCTGACATCCGAAGGCAGTTCATAGCAAACCAGTGGTCCAGATATAGATAGAACCAAAGGTAGTAGTCCACTGTGGTCTGGGGATCACTTCAAGCATCAAGTCAACACACTGGACACTTGTGTTGATGCCACCAACCTTATCACCAACACCATCAACCTCATCATCATCAACACTCACACCAGACCTTGGTGTCATCATAATCTACACATTGATATTGATCATGCTGAGCTACCCCTGAATGGAGTGTCCACAGAGGTCAGCCAAAGCCTACAATAGTATATACAATGAATGCCACCTGCTGTCATTGCACAACTTGATAGTTGCCAAATGACTAGCTCATCAAGACTGATACCGAGACAATAGCTGTCACACAGTTTGATAGTCACCGAGTATCTCGACAGACCAACCTGGGTTTCAGGCGCGAGACCCCTGACAGATACTACTGATCCCAATGAACTTTCCTGTAAGATCACACTCATACCAATTCTGATAACTTCTGCCATAGGATCTTGATACTACCAATCTCGATGAACTGTGTTGGAACTCTTCATTTGCCCAATCCTACGATTCCTGTGCATGGTCTCTGCTCCTATGATTCCAGTTCTTCCTGCGCATCTGGTCCTATGACAGCGGCAAGAGAAAGCGTGTTGTGGTGGTGGTTATGGCGATGTTGATGAATCCAAGCTGAGCTTTGATGTTTCATGCGCACCGTACAAGCAAAGATTTGCACGATGATATCAATCGAGCATTCTCGTGCGGCTAGTATTCGCATGAGAGAGTACCCAGGTGTGACAGAGAGACACAAGCATGAGATCCAAAAGAGCAGTCTAGGATGAACAGGTTGAGGCCATTCACGCGCCCTTTCTATGCTCAGAGATAGCGGCGATGCGGCTGCGATCAGAGCTGGTATATCCTCTCACCTCCCGAGAGAACATAGTTGGATTTGTGGAGCAGAAAAATATCGAGTAGGGGCAGCAGCAGCAAGGCAAGTACTTGGGAGTTCTTGACAACTCGACAGGGTTCGCTTACCGCTAAGATGTCTGTGAGCATGTGATGGGGCTCCCTTCACCCCTTGCTCAGCCTGACTTTTCAATACAGAGCCAGGAAATTCGTGCTGCGATAGCTCATGTGCCGGCTCTCGTTGCCGACAAGTTCTTTGCTGAAGGTAGCATGTTGTGCTGTACAACATAGTCACCCGACCTGAATCTGCACTATGGCAAGGTTGTTGACGGATTCGACTCAACCGGCGCCAATTAGCTACTCGACCCCATTGGACTCCTTCTCATACTCATACGCTCGCACTCACCCTCTGCAGGATCGAAGAGAATCCCATTGATACATTCCATTACAACTATCCTACATCAAAGAGTACTTATACCTCAACAAAAGCCCTAGCCAACTTGGCCCCATCCCCACAAATCTCCACTGCAACCCCTGCACCAATAAACGCTAACTGACCCTTCTCCAACCTTAACCTTTCCTCCTCGCCCTCTTCCTCCACCGCCACCACCTCACCCTCCAACACCAACAAGATACTCGGCCCATCAACAGCCTCGTTCCTCATCTTGCCTCTAACATCCATTGTGACGACACTAAACTCTTCAATCGGAGGATCGTAGAGCAGTGCCTCACCCTCGCCTTTCGCCGTTGCTTTGTTCCACTGTACTGGCTCTAATCGACCTCTGTCTGATCCTGATTGATAGGTGCACATTGAAATAAGTGTTTCCGTGTCGCGAAGTTTAGGCGTGAGTCCAGCGCGAACTACGTTATCGCTTGAGGCCATGCATTCAAGGATTTCGCCTTCGAGATAGGCGTGTGGTTCGTTCGCCTGAAGGAATAGAGCCTCTCCTGGTTGGAGAGTGGAGATGTTGAGGAGGAAGGTGCAGAAGATGCCCACATCTCTCGGGAACTCTTCCGCTAGCTTCAAAACCAAATTCCTCTCCTCCTCGCCTACTTCTGCATCTGCTTTCCCAGCCCTGTATCGTTCCGCCAATTGTTCTGCTAGCGGTTCGTAGCTCGAGGGGGAAGAATTCATCAAGTTGCCAAAGATAGTCTTTAGCACTCGCTTCACCTCCCCCTCTTCCGTCACATTTGCCGCCTTGTCGAGATCCTCGTCCGAAAGCTGTACAAGCTCAGCAAACTGCGGAACGCTCTTAATGTACGCAATGATCTCGGATAGAGGTCTGAACCCACAAAAGCCCCTAAACGCAGTCAACGCAATCGCCATCTCCGGTTTATGATTCGGATCCTTATACACATCCGGTCTCTCCCCATGCAACCTCTTTCCCAACTCCTTATCCGGATGTGCTTGAATACTCAACGCCTTCCCCACGCTCAACACTTTGAACAAAAACGGCAAAGACCCCTTTTTCTCATCACTGAATTTCTCCGCCACCTTCTTCCCGACCAATTCCGGATGCTTCGCTAGATACTCGGATAACACTTCATACTCCTCCGTAACCCGCAAAACAACCTTGGAGGGGAGAGAGGGGTGAGTTCCCATCCACAGCTCAGCATACGGTCTATTTTCTTCGGCGGTAAAGTTGAGCTGTCTTGTCGCACTGGCAAATTGCGCTACTCGAGAAGCCGAGGTACCTTTGATACCCCAATCGTACGACTGTACACCCGGGATCAATTGGAAGATTTTCGACATTGTGTCAATGTTAATGGTGTCGCTGTTGAGATGGTGTGAGATGGTGTCGAGTCGATTGTTCGCCATCAGGAGGAAGCAGTGAGATGATGTTTTGATGGAAGAAAGACAGAAAGAAGTCTTTGGAAATGAAAAAGAAGGCGGCCCGTGCACAGACACACGGGCCTCCCAAACAGTGAAAGCATGTGAGCCCATTTCGATCTAACACTTTCGCCACCTTCGCTCCTTCACCATGTTGGCCCGGACCGCACGATACCCGAGGAGGAGAAGATAGTTGCCCTGTCATGCTTCAGCCGTGTCCACAGGGTAGCATACCTTTGTATCGTACACGCATACACAGAGTGCTGGGAGAAACACATATATACTGTTCACCATCTTGTACTTAGCTCTTACATGGTATCGCAATCGATGCCCTACAACAATAACGCATCGGTGAATTTGAGATACTGCGGTGCATCTTCACAAGATTCTTGCTCACTATCGATCCGAAGCAACGGCCCTTGTCAGATATCGCACCTTCTCAACATCGCCCTGACCATACGGAAGAAGTCGAGCATCGACCGGCGTTCAAAGAATGCGTGCCATTGAAGAGAACATATACTGAATGCTTAGTGCTACACGTGCTTGCTATGCTGATCATCCTAGAAGTCGCCGAGACCCCCACCATCAAACCCAGCTACACCGTCTCGCCCTCAGATCAACTCCACGAAGAACTGACCGGGCTACTAGACGGCATCATATCCCCATACCTCTGCGGCGGATTCCTTTGCCTCATAGGCGTCGTTCTCCTCCCCGCACCCTGTTGCTCGTCTAACGAAGAGGAAACCCCTCTCTCGCTCTCTCCAGCAGCCGATCCTGCTCTTGCTCCCCTAGCTCCCCTTGCCGTTGTCTGCTTACCACCCTGCCCCTCACCTTCTACCCTTACGTCCGACTCCGCGGATCCTGAACTAACAGGAACCTCCTCCAAACGCTCGATCTCCTCCATCACCGCCCTCGGCATCCTCCCAGGCCTAACCCTTGCCGTCCTGATCCCACTAAACTCAACCTTAGTCTTCCTAACCTCTACATACCTCTCCCCTTTTTGATTCTCAATGAACTTCACTTCCTCTTTCTCCTCCACCACCCTTGATCTGGACCCGGATGGAGCAGTGAGCAACTCTCTATCCTTCCTTTCCTTATGCCTCTCGCACTGCTGCACCCATCCACACCTCATAGCTAGGTAGAATGACATTGTCGCACTCCCTCCAAGCAGAGGCGAGAGAAGCAGCAACGCCACCACGACGCGCGCTTGAGTCTCGATAAGCTTGCTATTCTCATCGACCAAGCTGATCGTCGAAGGGGACGCCTTGGTGTGCGTGTTGTCAAAGTTATCGTACTCCTCATCGCTGTTGTCCGCAGCAAGGTAGGCACTGGGAGTGGCAACAGCAGCCTTGCAAATCCAGAGCCCACTCTCGATGAGCACAAAGAACATAGCGCTGATCGCAACGCAAACGTGATCTGAACTGATCGAACTCTGTGCCGGATGCCTGAAGAATGTCGTGGGGAAGAGCAGCGTTGCCGTCCTCCAACCCCGCTGAAGAAGCCCTCCGTCACCATCCATCTCCTTGAGACACGCAATCGTAACCCAAAACCTTAAAATCACACTAACAACCCCAAGAGCGAAATACATCATCTTGACATCCTCCCAAAGCGGCACCTTGTCATCACTACGTCCCATCATCCTTCGCAGTACCTGCCATGTGCTTAGGCCAGGCGTATCTTCAGGATACATCATACTTTCTTCCTCCTCCTCCTCCTCTTCCGCCTCCTCCCTTCTCCCACCACCAACCCGCCCTTTAACCACCGGCTGCAAATGATACTTAGTCGGATAAACCGAAATCAACAACGGAAAAAGATGCATAACCATCACCTTGCCAAAACTATCGGGATGTTGTAACACCGACGACAAACCCGCCACCACAAACAGTGGCAACGCAAACCTCTCTGGCACAACCTTGGCCAACGCGATCGCCACCTTATCCATCATCGTTGGCCTCGGGGGAAGCGGAGTCTTCTTAACAATGTAGCTCGTACTGAACGTCACCACACTAGGCACGTCCGGATCAGGCGATCGACTCGGCGTGGGCGGCAACGACGAAGGAGGCCTTGGCGGTGAAGGAGGTCTCGAATCGACCCGTTGAATATCACATGTCCTAAGAGCTACTTGGTATCCTGGACGATGACCGGCATGAGGATCACTCGCCGAGCTAGAGCCCGAATCGGAAGAGAAGCTATCAGAATCTTGGAAGTCGACTTCTTTGTAAGGCTCGATAACGCGATGTTTCGACTTATGCACCTGATTGCAGCGACTGGCCAATAAATCCTTCGTATCCAACCTGTAGATGATGCCGAGATTGAACAGGTTGAAGGCAAAACTAATTGCCACCAGCTGTCCCAGCGCCATTAGCATCCAAACATGCGGCATTCGGATGCGTTCAGCCTCGCGACGCAAGAACAGCGCCCAAGCACCCACAGTAATGATGCAAATCTCACCACTCCACCACCATGAAGTGTTATCCTTGATCACTTCCATCCATGCCTCTTTAAATAGACTCAGCGAGGCAAGCCACTGCGAAATACGCAAGAGACGCAAGTGCAGCGCCGGTATCATCTGATCCAATCGCTTCATGCTGAACGGCGGCGGAGGAGGCGGCAGCGGATAGGAGGTGAGATGGCATCTTTCCAGATATGCCAAATAAGAATGCCGCAAGAAAGCCAACATGTAATACCAAGTTAATCCTACGCTTACCACCGCCAGCAGCACCAAAATGCACTTGGCACGGATAGCATTCGTTTTGGCAGCCCAGGCAGCTAGGCGAATGAGAGCATCGGCGACAGGAGTGGCGCTTCTGTCGTTCTTCCGTCGTTTCTTGTGCTTGAATAGAGACTCGTATGCTTCCATTACGCCTGAGTCGGCATCCACGAGTTGCTCTACTGCATCCATCTCGCCCGATTCGGATGGCGTGAGCTTGAGCTGACGGTATCGTCGAGTTGCGATTCGAATGACTCTGAAGGCAAGGCAGACGTTGACGAGGAGATAGCTGACTAGGATGAGAAAGTTGGGCTCGAAGACCGAGCTGATGAGGGAGAAGAGATTGGGATCGTGAGGAGACATGGTGGCGAGGGGTGGCGAGGTCGCCGCGGTGACGGAGGTGTGAGCAGTTGTCGAGGAGCTCATCGTGGCCGTATCGACCTCCTTAGACTGCTTGCTGAGTCGAGCAGTCTAAGGGAGAGAGAAGCGTAAGCGTCCCGAATCGTAGGCAACCTTTCAAGGGCCAAGAAGAACTCGTCGAGTGAGGAGAGGAGAGGCAGAAAGGACCCTGAATCAGTTGAACCCTGGGCCAAGTAGTTGCCGAAGGAAGCGATCCGATCTGATGATGCATGCTGACATAAACACAATCGGCGATCAGATGAGATCGATTTGTCTAGAGATCGGGTGCAACGTAGTCCCGCTCGTTGTCAGGGCGTCAGTGTGAGATCGTACTCAAAGTCACATATTTAGGCTTTATTTCTTTTTTCTTTTTTCTCGGAATACGGGACTTTTCTCGTTTGCAGCTTCGCCTTTTTGTCTTGCTTGTTGCTCATCATCATTCACATGCTTCTCCATCGAACTTGCCACAACAAACATTCTGCGATACTTGCACAGTACCGTCCATCAACCACAGACTGCCATCTTGAGCCAGCGACAATGGAATCGATCTCCCTAACCCGCACCCTCCCTCCTCCACTACAACAAGTCCATCTAGCTCATTTCTCCAATCTCGATCCCGCTTCTCAATCCTCCTCTATCATCCGTCGCATTATATCCGCATCCCAACTGCCCACATCCACCTCTAGCGGTGCTACACAATCCGAAGTTGAAGCAGCAGATCTCGAACGCTCCAAACTAGACTTTGCCTTTCTCGACCCCACAAAACTCTGCTCTAAACAACACGTCCTCAGCGCAGTCACTCAAGCAGCGATAGTATGTGCTAGAAGTTACGATGCCGAAAGCGGCAAGTTCAAGGCGGGAGAAGCAAGTGCAGGCGGAATGAAGAGTAAGACGCCGCATTCGGAGCTCATTTATATGCTTAATCCTGGTAATAATGTAAGTCTTTCCCACTCTCCTTACGATATAGCCGCAGTATAGAAATCGCACTGATGTCATTTGTCTGTGTATATAGGTTGGAGAGTCGTTGAAACGATTCGGTCTGTCGCCGAAGTCAAGCTCTTTGCTCCTCGTCAAGTTTTCATCCTCCTCGGCGGACAAAGAGGAAATCTTAAAGCGCATGCTGGACGTCGTTTCGCCAGCAAACCTCACAACACCACCAGAGAACACACAGGTGGATATCGATCAGCCTATTCGTTTCGGCCGCTACCTTCCCGCATCAGATAGACAGGAAAAGGGGATAGAGGAAGTGACAGATTGGAAAGACCTCAACAAGATCTACAAGCTTCAAATACCTACCAACCTACTCAACGATGCAAAAGCTAAGAGGGATAAGGGAGAGAGATGGCAAGGCCTGTACGAAGAAATTGTCTGTACTAGTGTTGCGATGAAACTCGTTGCTGCGTAAAACCCCTTTTAGAATGGACTAAAAGACCAAACCAAACCAATTGCACTGGTGGCGGGCCTAGTATTGCTTTACAAGGTTGTCAACATAGTGTGTGTGATTGGACAAGGGGGAGGTGGTTTAGTCGTCACCAGCTTCGGCCTTGGCTTTCTTGAGTTGTGAGAGTTCGCGTTGTCTTCGGATGAAGCTACAACAAAGGAGAGGCAACAGATAGTTATGCAAGGTCAGCATTCAGACTTGAGCCATCAGGATTTCGAGCAACTGAGGGTGGGTGTCGGATGCTTACTCGTCATATTGGCACTTTTCGTATATGTGGCTGTAATCGCAGCAGTGGCAATCGGTCAAAGGAGGTCGAGTGTCAGTATGCCTAATCTGTGTGTCGGTGCAGTAGTTATGCTTGTCTTGCGGAACATATCCCGCTCGCCGGTAGCGTTGGCTCCAGCTTCGTGCTTAGCGGTACCAGCGTTGTACTTATGTCCGCCTCTCTCGGCGCGTGAGTAAATACGAAGATCGGCTTGGTTGTTCGCAAAGACCAGCAAAGTTTGCCCGAAAGATATGGTGTGGGGAATCGAATGCTCACCGTTCATCCTCGCACTTCCAAGGAGCGTACAAAGTCTGTTTTCTGCATTTGTTGAGCGGGATCAAGAGTCTATCCCGCACAAAACGCCGCGACCATTGTGAATACGAAAGGCAAGAGTCGTCAGTACCATCATCTCCCTACCACCTCTTCCTGTCCTCCTTTCCTTCGGTTTAAGGAACATACGCAGAGCACTGGTCACGATAACCAAGAGGCAAACGAGCAGCGCTGCACTCCTCTACCGAAGCTGTGTGTGTGTCGGCCATCCTTGCTGTTATGTACCGGTAAGGTGTTGGTTGTGGAGAACAAGTGAATATCAGAGATGAGATGTGGAGAGAGAGAGAGAGAGAGAGAGAGATTGGCCTTTCGCCTCGTCACGTGCAGAATTGAATTATTCCCGTGCGAATCAGCAGTACGAATCTAACATTGATGGAAATTGGGGAGCGATGACGCACGGAAACAACCGAAGTGACAAAGGAACCCTCGTACAAGAATTCACCTTACCCTCCAACACCATCACCCCTCGACGCTGTTCAAGATGTTGCGAACACTCATCCGCAGAGCACACGTACACAAGCCTGGCTTCAGATTCCCCGATAGAAAAGCTCCGAAAGGTAAGTCTCAACCCCCCTCTCTTCCCCTTGTCCTTTCCTCCCCCCTTACTAACACCCTCCTCATCCTCCTCGATGTGTCTTGCAGGAGAGCACGTACCACACCCACACCCAGCAGCACCCGAAAAGATCGCCTCTTCGTTCGACCACTTCCAAAAGGTCTTTGCTTCCGGTCCTCATTTCCACCCCGAGAAGCTCCAACAAGAATCATCACAGAGTAGTGCGGGAAGCAGCAAAGGTGGAAGCGGGTTGTTGGGGAACGTCGATATGAACGGTAGAGAGGTCGCGGAAGATATCCATTTGCTGCCGGAAAAGTTCTGGAGAACACCTGCGCTAACTTTCTCAGAGGAGGAGATGGAAGCTGTTATGGGCGGAGGTGCCCACTAGACACCATCGAGGGCTAATCACAGCAGGCACAAGCTTCTCCCAATGTAAGCTTTTGTTACACACTTTCAATTCGACCGGACCAGGCTGCTTGGTATGCATCGTACCGCATCTCGTTTCTTCTCACATTCAGCTTGATGCTGATCAGCTCAGACCCATCCCGGCATCACAAACTAAGAAAGCACAACAACAAACTTTGTCATTCCCCACCACCACAACCTACAGCCTCGCTCAACGCGCACGATTAACATCAATAGCCATCTCCTGTAAAGTCTTCAACCTCCTCCTCAACCTTTCCAACTCCTTCCCATCTCCTTTCCCCTTCTCCTTCTCCTTTCCCGGCCAAGTAGCTCTCCCACTAGGACTGATCATCTCTCTCACACAAAACGCAACCTCCCAAGCCCCTGCCCCTAATTTCCCATCTTTCCCTCTCCCATCCTTACCTTTTCTCCACAACAATCTCCTCACGAACCTAATGCTATCATGTTTCCCCAAGGTTTGCATCGTCGTCCATTCCCAATGGTGTAACTTATGCAACACTGCCGCTCTATGCGCACATGAGTTTCCAGCGAAGAATGTATAGGTTGGTCTTCCTTTTGCATCCTCCCCCTCTTCCCTCCACGTTTCCGTTTCTGAGCTGCGATCCGAATCTGAATCGTCCGAGTCATCAGAGGAAGAGGATTCAGACTCGGAGCCAGAGTTGGGCGGAAGGTCTCGTTTCAACGGTTCAATATTCCCCTGATTGTACCTTAACCCACTGAACGTAACCTTAAACGCCGGTTTCTGAGATCGTCGATGACAAACTCCACATCCTTGTTTCGCCAGCGTTCCGAACTGATCCAGCTCATCACTGAACATCCCCTCGAGTTCGATCTTGGGATACTGCATAAGATACCACTTGAACTGTCTCCTCATCGTCACACTCCCCACCGATTCCTCTATGGATCGCATCTTACTCTTCAGCGCCGCCCTTGCCCTCTCTAACCTTTGCCTATCTTGCAAACTTAACGAAGACCAAGTAAGCAACACTCGCGCTACAGCCCATTCTAACCAATCAAGACAAAGTTCGTCGATCCCTTTCCTCGCCCCAAGCGCCCCTAATCCATGCGCTGCAAGAACCGACCCGCCACCACCCGAAGCACCCTCTTGCGTAAGCTCAAAAACGGGAATAAGGCGAATACGCCCGTCGCTATCTCTCTGCCACCTACTGTGTCGGTTGTTGTTGGAAGCGACTGCTGATCTAGGCTGAGTCTGAGGTCTAGGAGCTGGAGAAGAAGATTCAAGTCCATCATCGTACTCGAATTGATCATCGCTCACGATAAAATCTTCACTATCACTACTACTATCCCCACTACTACTGCTGCTCGAACTGCTACTACTGCCACGGGAAACACTCTCCACCCTCTTCCCCCCACCCCTCTCCAACCTAGCTTTCCTCCTTGCTTGTGCGAACTTAGCCAGCTTATTCCTGTATTCCTCTTTATGGCTAGCGCCAGTCGAACGCGCAAAGGCATCTTCGTTGAGCTCCGAGCGAAGGTTCTTAACATCATCAGCGGCTGGTTTGACGTCGTTTTCGGTATCATGCTCGTGGATTTTGGATTTGGGTGTTTTGGCATCTTTCTTCCGCTTTTTAGCCTGTTGTTCGAGCTCAGCTTGCTTTCGTTTACGCGTCTCCTGTTTATCTTTCTTACGTTTGAGCCGCGCCTGGTCCGTCCACTCTTGGGACTTGATAGAGGGTCTTGTCGACGAGGTTGCTGGTTGTGGAGTAGAAGAGCGTGTACGAACTTGCCGTGCGGTACATGAGGGCTTAGCAATCCGATCACCGAGCGTGGGAGACTGCTTGATCCTCTGTCTCTCCACCACCCTTTCTGCCCGCCCACGAGTCCCATTCCGCAACCGATCCTCATAATTACTACGTTCGTCCTCAAAGAACAACGGATCATCCACTTCCATTCCCGCACCGCTCGTACTGCCGAGAAAGAGATCCTCCAACCCGCCATCATCCCTTGCTTCCTCCGCTAGCTCCAACACTGCTTCGCTCTGAGTTCTGCTTCCACTTGCCTGTGCTGGTGCTTGTTGAGTCGCTACCGGTGCTGGTCTGCTCCCCAACGCTTTCGCAGGCTGTACTGGAGTAGAACTGCTCTTTCTCTTCCTCGCCACAGTATCTAATGTCGCCTTGGGCCGAACGGCAACAATCCGGTTGGCATCAATTCCACTCGCCCTATCCAAATCCTCCTGGGCAAAGTGAAACGGATCCGCATCGCTCGGCACCTGTTCCACATGCCAAACAAACGAATCATCGTACTCTTTATGCTTCCTCTCTTTCCTCAAAGCTTCTTTATTCCTTGGTCTTACGAACATCAACTCATCCTCCTGCGACCGGAAATCTGGGGTAGGGATTTCGACCCAGCATTTTACCTGCGGCTTTGGGGTTCCATCCCATACTTGCAGTTCCTCAATCTCGATTGGGTTCAGGTTGAGTTCTAGGTCGGGATCGGAGGGTTCGGTCTTTACTGCTCTGCGCCGGGAGGTCTTCTTATTAGCGGTTGGGTTGGTGGCGGGAGCACAAGAAGAGGAAGGAGAGCGAGTGGAGCAGGGGGAGGAGGGGGAGGAGGGGGGTGCGATTGATGGCGATTTCGTTCTTTGCTTCTTCTTCGAGGGCATGATTCCCGCCGCTATAGGGTAGAGTTGGCTGCGGTGGCGGGAAGGATGATGGTGGTGAGCGCAGATGAAAGTGTTGAGATGGTGGAGAAAGTTGAAAAGAAAAGAAACACAACACTCCACATTCGAATTTCCGATTTCCGAGAAAATCTCGACACCCCTGCGCACAGACCATACACATCGTCCAGTTGCCTCCACTGCCACCTCCTTCCCCTCTTCCAGCCATCACAATCCAGCAGCACCAGCAGGATAAGAATGACGAGCTATCCAATAGCAGCCTCCTCCACCCCTCCGCCCTACGCTGCCTCAAGCACATCAATCCACTTGGGCCAAACGCGTTCGCGAACGCTCCTCTTCCTCTCATACCGAGACTCAGCCGGTCCTTCCACCTCTCGTTCTGGCAACCCCTCTTCCTCTTCATCCAACGTGTATTTCCAAGCTCCATACACCGATGACGATGATCCTCTCCACTCATCCTCCATGGACACTCACTCTGATGTCGAAACGCTTCTCCCCTCTACTTGTCGTCGTTCTCGCGAGGGTCATATATCACTCCCTCTCGACCCACCCTCGGAATTGGCGCCGAAATGGATGGAGGTGTCAGACAGCGTCGATTCGATCCTCACCACCATCCGACCTCGTATGGACCGCCTTTCGCGCTTGCATGAAAAACACTTGCGGCCAGGATTTGCAGATAAATCGTCGGAAGAAAAGCAGATTGAAGCACTAGCTTTAGAGATTACCAAGGACTTTCGACGGTGTTCTCGCCTCGTAGCCGGCCTGGCATCGTTTAGCCAGAAGCTAATAAGAGAAGCGAAGAAAAATCAGAGCCATGTAACAGTACGACAGATAGCTCTGGCACAAAACGTTCAAACAGCACTAGCAACGCGAGTACAAGACCTCTCTGGAGCTTTTCGCAAACAACAATCCCTATACCTAAAAAGAATGAAAGGTATGCAAGTACGAGATCGAGACATACGTGCTGCTCGTGGCCTCGCACCTCCCACAACCACCTCCAACATCACCTCGCTCTCCTTCAAAGATTCGGAATGGGCAGTGAGAGAAGACATACAACTCGCCACACTCTCCTCAACCTCCAAGTCGACATTGGAAAACACAAAGCTTTTAACAATCCAACAGGAACCATCACATCCAGATCTAGCAATTCAATATCGAACACAGGAAATAGTTCAAATAGCAAAAAGCATCCAGGATCTAGCAACCCTCTTCTCAGACCTCCAAACTCTCGTCATCGACCAGGGTACTCTGATGGACAGAATCGACTACAACGTAGAGTTGATCAGCACAGAGTTGAAAGGCGCCGTCGACGAGTTGCACGTTGCCACCAGCTACCAGAGAAGCAGTGCAAGGAGACAGTGTATTTTGTTCTTGGTGCTGTGTATTGCTGTGCTGGTGGCGATTATTGTTGTTAAGCCTTTTTGGAGGTTCTTGACTTCAGCGTCCGGGTCGGTGGGAGGAGACAAGGCGAAAACGGGGTAGCGGGGACGTGCAAGCAATGCAGGTGGTTGTGCAAATGATTTATTCCAAAGATTGTACGAGATACGCTTAGCAGATGTTTTGCAGAATGATTAAATGGATGAAGGTGTGTGCGAAACGGGCTTTAGACATCTTTGGGAGAGACATCATCTCGATCGTTAGCCACAACATCCGCCGCCTCATGCGCTTCCTCGTCCGCATGTGCATCCAATTGAGCTGCTTGACTAGGCTCGCTTGGTGGTGCTCCCGCACTCTCTGTCGCTGCTGCCGCTGCACCCTTCACAATCACGCCTGTTCCTTCCAGCATAACCTGTTCGATCTGCTGTTGGTCCAATCCAGCCGGATCAGCCGCCTTGCCAGCTGCTACAGGATCCTGCTTCTTACCCTTATCCGCACTGAACCCCATCTTTCCTTTCACATGATCCACTTCATGCTGCAAACCATCTTTCAAATGCTGATACGCTTCAGCAGCTGAAGACTGCATAGCACGCAGCGGAACTTGTTCAAACGCATGACGACCTGGCTCGGCCGCAAGAGATGCTTCTTGTGTCGCGTTGACCTCTTGCTTGTTGTGCGACACGGGATTGGGGGGTGCTTTGTGAATGTTCTCGGCCCATTCAAGCGTTTGTACGCTAGGAGGGTAGTTTTTGAACTCGGCGAGATTGCGGGGGAACTCGGCACAGTTGAAGTCCCATCCTTTCCTCCATCGTGCTTTTTCGCATCCTTGGAGGGTCCAGTCGGAGCCGTACGTCAATGGAGTGTATCGCACAAAGCCAGCTAGGACGACAATGGTGACAAGGACACCAGCAACAAGGCGGAAACGAGGTCGCAAGGTCGAAGTGGAAAAGTCAAAAACGACGGCAAGGATGAGAATCGAGAAGTAGAGCGCTGGCAGGTAGTGATGCAAAAATAGCTGACGGTGCATCAAGAAGAAAGGTAAGTAGTGCAGACCCCAAGCGAGAGTCAAGAAACCACAAGTCTGATCGTAGAATCGAATTCTGCTGTCCTTGAGATCGCCATATCCTCGTTGAGCTCGCAGCATGAGCAAGCCTCTGGAAGCGAGGTAGGCAAGCACAGAAAGGAAAGCACCCCACCATACGATCGGATTGCCGATGAGGTAGATCTGGCGATGATCCTTGGTCCAGAAGTTGATACCTCTCTTGAGCATGGGCCATGTCTGGGGTCGCGAGTCGTAAGCATGTCGATCAGTCAAGCCGGCGTTGGTCTGCCACATGACCTGCTGCAATTCCCAGAATCGTTCGAGGAAAGTAGGTGTGCGATAGTTGACCATTTCAACGCGCGTCTTAGGGTCAGAGGGCGAAACAAGAAGAGGATGGGTGTTGGTCTCGATGTACCAGAGCGAGTTGGGCATGGAGGGATTCTTGTTGCATGTAACCTCTTGCTGTCCAAAACCCCAATCTGGCAGAGTGACCTTGTGGGAGAAGAGGTAGCATCCCGTCAGAGTGTGTCTCAGGCGGAAGTGAGTGCGCAGCGAACGAACTCGAGTAGACGAGAGACGGTCGGTCTTGTCACCTTGTACAATCTCGAGGTGGAAGTTGTCGTTGGCATCACCGCCAAAGCCTTGAAAGCCATATGCAGTCACTTCGTTCTGGTAGTCGCTTTCGGTGACGGGAGGACGGTTTGTGTCGTGACTGTGAAGACGCTTGTCGGTAGTGGTGTGGATGAGACGAATCTCGATGCCGTGTGTGAGGTAGCGGATGGGGTGCTGGTGGAAGCGTGTGATCTCGTCCTCAGATCTCAGAGGGTGACCCTTGTCGTCCAGCTTGGGGGCGGGATCTTCGGGTCCTGGAGCTTTGACAATGACCCAGTCATTGTTGTCGTCCAAGTGAGGGTAGAGGGTGATTTGCTGTTGTTGACTTCCAGCAGGGTAGGTGGCCTTGTGGGAGTGGAGGTAGCCACCTTGAGTGTTGAGATGCTTGATTGTGACGGTAGAGCCGAGAGCGACGTCAGCATAAGTGTCGGCCATAGCGTGTCCGTGGAGGGTGTGTTGGAAGGCGCTGCTCATGAAGGGGTCGCCTTCACCGCTGCGCCAAAGAAGGCTGAGATGGATGGCGAAAGTGCAGAGGTAGACAAGAAGGGGCAAGCCGATGAGACAAACGGCACGAGCAGAAAAGTGGCGAACGAGAGTGCCCACTGGCTGTCGGACATCTCCGAGATGCTCCCAGAGCTGAGCAATGACCGAGACGCCGATGGTTGCAATAGTCAAGAGACCGACCCATTTGGAGCTTGCAACGGCACCCAAGCTGAGACCTGTGAGCGAAAGAAGAGCCCACCATGTTGGCGAGAAAGGAGCACGTTTCTCTTGGTTGCAAAAGGCAACCCAGAAGTAGAGGGTGAGTGCAGTGAAGAAGACAAGGACCGAGTCGAGCAAGATGAGTCGGCTCTGTGTGGTGAGAGCATTGTCAAAGAGGATAAAGATGGCGCCCAAGGTTGCTGTCGAGGCTCTCATCGAAAGACCACGAAGGGTGAGGTAGGCGAGAGGAACAGTTGCGACACCAAGAAGCGCGTTGACTGCTCGCATCATGAGATATGGTACGGGAGTGTGCTTGCCATGGAGATACTCTCGACCGATATCCTTAAAGTCGAAATCGCCGTTGAAGCCTGCTAACCATGCGGCGAGGGTGATGAGAAGCTTGGCGAGAGGAGGGTGTACATCCATGAAGAAACGACCCTGAATGTACTTGGAAGCAAAGCCGCCGAAATGAACCTCGTCGAAGACGACACTGGAGGGTTGGCCAAGTTTGTACATGCGAACCAGGAGTGCGACGAGGACCAAGGCAGCGATGATGCGATGTTCCTTCTTGGAGACGAGATTCGTAGCAGCGGCAGATGCGCCAGGCTGCGATCCAATACCGAGACCAAGACCAGTGCTGTGAGCGGTGGCGACTGATGGTGAGCAGAGCCTGCGCGCCGTCTTGCCTTTGATCGCATCGCTGCTACTGCTGTCTGCGCCAGGCTTGTAGAGCGATGGCTTTCCGGATTGATCCGGATATGGCAGTGCGGCATCTTGATGTCTCCTAGAGCGCACACTGGCCGCCGACTGTGCTAAGGAAGCCATCTTGACGAGTGATCGGAGGGTTATATGTTGCTGTGAGCAAGAGGAGGAAGAGGAGAAGAAGGAAGAGGAGGAGAAGGAAGAGGAGGAGGAGGAAGAGGAGGAGGAGGAAGAGGAGGAAGCGTGTCTCTCTCTTTTGTCGGATCAAGCGAACTTTATGATGGCTCTGGAGAGGAATCCCGATCTTGCATCACATCGGGCGACTTTAGCCTCGGTCAATTCGGCTAGAATAAGCTTCACCTCGCAGCCATTCGTCGGATCTCCTTGACTTGATCGGATGGGCCGAGGATTAGGAAGCGCTTGGCGATCCACTGTGACGGCCTCGCGGATGGGCCGAATTGACTACTCAGCATCCTCTCGGCCTGGCCGAAAGGCACTTTTTGCTTTCCCACGCCAAGCCAAACTGAGTTTGTAGTGGTCTCAATTCAAGCCGATGTTGATCAAGGTGGACCGATCCAAAGTGATTGCCACCCTCGGCTACTGTTGTTGATTTGGCAATTGAAAGATGAACGGCGACTTTGAATGTGAAATGCTCTTTGCCTCTTTGCCTTTTTGCCTCTTTGCCTTTTTGCCTCTTTGCCACTCTCCCTCTCTTCGCCCCTCTCTCCCTCTTTGGCCCTCTCTCCCTCTCTTCCTTTCCACCTTACAACATCATCCTAGCTCGCCATCCGCAAGACTCATAGCGGCGACGCTATCCTCGATTCCAAACTGCGGACCCTGCCCCTACGACATCGTATCCGCATCTGATTCACGCATGACAAACCCCCCCCTATGGTCTGATTGAGGATCCGAGCAGGAGTGTCTACGAAAGTGAATGGAAGCCATGTCGAACTCAAATCCGCGCTCTTTGCGAGCAGAGGCTTCCTCCTCATCCGCCGCAAGCTCCAAATCACCGGGCAGCCAAGGTCTCTCTATCGATGGCAACCTCATCAGCCTTGACACTGCTGCTGCCAGTGCTCTTTCAGACTACATCCGCACATCCATCAATGAGCCCATCAGCAGACCTTCCTCCGCTGCCAGTATGCGCATCCGCGTCGACAAGCTTTCCAGCGAAGCGATCAGCGGTCGCGCCCTCTACACTCATGTCCCAACCGGTTTCGAACAAGATCCATTGCTGCATCCTTACAACTCGGATGATCAACAGACAGGTGCTAGTCGCTCATCCTCCAAATCCCAACGCAAACGTGGCTACAGCAATGCCAACAGCAAGCCGTGTCACTCTGCGCATGATAGCGTCGCAGCCACCTTTGCCCGCAGAGGTGGCGCTCCTCCCTATTCCAGGCCCACACTCTACTCAACAGGGCGTCTCTTTGTCACACAGGCCACAGCCAACGTCCTCTCCTCTTTCTTCCTTTTCCTTGTTGTCTTGTGGGCCCTCTCCGTCCGCCTGCTAGCCGCAATCCCCAAGTTCTTCGCACCCACCATCAAAGAGCAAAAGGAATGGGACGATCCAAAGCGCTGGAGCAAAGAGAAGCTCGTCAAAGACGTTCGATACTATGCAGCCAGCTGTGGCTTCGAGATCATCAACGAAACAGTACAGACACAAGACGGATATTACCTCAGAATCAACCGTATCATTGACCCACAAACCACTCACAAAAAGCACTCGGACGGTCGCCGTGGCTTCCCTGTCCTCATCATGCACGGTCTCTTCCAGTCCAGTGGCTCCTTTGTCACTTCCGAAGAACGCTCGCTTCCCTTCTGGCTCGCTCGTCACGGCGGCTACCAAGTCTTCCTAGGCAACAACCGCGGTGTATTTGACATGGGTCATCGCACCTACAAGCGCAGCGATCCACGTTTCTGGGACTACAACATTCGCGAACTCGCCATCTATGATCTTCCCGCTATGATCGACTACATTTGCAAAGAGACCGGCTACGACCGCATCGCTTACATTGGTCACTCACAGGGCAACGGAACCATGTTCATCTCGCTCTCCAAAGGAATGCTTCCCGAGCTAGGCAATAAGTTGACCTATTTCGGCGCACTTGCTCCTGCTGTCTATGCAGGTCCTCTCACCTCCTGCTTCCCCTTCACAACACTCGGCCAGCTTGAGTGGCCTAAGTGGAAACGATTCTTCGGAGTACTCGACTTCATTCCGCTCATGAAGATCTCTTACGACTGCACCCCCGCTTATCCTTACGCTCTCCTCGGATACCAGATGTTCGCCTTCCTCTTTGCATGGACCGATGCAAACTGGCTCCTCCGACGAAAAGCTAAAATGTTCCGATTCACTCCGCAGCCCGTCTCTTCAGCATCTATCTACTGGTGGGCTGGTAAAGACGGTTTCGCTTCCCGAGGTTGCGTCTTGGACCCCAGCTTGGATCAGTGGTGGGATGAAAACTTCCCCCCTCTCTCCATCTTTTCGGGCGGAATGGACTTTTTGGTGCTGGCAGATCCATTGATCGAGAGGATCCAACAGAGGGAGAAGCATGTGAAGCTCTTAAGATTCAAGAGGCAAGATGAGGCGGAGCATTGTGATCATTTTTGGGCGGCGGATGCGGTGGAATGGTGCTTTGAGGATATTTTGGAGGATATCGAGAGGACTAGGACTAGGTATCCGGAGGAATTGGACGAGGAGCGCAACCAGAACCAGAATCGAGGTGCCGAGGCCAACGGACAGGAGTTGATGGATCTTTAGACTCGGCTTAGACATGATTGTACACATTAGAAACTATACACGTTATACACCCGGTCTCTTGTTTGTTTGTGTGTTTTTTTTTTTTTTTTTTTTTTTTAGGCTGTGCTGCAGTGATTGATTCAGTTCAAACCAAGGGCGGCAACGGGGGATAGTGTAGAATGAGCTGGGATGGAGTTGCATTGAAATGCTAGATAACGTTGCTTTGTTGCATGCGCACTGCAACAGTTGCTTGCTCTCAACATTAACGACCTCAATCAGAATCAGAATCGCTATCACTATCACTATCAGAACGACGATCATCATCCTGCTTGAGATCATCATCGGTTCCACTCTCCTCCTCATCACTCTCCTCGGCACCCCTGGTGCTGGGTTTAACCTTCTGACCCTTCATGAGTGCCATTTGACCGGCCAGACTATCCTCCTCAGGTTCACTAATTTCATCCTCACCTTCATCCTCCAAAACACTAGCATCGTCCACCTTCAACTTGACCATCCTCGAAGCATCCGATCCCAAGTAACTATCCGACTTTAGGATCGCTTGGAAAGTGTATAACCCGGCCTGGGGGGGAGCTTGGAATTGAACCGAATAGGTTCGGATCGAGTCTGGTCCGATATCCGAGACCTTTGTAGGTTGGACGATGACTCGGTCTAGTTTTTGGTCTCCGATTAGAACCCACCAGCATGGCTTGCGTTCGTCCCAGAAGTATGGGGCTCGGGCGAAACCGATGGCTTGCTTACCCTCGTCCTTTTCCTCCTCCGTGTTTGCGGCGGATTTCTTAGAAGTGCGGGTGGGAAGAATGTCTTGGTCGGGACGAACAGAGCTTTCGTCATCCATCCGTTTCGCATCCAATCTCCTCCCATCTCTTAGGAGCGATCCGTCTTTCTTAGGTGGAAGCAAGCGAAGTTTGACGATAAACTGAACGATAGCACCCGTCGTAACCAATCGTTCGCCGGAAACCTTGAAGAATGCATCAACAAGCTCCAATCGAGGCCAAATGGAAGTGACGGAAATCATTTCTTCGTACTGCTTGGATCCAATGCCGGCGTTGGTGAGCACGGATTTACGTTCTGCATCGGGCATCTTCCAAAAGCCCTGGATACCGAGCTTGGCTAGGCTGTTCGAGTCTTGAAGCTTCTTGATCAATTCCGGCGTCATATGCGGCAGCTGGAGCAACTCGGCAGAGGATAGGTCTTGCAGGGGTACAGCTTGAACCATACACTGCGTAACCTGCATCAACAGCAGTGTAGTTTGCAACCAGTTGTGCGCCAGACTAATGGATAGCATTCCATTCAACAGCTGAACTGCTTTCGCCGCATACTTCAACTTGTCCTGTTCCAACCTCTTGTTGCCACTCTCAATCCTCAACGTATGAGCGTAGAGCAGCAACAAAGCCTTACGAATAGACGCGTTACGGAAAGAATCGATCAAGTGCCATTCCGGACCAAATCCTGCCAGCTTGGCTCTGATCTTTGGCTCCAAGGCCGCCAGCGCTGTTTCATCCCTATGCTTCTCCTCGGCCTTATCGAGCTTCGCATCACTAAACTCATCCGAAATGGCAAGGAGAGCAAAGATACGAGAAGCATTGGTATCATCCCTCAAATGCTGGAAATAGGTCTGTGCAGTATCGTTGACAATGCCATCCTTTGTCTTGCTCCTCGAGCCATACCACCATCTTGCGACCAAAAACGGCAGTGCTACACCAAACACAACAGCATACATGCCCAATACGTAGATATTGTTCTGACTTTCAATCACCCACCTGGGCAATGCAATGCCCATCGACATTTCCTGTTTGCCATCTGGGTGACCGTACAGCTCGAAATTCTTACGGATCGTTTCGTCTGTAAGGGCTTTGTAAGCTTTGGTGAGCTCGATGTAGTGGCCTTCGACTTGCTCTTTGGTTTGGCCTTCAGCGAGGACGAGTTTGTCCGGGTGGAACTTCACCGAGAGACGCTTGTAGTGTTTCTTGATTTCCTTTTCGGTTGCCGAGGCAGCGATGCCGAGGATTTGGAAAGGGTCGTAGACCGCATGGGAGGAGTTGGCGGCGGTGTTGAGGATGGCTTGGAAGAGATAAGCGACGATTCCCCAACCGGCGAGGACCAAAACGGCTTTCGAGGAGATCTGAGGGTTGAGGAGCGAACGCTTTTTGCCGGCACGGATCAAGTCGATTTTCTGCCCGCGCGCATCCCACGAACCCTTCTTGGAGGAGGAGGAGCGGGAAGATGCAAGGAGAGAGTATGTGAGTGGGACTAGAAGGAGAAGAAGGAAAGTGAGGACAAAGGTAAGGAATTGTCCTCCTTCCTCGTCGTACTTGTACTCGGCCATAGCGGTGGCAGAGAGAAGCTGCTAGCAGCGCAGCCAAGAGTCCTCTAAAGGTGGTGGTTTGCACGATCCTGCTGTTAGCACAAGCGAAGCAGCAAAGGGGGTTTCGGTGGTGTCTTGAGGGTGATGATGATGATGATGATGATGATGATGATGATGAGGAAGAGAACGAGGTTGGTACGAGGCTCGTGCTCAAGAAAGTGTCGGCGTGGAAGCAAATAAATCTTGGAATTAATTGAATTTGAGAGAGTGAGCTGGAAGGTCTCCCGAAATTCAAATCTCTTTCAATTCCAATTCCAATTTCAATTCAATTAGGAATTCGGAATGTGAAAGCATCGGGTGAGAATCGGGTCCAGGCATCTTGGCGATCTGAAGCATCGGGCGAGAACCCGGGTTCTGCTCTGAGAATGCTATTGGCTGACGCGTCGTGTTTCTTTGTCTCCGCGTATGCTCAAATTCAAGAAAGTGCACTATACGTGCGAGAGAAACTCTCTCCTTTACTCGACCAATCATCATCATCGTCAATGGCTCAGTCGCAGCTATCCTCACGCTCATCATCATCTCTACTATAATATACCCCTGCAACTCGTTCGGTGCAATTGGTCAGTGTGCGCTCTTGCCGCCCTCGCCTTCACCTTGAACCCAACCCAACCCAACCCAACCCCCATCATGAGCTGCAACACCGCCAACGACGATCAAGACAATCGCGATCCCCGTTCCACCTCCACTCCTCGTCTCTCTGCCGTCGACGGAGACGCTACCAGCTTGTTCGAATACATCATCCGCGACAAAGTATGGGGTGCCAATTTGGATCCTCCCGAATCAGCTAAAAACGTCATCAAACCATGGCATGAACGTCTCTCCGCCGACCCCTCCACTCAGTCCAATGTCGATGATCAGCTCGCCATCACCGTTCCTTTCACCTGTCCTGTTCGGTTGAAGTCGATGTTGATCAATACGGGCACTGGCGACTTTGCTCCCACACGATGCCGCGCTTTCGTCAACCGACCGGATGGCATCGATTTCGATCAAGTGGAGCAGGCTACAGCAGACGATCATCCGGCCAACCTCTCGCCTCGTGCTAGTGCAGCTACACTGGGAGGAGTAGCAAGTGGAAGGGCGCAGGCCGACTTTGCCTTGTTGAGCGGCCAGCAAGGTGTGGTTGAGTATCCAGTCAGCGTGGCACGCTTCTCGCACACCAACAGCATCACTATCGTCCTTTCCCACTCGAACGCTACGACATTGTCGCGCTTCTTCTACCTAGGTTTCAGAGGCACCGCACTCCTACCCAAAACCGAGCCGGCAGAGAGACTCGACATCCGTGCTGCCAACTCAGCCGATCGTCCTGTCGATGCGTTGCGTGAGAAACGCGGTGCGAGCCAAGGACTGGCTGGTGGTAGTAACAGAGGAACGCCGACGCGGTCAACCCGCTATGTTGTCAGCGACCACGAAGCGGCTCACCGTATTGCACGCATGGCCGAAGGTGGAGAGAGCACTCCACGTCGATCACCAAGGAGTAAAACAACTTCCACATCCTCGGCAGCTCAGCAGACCGAATCACCGACGACTACACCGCCGCGCAAACGCAAAGCGCCGCCTTCTCAACCAGACGATGCGGACGACACCAAGACTACACCTCATGCTTCTCGCAGTCCAGCCAAAACGCGCACTCCTGCTGCCAATCCGACTACTACTTCGCCCACACCTCGAACTGCGCCGCAAACACGTCACCGGCCATCCGCAACAGCCGATGCTCAGTCTTCTTCGCAAGGTCAATCCCAAGCAACATCATCTTCGTCAGCAGCAGCAAGTGACCCTTCACGTCGCAGATCACTTTCACAGCCACCTCCCAACGATGTTCTGATGCGACAACTCCAAGCGAGCTCCATGACTCCCTCTGTCAAGTATGCTGCTGCTCAACGTCAGACCCGCACTCCATCCCAAACCGCTTCGGCTTCGACCATAACTCCTGGCCGACGCATCCTTGGTACACCAAGACGCACCGTCCCTGGCTCAGCCTCAGCCTCTGCTAGCAACCCTTTCACCGGCGGCACCGCAGGTCCATCCACATCAAACCACCAACAACAAGGCATGCAAACCCCAGCAACCGACAAAAGACGTAAACGCAACGATGCGCTCCTCGCCAGTGCTCAACGTTCCCGCGAACGCCGTTCTGCCTCCCGCAAATCCCTCCTCTGGGGCGGTATCGGTGGATGGGCAGGTGGTAGGGAAGAATCTCCCATGGATTTGCTGCGTCGACTTGCACGTGCACCCGGCTTCATCGCCCCACCTACTCCCTCAGAGGACTCAATTGCTATGCCTCCTCCTACCGCTCGTCCAGGCCGAACGAGCACTGCGAGTAGCACCGCCGATGCTTCCACCTCCCGCAACACTCGCGGTGCAAGGGACAGCGCAGCTAGCAGCGCCTCCCGCGCAACAATGCTCGTTCCTGGTGAATCCGTTCCTGGCGATCTCACACGCGACTCTAACCTTTCTGATTCGCTCAACGACCACAATGATTCACTAGTGTCGCACACTGGAGATGAGAGTGTCGACGATCGTTCACCTTCACGCCTTTCTGATATTGGAGTTCCTCGTCGTGCGTCTGGTGTCGGTTTAGTGAGGGGTGGCATTTTCGCTGCGATGGCAGACCGGCCTAAAACCTCTCGCATTTCCACCGGCTCTCGAGTGTCATTTGCGGATCACGCAATCTCTCCCGATTCGATGCGGTTTGATGATGTGTCCAGTCGACGAGAAGATGAGTTGGAACGCTCTCTTCAGGGTCAGCAATCTGGTTTTATCTCTGCTTCGGGAATCGATCTTGCAACAGCAAAAGCTATCAGGCGATTGGACGATTTAACGAGGCAAAGTTTCTTTAGCCAAGATGGACAGCTCCAGTTCGACGACGACGAGGAAGAGGATGAATCGGTTTTGGAACAAACAAGAAAAAGTACCGGTCGAAGCATGTCTGAACCACTCGACGGTGGTGAGTCATCTGTTGTTATGCACAATGATCTGATGCCAGAAGCACAGAGTGAAGAAGAAGAAGAGGTTTCTGATTCACTGCCACTCGATCCTGCCGCCGCCGCCGCCGCAGCCTCCGATGATGGCGAAGAAGAACTCGCACGTCGCATACCAGCAGATGATTCACGCAATGTCTCCGACCTCCGTGACACATCTCTCCCTACCGCTGGCGACATTAATGACGATAGCCATGTATCGCGTGTTAGTTTCGCAGAACAAGACCAAGTATCGTTTCAACCAGACGATCCCTACTCCTCCTCTGAAGGAGAACAATACGGTCTCGACAACGACGAGGAAGAATCCGATATCGAAAACCAAGATCCCTCTGCCCGACGTCTTGATCTGCTCGACCCGAAAGATCTTACTTCTCTACTCAAACGTCGAATCGTAAAGAAGCGAAAATCTCGAATCTCGCCTATCACAGGAAACCCGTTGCCTCCCCTACCAACTTCCGTAATGAGAGATATATTTTCTTCTTTCCTCACACCCTCTACCTCGACCCCCTCGCTACTCTCCCCTTCCAGTTCCGGACCAAAAAAAGCGAAACTGGATAGCTCGGTGATAGATGAGCTGGATAGTGCGGTGCATGATTTCTTCGCAGACTTGACTTCCTCCCTTCTCTCCCAATCCAAAACCCGCACAGCAAGAAAAAGCGGTGAGGGGGGTACGATCACAGAAGCTGACGTGGTAGCAGTACTTAAAAGGCAGGGTAGGGTGACACAGAGAATGGACGCTAGCAGTTTAGCACATAAGATGTTGCCAAGAGAATTGACAGATCAAATGGAGCTGGGCAGATGGGCAAAAACGGGAGCCGTACAGACTACACTTGGGTTCGGTGGGTCGGGTGGTGCCAGACAAGGGGGAAAAGCAGGGAGGAAAGGTGCGGATAGCAGTGTGGGGACTACTGCTGCTAGTAGTGTGATGCTTGATAATGAGGATAGTGGCAGCTTTAGTACGAGTGGCAGTGGCAGTGGCAGTTCGTAAATTGTCTTCTTCGTTCAGTGGTACTGTAATGCAACCTTGCTTTATTTCGTTATTGAGTGTTGTCTGCTGGAACGTTGTTGTGAAAGCCGTGTGCAATTGTTGCAAAGTTATGGTTGAGATGAATGGAAGATGGAGGAACCCCCATTTGACATCAGCACAAGCACAAACAGAGACCCACCGAATCTCCAAAGTTTTCACCCCGCTGAATAAAATCGACGCCATCCATCGCCATCACCGTGGAACGTGACACAACCTGTTGTGGGAGCCTCTATCGTGAGATTGGGAACCGTTGCCAATGGGTCGTGCATATTCCCCACCACCACCCTTCCCACTGAATGAAACGCCGACTCAAACCCATCGGACACCACCTTTCGCACCGAGCAAGCCCTCTCTACTCGTATCACCTATCGAAAATGCATATAAACGCCCCCCTCTTCAACCCCCTACCGCTCTTCTTTTTTCACTAACTCTTCACTTCTTCTAACAAACTCGACCTGGAGTTGAGTCTTTTTTACAATGTTTCCCAATTCTCTTCTTTTTGCTTTCGTAGCCACTTGCCTCTTCCTCGCCAATGTTGGTGCTGAAGCTGGTTCCGCACCCAACCGTCCTGATGGGTTCGATTCTTACCCCTCTGACCACTTTCGCAAGGCCAGAATGGACAAGAGGTACATCCCTCACTCAGTCTTCCAGGGTTATCAAGCCAAAGCAAAGCGTGATGGAAGAGTGTTTGTAAGACGTAGCGATGATGAGTACGGAGGATCACGCCCAGAGTTCCAGCCAGCCGAGTTTGAAAAGCGTAGCGTTGGTGAGGATGCCGATGATGGAATCGGTGGTCATTGGTCGATTGCGAAACGTAACGATGAAGATGATGGCGACAAGGGGCTTTTTAACGCTTTGAACAAGAGGAGCCTTCCCCCCACTGCCGCCGCCAACCTAGAGAAACGCGCCCCTCAGGAGATAAGCAAGCCAATTCGAACGGTCGGAACGGTTCAAAAGGCCCAGCAACCTACCCCCAGCAAGTATTCCCAGGGCCCCGACCTCGTTGGCCCAACCTACCAGCGTATGTTCTTTCACGACTTTATTTATAACTATGGAAAGATTACTGGGGCCACCGGCAGTTCCGGCCAGTGACTATCGCTCTAACATGTCCGCCAACTTCGCTCACCGTCGCCACTCATCACCACCCACCAACGCTACTCAGATCCACGTCAACACCCCCTTTGCGCATATTGCCACAGCGTGCAACCATACGTGTCACTTCATTCACATTGGCACACACTCAATACAGTCGAGACATACCTGGCATTGCTTTGTACTTAGTCGTCTTCTAAACACAACAATTGCTATCCGCTTTGCCGCTCCTCGCTTGTGTATTCCTCAACTTTACCAAGCGGCTCCATCGTCGATCACCATTGCTTCCTTGCTCTCCACCACTCCGGCTGACAGGTTTCCTCGGTATCTTCTCGCTCTGATCTTCTCCTAATGACGGAATCTTTAGGCAGGGTGGCGATTCTAGTTTTTCCTCGGTTCAAGAGTTTATCAACCAAGCCCAAAAGACCACCAAGTGCACTTGGCTTTCCCCTGCCGATGTTCACTGTGTAGAGTAAGGTGGGAAGGAGGATATGGACGCCGAGGATACGACTTGGTGGCAACAGGCTTTCTGCAAGCGTTGTTCCGACGCCGGTGGAACCAACAAGGGTGAATTTGCCGGTCCGAAGGCTCGGGATCAGGATAATGATACCACTGTGCCTGGTTTGAGTGAACGTGCAAAGCCGAAGGTGGGAGAAGGTCCAGGCTCCTCGGACCGTCTCCGGCGGCAAGCCTAAGCAAGCTGATGGTGGTCTTGTCTAAGCGCAGTTCTTGGTTTTGTGATTCGGTTTTATCGTCGTTCGAATGCTCCTCTCTATTTCTCTCTTCTTTCCCTCGCTTCATTTCGTGTTGATCATGGCTTCAATCCATGTTCATTTTGATCCCACATCATACAAAACCATCATCGCATGGCGTTGTGAAGGCTTGTGCATCAAAGAGTGTCTGGAACGGGGTCGATCGGGTGTCAACACGCATCATACTCCCCCGACTGCTGCAATTCACAGAAACAAGGATCTCTCGAATTCGATTTCGAACAAGGTTGCTAGACTGACATTCAGGCTCGTACGATACAGGGCCGTTCGAACGAGCGCATATTAGGCATTGATATCGATCGCTTGACTTGCACAACGAAGGGCAGTACTGTGTTGGTGTGGGAAAAGGTTTTGAGGACCCTTTGTTTGAAAGAAGGGATACCTGAATCAACGCCATTCATTGCCATCGCCGTGGGTCATGACAAAACCTGTTGTTCGAGCCTCTATTGTGAGATTGGGAACCATTGCCAATGGGTCGCGCATATTAACCAACCTTCCCCCCACCAACCTTCCCACTGAATGAAACGCCGACTCAAACCCATCGGACGCCACCCCTTTCGCACCGAGCAAGCCCTCTCTTCTCTACTCGTAACACCTATCGAAAATGCATATAAACGCCTAACCCTCACGCCCGCTATCGCTCTCCTTTTTCCACTAACTCTTCACTTCTTCTAACAAACTCGACCTGGAGTTGAGTCTTTTTTACAATGTTTCCCAATTCTCTTCTTTTTGCTTTCATAGCCACTTGCCTCTTCCTCGCCAATGTTGGTGTTGAAGCTAGTCTCGAAGCTACTGCAGGCGCCGACTTCCACACAAAACCAACGCCCATCACCGTGGCTTCCTCGCTCAGCGTCAGTCCGCATGGCACAAACCCATTCGGTATCTGCTCGCTCCCATTTGCTGAAGAAAATCAAGTCTTTAAACCGGCTACCGGTCCTGATGCTCTCCCGGTTCAAAAGTTTGTCACCGAAGCCCGAAAGAACGGCGCCGTTTGCCAGTGGTTTGTCCCTGACGATATGAAATGTGTAGAGCAAGGTGGAAAGGGGGATATGAGCGCCAGCGATGTGATTTGGTGGCAACAGGCATTCTGCAAGCGTTGTTCCGACGCTGGTGGAAAGAACGGAGAGGAATTCAACTGTCCGGATGATTCGGACAGTGCAGAGACGAAGGTGGAGGAGAAGAAGAAGTAGAAGGGGTTGGGGGAGGGGTGGGAGGGCTAGGCTCCTGCTGGCGGTAAGAGTAAGGATGCGTTTTAGGATGATGGAAAGATCGATGGTAGTGATAATCCTCCTCCTCGGACCGTCTCTGGTGACAAGACTAAGCAAGCTGATGCTGGTATTGTCTAAGCGCAGTTCTTCTTGGTTTTGTGATTCGGTTTTGTCGTTGTTCGAATGCTCCTCTCTATTTCTCTCTTCTTTCCCTCGCTTCATTTCTTGTTGATCATGGTTTCAATCCATGTTCATTTTGATCCCACATCATACAAAACCATCATCGCATGGCGTTGTGAAGGATTGTGCATCAAAGTGTGTCTGGAAGGTGGTGTCAACATGCATCATACTCCCCCGACTGCTGCAATTCACAGAAACAAGGATCTCTCGAATTCGATTTCGAACAAGGTTGCTAGACTGACATTCAGGCTCGTACGATACAGGGCCGTTCGAACGAGCGCATATTAGGCATTGATATCGATCGCTTGACTTGCACAACGAAGGGCAGTACTGTGTTGGTGTGGGAAAAGGTTTTGAGGACCCTTTGTTTGAGAGAAGGGAGGTCTCCTTTTCGCATCGCGGTCTGCAGGCCTGTTTTTCTTCTGCGAATTGCCAAGTGGCGGCTGGAAAAGTTGAAAAAAGTATTTCTTCACGCTTCCACGCCTTTGTGAACCTTTCCAGTGAGCGCACTGACAGTTTTTTTTACTCGACCGATTGTCAAACTCATCACTCCTCTCCTCCCGTCTTCCTTCTTCTCCACCACCACCACCACCAAATTTTGGATCCATCAACATGATTGCCCGTAACCTTTCTCGAACGCTCCTCCGAGCAGCTCCTCGCGCCCCCACCACCGCTGCTAGGGCTGCCATTCTCCCTCGCTTCACCCCCGTTATCGCCCCCACCTTCCGCACCTTCTTCACCACCCCCACTCCCCGAGGCTCAGGCGAAACAGACCTCGAGCTCTCGGCCAAACTCGCTCAAGAACTTTCTTACGAAAAAGAAAACTCGGACCTCTTCACCTCCTCCTCGTCCGACTCGCCCTCTGCCGAACCTGGATTCGTAACCGAATTCAAACAGGCCGGAATCTGGAAGATCACCGACAAAGCCATGGTCGATGAAGTGATCCTTTCCCGCGATTTCGGTAACGAACACATCGAAGTCATGTTCAGCGTCGGTGAAATCGATACCTCAGGCCCCCTCCCCTCCGAAGAAGATGTCGATGAGGCACCCGCTCCCGAAGAAGAGAGTGAAGATGGAGCGACTCAATTCCCGGTTCGAATTTCAGCTACGATTACAAAGCCGACGGATGGTGCGTTGATGATAGATGCGTTTGTACAGGATGGTGAGGTGCACGTGGATAATATTGCGTATTATAAGGATAAGGAACTGGCGACCAAGATCGATGCAGATGCAGACTTTGCTAGGAAGGCAGTGTATCTGGGTCCGACTTTTGAGACTCTGGATGACGGTTTGCAGGAACAGTTTAGAGCTTTCTTGGCGGAAAGGGGGGTAGATGCGAACCTGGCATTGTTCGTGCCGAATTATGCCGAGTATAAGGAACAGAGAGAGTACTGTGCCTGGTTGGGACATGTTAGGCAGTTTATTGATGCCTGAGCCACAGCCGGAGCTGTTACTACTCTTTGCACATGCGTTCCTTGGCTTGAAGGCAAACGAATCATCAACACTACTCTATAGCTGTTTGTATCTCTACTGTGCTCATGTTTGTCTCTCTGGACTAGCCATGAGTGGTTGATGAGCGCTTTTGCACCTGCACCTATGAACACAAAGCGACGGGCAATCAAGCGTTGGATTTCAGGATGTTGTCTTGTGAAACTTAACACGTTCATATCTTTGTCCTCCGAGTTCCGAATCCAGCTTGGAATTTTTTTGGGCCAAGTTTCTCCAAGAAGAAGGACACAGCGAGAAGAAAAAGAAAGGTCCTGACCACCATCTTTCCCCTTCCTCTCTGGCAAGAGAAAGGATCCTTCATCAAGATGTCAGACACAGAAGCAACTCGCACATCCACCACCACCCTGCCCACGGGCGAAGCTGTCGACCGTCCTCTTACGAACAAAGAAAAACGTCAGCTAGCAGTAGCAGAAAAACGTCGCGCTAAGGAAACCGCCTCTCCCACCAAGCGTAAACGCGACGATGAACCCTCGTCATCTGCCCCAACCAATCCCTCCAACCCCTCCGACCCGTCCGGTGAAGGGCAAGAAGAAGTGCTTTCGCACAAAGAACAACGTCGCCGTAAGAAAGCAGCCAAACTCTCCTCTTCCTCCGAGCCATCTTGCACATCTGACCCCTCGAACCCAACTGCAAACGACTTGCTGCATCCATCTCGTTCGGCCGGTGGACCAGCAAGCCAACCGCGTTCCGGATGCTCGATCTGGATTGGCAACCTGTCCTTCTTCACCGCGCCAGCAAAGCTTGTTGATTGGTTCAACAGCCGAGGAGTCGATGGCATTTCTCGTGTTAACATGCCCAAGGGACAACGTAGAGCAGAGATGAATCGCGGATTTTGCTACCTGGATTTGCCGAGCAAAGATATCTTGACGGCTGCTCTCAATCTGAGCGAGCAGCCACTGGATGGAAGGAAACTGTTGATCAAAGATGCAAGTGATTTTACGGGTAGACCGGATATTAATAGTAGTGCGTTGGGTATTGCACGTACCTTACCCAATGCTACGCAGAGTATGCACAGTAACAAGCAAGATCCGGACGAGGGTGGAGGCGAAGAAGGAGAGGATGAGGGGGATCAGGGAAAAGAGAAGAGCCAAGTAAAGGGTAAAACAGGATTAACGAAAACAGCACAAAAGATTTTACGAGCGCAAAAGAATCCCCCCTCAATGACGCTTTTCTTGGGTAACCTTTCCTTCAATACAACAGAACAGGGTGTGAGAGAGTTGTTCGATCATTCGGCGACAAAACGTAATCCTCCTAAAGCTTCGAAGAAGGAACGCAAACAAAAGTCGAAGAAACCCACCAAGAAATCCTCTTGCTCTTCTTCCTCTTCTTCTTCCTCCTCCTCCTCCTCCTCTTCGTCTTCATCCTCCGACTCGGACTCGGACTCGGACTCGGACTCGGACTCGGACTCGGACTTGGACTTGGACGAAGAAGAAAAGAAGCAGCCAGCTCAGGGAGAAGTTGTGCCATCCTCCGCCGGCATCCGCAAAGTCCGCCTGGGAACATTCGAAGATGCGCCTACCAAATGCAAAGGTTTTGGTTTCCTCGATTTCCACACTGTCGAACAAGCGACCGCATCGCTCCTCGATCCACGAAATACCTTGCTCGATGGTCGAAAGATCATCCTCCAGTATGCCTCTGCCGACGCTACTAGAAGAGGCGCAAGCAAAATCCAGAAGACTCTGATCGCTAACAGACGTCCTAACGAACTAAGAGTTGGGTTCCAGAGAAAGAACCAAATGCCCCGTCGAGCCGAAGGTGAGACATCCAATAGGTGCACTCGCAGGGGTAGTAAGGGAGAGGGAGAGGAAGAGGAAGAAAAGGAGGCGCCAGTACCAGGAACTTTCGACCCAAACGCACCTCTGCCAAAGAAACACAAGGAAACGAAAGAGGAAAGAATGGCACGCAGAGCTGCAGGTGGTGCAAGAGGACGAGAAAAAGTGACAAGAGCTAGGCCAGGTGCAGCATTGGCCAATGCACAAAGAGCCAGTGTAGCGGTGGTGCAAAGTACGGGTACTAAAGTCACTTTTGATGACTAACTTGGCCTCCTCACCAAACACATTCTTTTGAGAATCGCATCTCGAACTCAGCTTTGTTCCCAGATCTTCTATTGCTGTGCGTAGACTGTGATTTAAGTCGAGGTAGGGTGCCAGTCGAAAGCCGAGAGTGGAAGGAGGAGGGATTTCCATGCTGCTCCTTTTTCTGTAGGCGAGATGTACTGCAACTCCACTCGAGCCTCTTCTGGATTGGCGATGGAGAAATGCTTCCCGACAATGATACGATAGCTGTATCCCGTGAGATCTGAATCCGCCAGTTTCGAGCCTAGAGTGCAAGATTGCCTATCATCAATGACCAACTCGTGTGCTTCTTCGCTGGACCAACCCCTGCGACTATCCTCCTCCTCCTCCTCCGCTTCTACTTGCTCAACACTCTGCCCACCATTCTCTACAACAAGCCATTGCAATAGCTGCCTCACGCTGCAATCCGCTCTCCTCGCAGCCTCCACCACCCGCTCATAGACCTCGTTGGCACCGTTGACTCTGACTTGGTCCTTGGCATCCGCGACAACAACCACCGCTGTATACGGCGCCACTTGAGTCGGCCAAAGAAAGCCATGCCTCTTCTTTGAGCCTTGGAGGAGACCAGCATTGAACCTCGTATCGAACTCAGCGGCTGCCTTTTGCGCCAGGGCTGCAAGTATCCGACTGACTCCGATACCGTAGCATCCCATCTGGAAGGGGATTCTGCCGTTGGGTAGCTTGTGTACGCCTTCGTTTTCTTTTTTGGCTTCGGCGCTGGGGAGAAAACCTGCTTCGAGAGGACGACTGTATCGATCGCCGAGGTAGAATGTGTGGCCAACTTCGATTGCTTTTGTCTCGCGTAGAGAATGCGGGGTACGACAGGAGGGGCAGGTGTCGTTGGAGGCTGCATTGCGGATGTCGACCAGCGTCAAAGGTGGAGCAATTTGGGTAGGGTTGGTGGCGTAGGAACCGAATTGGGCTGGGAAAAGGTCGATTAGTGGCAGTTGATCCGAGGACTTGACGGTGGAGGAGGAAGAGGAGCACGTTGGACGAGATGCGAAAGTGTTAACAGCAGCTGTTAAGGCTTGGTTCAATTCCGCTGGGTCCAATGAAGCACACTCGAAGTCAGATAGAAGGGACAAAGAAGTGAACCTGACTAGCGGCCCTTCAGGACGATCTTGCCAATCCCACACACCTTGTGTTGCCCCACTGTGACTGGAATCGTAGAGTAATTCGACCTTTGTTTCCTGCTGCACGACATGCTTCTTGCTTGCTTTTGACACTGATTTCTGCTGCTGTTGCTGGGGTGCGAGTTGCTGAGCATTCGTCTTAAGCTTCGCCACAAGCTTCTCCAACTTTGTCCCATTCAACTCCCTCGCCTTGGCTACAACAAAGGCATGCAACACCTGATCTTGCACCTTGACATTGGTACAACCATACAACAGCACCCTAACATCATCGGCTTGGACCGGCGCGCACAGGGCCTCAGGCAAGGAAACAGCCTTCTCCTTATTGGCACAATAGCCACAGAGGCTCTGGGCACACGAAATCAACGTATCCTCCCCCGCGGCATCCTGGACATGATACTCATGACTCGTATTGCCGCCAATAGCGCCCGTATCCGCCTCGGCGACGCTCCACGCTGGCACCTTGCCAAAGATGCTATCAAAGATGTTGCCATACGCTCGTCTCACCTCTTGATAAGTCTTGAGCGCATCGCTCTCACTCTTATCAAAAGTGTATAGATCCTTCATCAAGAACTCTTTTGTCCTTAACAAGCCCATCCTTGGTCGCGGCTCATCTCGAAACTTGCGCGTGATCTGGTATAGGCGCAGGGGCAGTTGTCGATCCGACTCGATTTCGGAAGAGACGAGTTTGGTGATTTCTTCTTCATGGGTGGGAGCGAGGAGGAATTCGGATTTTTTGCGATCCTGGAGTTTGTACAGTTCGGATCCAATGAGAGTGTACCGGTTGGTAACGTGGTAGAGGGTGGAGGGGAGGAGAGTGGGGAGAGAGAGACGAGTGCATGAGATCGAGGCGAGTTCCGTGTCGATGATGGATTGGATTTTGGAGATGAGTCGGAGAGAGGTGGGGAGGAGGGTGAAGATCCCGGATGAGGAGGGACGGATGTAGCCGCCGCGGAGGAGGAGTTCGAGCGAGGGGAGCAGCGAGGAGTCGCTCGTCGAGGTTTGCGAGGGTTTGAGGGTGGGGGAGAAATGGGTTGATAGACGGATTGGTTGATGTTTGCGGCGGTGTTTGGGTTTGGATGATGGTGCTATGGTCGATGATGATGATGAGGAGGAGGCGGTTAGAGCAAACGTTCGAAGCTGGGTTGTTCGAAGAGCCCCCGAAGCGCAGCAGGTTCTACAGCGAGACGCCATCTTAGACGACCAGCAGTGGCGTAGGAATTCCAGCAGCGCCTTTATGCTGTTAAGACAGCTCGAGACCGGGTAGGCGCATGTCTTGCTCTCCAAGAGCGCCTTTGGTATGATGTCGTGGTACGGCAAGAAGCAGTGCTTCCTCAGCGGCCAATGTTAATCTTCGGAAAGGCGGCTCAATCCTCCACCTTGATTACTAATGCTTATCGCTCCCATTTGTACTCTCGTACGAAATCGAAATCAAAATCGAAATCAAAATCGGGAATCAAAATCGGAAATCAAAATAAAAAATCGGGAGATGGAAGTAGATGCGCGCCAAAGACAGTCGGAAGACGGTTGAATCCGATTGCCGGTTGCCGGTTCGCCTTTTTTTTTTTTTTTTTTGTCTTTTGAAAGCGAGCGGATGGGAAGGAGAAGTTATAGAGCGGTGAGCCGACAGAAAAGCAAACGCTGTGTAACGACAACCTCTCGGTCTTGGCTGAGCTCATCATCCGGCTTTACTTGGACTCACTGTTGCAGCGATCCGCCTTCTGGCTGATGGGCAACGAGGTGCATGCATATCCATCCGGGCTTTCATTTTCGGGCAAGCGCCAGGCAAGGAAGAAATGAAAAAAGGATTCGACCGTCAACACCGATCCCTTCTCGCTTCAGAGTCTGGGCCGCTTGCCCGCATCAAAGCGAGAGAGAGAGAGAGAGAGAGAGAGAGAGAGAAAGCGATACACTATGTGAGATTGCAAAAGATTGCGCTCTCAGCGCTGGCTTTCAATCGCAACTGCAATCCGCACAGCAACGACTACAAATACCCCACCTTTCTCCCCTCAACAACCATCTCCACCACCATCTTCAAAACGTTACCCGCAACAATGTCTCTCCGATCTTCCTCAAGCCGCATCTTGGCGCGTGCCACTACCACCACCACTCCTCCTCGAGTCCCTGCCGCTCTTGCCACTGCACGATGCCTTAGCACCATTTTTGCTAGCACCATTTCTGCTAGCACCATTTCTGCTAGCACCGGTTCCAAGACCTGCAACTCGATCGCTCACAAGCCTTCCACCCAGCAACTTGTCTCCGCCATCCGTACCTTCTCCACCTCTTCCCGCACCAACGCCGAGTTCGAATCCCCCTTCGGCGTCAACTCTCTTGCCAAATTCACTGAAGAAGAAGAGATGCTTCGAGAAGCAGTCCAGCGTTTTGCACAAGACAACGTTGCTCCCAAAGTGAAAGCTATGGACGAAGCCGAAAAGATGGACCCGGAAATCATCAAAGGACTCTTCGAACAGGGTCTAATGGGTATCGAAACTTCCGCCGATCACGGTGGTGCTGGATGCTCTTTCACCGCTGCTATCATTGTCATTGAAGAGCTTGCCAAGGTCGATCCTTCCGTTTCGGTCTTGTGCGATGTTCACAATACTTTGGTCAACACGGTGATTCGCAAATACGCATCTAAGTACATCCAAGACAAGTACTTACCGGCGCTTTCCGAGAAGACGTTGGGTTCCTTCTGTCTGTCTGAACCAGCTTCAGGGTCGGATGCATTTGCCATGAAAACGTCATGCAAGAAATCGGCCGATGGAAAATCTTGGACGATCAACGGAAGCAAGATGTGGATTACCAACTCTGCCGAAGCTGAGTTCTTCATCGTCTTTGCCCAATCTGATCGCTCCCAAGGATACAAAGGCATTAACGCTTTTGCCGTCGAAAAATCCATGGGCGTCGAAATCGCTAAAAAGGAAAAGAAACTTGGCATCAAAGCTTCTTCAACCTGCACGCTCAACTTTGACGACATCATCGTCCCCGCCGAAAACCTCATCGGTGAGGAAGGAAAAGGTTACAAGATCGCTATTGAAATCCTCAATGAAGGACGAGTAGGAATTGCAGCCCAAATGATCGGTCTTGCCCAAGGAGCGGTGGATAAAGCGATCCGTTATGCAGCTGATAGGAAGCAGTTTGGAAAGAAAATCACCCAGTTCCAGGGAATGCAGTTCCAAATCTCTCAGATCATGATGGAAATCCAAGCGGCAAAAGCTCTCACCTATAATGCGGCTAGGTTGAAGGAAGAAGGAAGAGCTTTTACAAAGGAAGCTGCTATGGCCAAACTTTATGCCTCTCAGGTCGCTCAGAGAGCTAGCGGTAGCGCAATCGAATGGTGCGGCGGTGTAGGCTTCACCAGAGAAACGGGCATCGAGAAATACTGGAGAGATAGTAAGATCGGTGCAATCTACGAAGGTACGAGCAACATTATGCTAGAGACCATCTTTAAGTTGGTTGAACGTGAGATGGATCTCAAGTGACGGGCACACCTTTGCAAACCATGTTATTCTTTGTAGTTTCATGTTGAAACGAAATGATTCCTTAGATACTCAATCGAGCTTTGGAGGTGTGTGAATTGACATGTGGATAGCAGTTGCATCGAGATAGCAGCTGGATAACTTCAACAGTGGCAATCAGTTTACAGCTCTATCCATTCAAAGGCAAGTTCAAACACATCTTCCTCCATCAACAGCAATATCAATCCCTGTCAAAAAACAACTTTCTTCATCAGCCAAAAACAAACAGGCATTCCCAATATCCCTACCTTCACTCAACCTTCCCATGGGAATCGAAGCACTGAACTGAGCCAGTTGCTGGCAAGTCATTGCATCTCCTGCTTCTTTTGACCCTGCGAACTTGGACAGCCTGCCAGCATGCAACAATGTTGCCCGTCCGAGGGATAGCGGTAGCGTTGCGCGAGTGGATCCACCAAGATTGAGCCGAGTCGATCAAGTAAGCGACAGAGCGTTGCAAACGTGCGAGCGATGCAAAGAAACGGAAGAATGGAGAGGCAGGAAAAAAGAAAAAAGAGAAAGCGGACGAGGTGAGTGGGAAGATGGGCGGGAAATGGATGTAAAGAAGGTCTACCCGGTGTCAATAAGCATTGGTACTTACAGAGGAGTATTTCCAGCAACTGGAGAAACAGTATTGAATCGAACTTTATGAGGAGCGTATTCCACAGCTAGCGCCTTAGTTGCTGTTGATACAGCGCCTTTCGAAGCGTTGTCTATTATGAAACGGTTGAAAGACACAAGGAAATGCAAAACATAAAGAGCCAAGTAGAAAAACATCAGTAACTCACCCTTTCACACACAAAGTGAAGCGAGATGATGAGAACAACTTACACCAAACCAAGCCTGGTCTAGGCCTAATAGCCGCAGTACTGGAAACATTTATAAACACCCTATCCTCCCCTTGTTCTTTCTCCACCAGCATTGCTGGAAGTAGAACATCGACACTTAGAAAGATACTCTTGACATTGACAGTGAAACAGCGATCGAATTCCTCTTCCTGCACTGTGAGTGTCGGTTTGTTAGAATACGTCCAACCTGCGTTATTCACCACTACTGACGGAACGCAGCCGAAGATCTTTCGAGATTTTTCCAACGCTTCCAACCAACCTTGACGACTGGTAACATCAGCTTTGAGAGCATAAGCACATTCCTTCGGGCCCGACAAGACGGTAGCTGTAGTGGCGGTAGTGGCGGTAGTGGCGGTAGTGGCGGTAGTTGCGGATGGTTGTTCGATCGAATAAGGATCATAAAACCCGACACTATCCTCCTCCACCAAAAGATCCAAGACCAAACACCTTGCCCCATTCGCAACAAAAAGAGAAACTATACTCGCACCAAACCCCCTCATCCCCCCTGTCACTAAACAAATCCTACCCTTCAACCTTGCCTTCTCAATCGCCACCATCATGTAAGAGTTCTCGAAGACTTGAAGGGATAGTAGAATGATGGCGTAAACCGTGTTGCAAAAAGCACGTAATAAAGAGTCAAGAGCGACGATGCGCGATGCGCGATGCTTATATGAATGTACAATTTCTGGCGAGCGATTGATGAACCGTGCGCAAGGCGGGAGAAGGACAAGTCAGATAACGCGGCCTTTTTGGTTTGTTTTTGAGAGTAAGTGTGCGGGGAGCAGTTGGCAAGTATTTTCGGCAATGTGGTTAAAATGCGGGGAAAGCAGTAGAATTCGCCGTTTAATTCGCCTCGGCCGAGTAAGAAAGCCATCGAGAACTGTCGATGTTAGATCGTACGCTGTGTTGCCAGATGATATTTCCGACGCACTTGTTTCGGAGATGTGCCATGCTGACAGCCACCAGCTCAGCATCGTCTTGTTGATCCGCAAACATCAAAGACCCACACACTTGAGCAAGCAGGATACTGTAGGATGGCAATACAAACATAACAGTTCAATCGTCCACATAGAACACCATACTCTTGACCGCAGAGCATGTTTTTTAGGCAACAATATCTAGATCAGCCTGACCAGTACTACTCCTCCTCCCCCTTCTCACCCGTCCCCTAGCGTCTGTTGCGGATAGACCTTTGCTTAGCGCTACCGGAGCTTTCTTCGCTGGAAGCCCACCGGCAATCGCACCGGCCTTTACACTGCTTCCCTTCCTTTGAGCAGTGGCAGCGGCGGCTCTAGCAGCACTAGCCGCGGTGGGGGCGGTCAATCTACTTGCCGGCCTACTACCGTTGCCGTTGCTAGCGGCGGCGGTTGTGCTTGATCCAGAAACAGATCTACTGGCGCAAGTAGCAGGCGCAGTGGAAATTGCCTGCTGAGTGCGTAGCGAAGAAACACTTTTTTGTGCCCTTACCACCCTCACACCTGTGGAAGCCTGGCGAGCGGCGGTGCTGGTGTTGGTGCTGGGCGCTTTGCCAACAGTAGCAGCCCTAGTAGTGCAAGTTGAAGCCGTCAGTGTAGGTTTGCACCGGATCGTGCGCAACACTTTCGGTCCACTAGCTGCGGTGGTGGTGGTGGTGGTGGTTAGGGGAGCTCGATGAACTACTTGCACCTGCCCAGAAGCAGCAACAGGAGTAGCAGTAGGAACGTGGTTCTCATCCACCTCCACCCTCGCCACCACCGCTCTGGGTTTGGGTGACGGACGAGGCCTCCTGGTCGAAACCTGCTGCTGTTGAGGAATAACGTCAATAACACCCAACACGTCTGCATCACTCTCCACCACCGCACCTCCTTTCACTGGCGAAACTTGCCCCCTCACCACCCCATTCGCACCTCTAACCGGCGTACTGCTTGCGCTGGCACTAGATTCTCTCAACCCAAACCTCTCCCTTACATCGGGACTCGCTCTAAACACTTCTTGTCTCGGACTGGCCACTGGACTAACTTGTCTACTCGACCCTCTCGGCGGAGTCGCAATAGTAGCAACGTGCGTGTTGGTGGTGGTGGCGGTGGTGGAGATAGAATTCGATCGAGTCCTTTCGAAACTTTTCACCCTAGCAATGCGGGATGGGCTGAGATTGATCACTGCAGCTTTCGGTGAAGCTCGGGGGGGGGCGGTTGGGGAAATGTTGACCTTGGATTCTACCAGTACGCCAGCCCCGAGGGCGGCGGGAGAGGCAGTGTGGTTTGGTGTAGAGGGAGTGAGTTTCTCCTCATTATCGGAAAAGCTACGATTAGCTGCACCATCATGGGTGCCCGTAGCTGGAGGAGTCGTCGTATCTTGGTGCACCTGCGAAAGAGCGGTGGAAGAGGAAGAAAGCATCAGATGACTCTGAAAAGATCTCGTTGCACTCGGATACCTTCTACTTGTCAACTCCAACCTTGCTACCGTTGCAGGAGCTTGAATTGCCGGCCTCTTCCTACTCGGACTGGGACTCTTTCTCGGTTGTCCAACACAGGGTGCCGGTTTCACGCCAGCTGGCCCTACCGTAGCTGGAAGATGGATAGCAATGCAACTCGCACTCCCTCTTTGCGCTCTGGGAGTCATAGCATCCTGTATCGCTAACGGATCGGATTTCCTCTTCTGTCTCGGCCTCTCCTCCCCTCCTTTCTCGGTTTCCGCCTCTTTCTCCCCGTTTTCCTCCTCTGCACTCTCCTCGGCCTCCATGGCTCGCCTCTTAACCCCCTTGCTCCCCCCCTCGCCGACCGCTCTGTTGGCCTCCATCTTCAACCTCTCCACCTCGTCCACCAACCTCGTCCTCTCGGACTCGACGACGCTCCTCGCCTCGCTCATGGCGGCATCCCTCACCCCCCACCTGACCCATTCGAGAGAATTCTGATATATAAAATGCTGCTGTGGACCGACGACACACCCGGGGCGCATAAACCTCATAAAGGCAATCACCTCACCGGCGCTAAAGCCGTGCTTGCAAACCAAATAGGCGCCTATCAAAACCCCGGTTCTGCCCAAGCCGGCTTTACAATGGACGGCGACGACGCCACCCTGGCTCACGACCCTATGGGCCTTTGCAATAAACTCTTGCAATATCTCCTGTGTGGGATTTGAACCGTCGTCAAAATACATATCGGCATGATCTATACCAGCGTTGAGAAAGGCATCTCGATCGTAAAGGGGATTGTTGAGTCGAACTACGAGTTTTACACCACTCTGCTTGAAGTATCGAATTGTTTTACCGAACAGCTTGTTCTCCTCCGGGGGACGAAAAGAATAGGAAGGCGGAAGGCGACCTTGACCCAACCTGAGTGCTTCGACATAGGCGCGATCGTTGGGGGAAGCGAAAGCGATAAAGTTGGGAGTGATCCAATTCCAATCGCCATTTGCCACCTGTTCGTACTTCTCATACTCGTCCAAATTGAAACTTGACAAATCCAACAAACCCTCGCTCAAAGCTCTGTTTACACCATAGAGAACATCTTGGATGGCCAAACTATAATCAGCTCTACCATAGCCAGCATCTCTGAACGGCTTGAACTCTAGCTCTGCGATCGGATAAAAAGCATCGGCAGGAGTACACTTGCCAATGACCATGGCATACATAGTCACCAACAATGCCGCATTAGCTTTCCTTGCCGGATCATCAGAGGTGTAGAGTACCATCGTAGCCGCATCCATATCGGGATCGTTGAGCATATGATGAACGTGCAAACAAAACCTATAGAACATTGCAACATTCAACGGTCCCCAATCGAACCAAAACGAGAGATAAACGAGATCATGGTCGATGTTGAACCAGTGCAAACGCTTCGGGTTTGTTTCGCATGGATCGACGTATTTTTTAACCTCGCTGTCGGTGAAGTTCTTCCAGGCGGCGGACTGTCCGTTGTTGATGTTTAGCGAATCTTCGGTGGGTAGGGAGCCAGAAAAGTAGGTGAACCAGAGACGTTTGTGGATTCGAATCAGAGGATGGGCGGGCCAAAGTTTGGTTTTGTGGGGGGAACAGGTGCGGGAACAGATGCGGGAACGATGATGCGGATGAGAGCCGGTAGATTGGAGATCTTGGAGAATGGCAGATTCGATGCGTTCATCCGAACGATCGACGGCGGACGAGGTGTCGGATTCGAGAAAATCCGAATCGTCAGGTGCAATGATGTGAGTTTGTGGCTCTTCGAGGAGGAATGCTGATGTTGAGGCCATGTTGGCGAAGGCTAAGGTGCGGCTGTGGTAAGTTTGATAGATAGATTATCGCTTGCAGAGATATGTGCGAGCGACCAAGGCGGTGTACACAAGAAAGATGCGGAAAGACCAAGTGGAATCCCAATCCTATGCTTGCTGTAATCTGCTCAGCTGGAAGCTGTTTAAGCTCTCGATGATGAGTAAGGATGCTATGCTAAAAGCGCAAGTAGTAGGAGAAGGAATGTGATATGCGATGCCAACAGTAGATCGGATAGAGAGACGGCGATATGAATGGTAGTGCAAGAAAGCAACGAGGACGAGGAGCGGGTATGATTTGGACACCTTTACCATTGAACTCGGAAGTCGGATCTTTAATTTTTTCTTTCTTTCGCTGTCAAAACAACAACACGCTTTGCTAAAAAGAAGGCTTTCGTTTCTCTTTGGCTCTGCTGCCTTATCTTTTCCCACCAATTTAGCGCGGAAATAAGAATGATTTCTGCCTTTGGCTGCCTTTGGCTGCCTTTGGCTGGCTTTGGCTGGCTTTGGCTTGCTCAATCAGCACAGCACGGGAGAAAAACACGCCTCTTGCACTTATGCACGTGACCTCTTCTCTCCACAAAACCCAACACCACAGCCGAGACTTGGCATTGCAATGTTGCATACAACGCTCTAACAGTCTTCAGCAGTGGGGAAAATGTCGGCAACTGTGCAACGTTTTATCCATTTGCCCAAGCTGGTGAAAGCTTCACACACCGCTTATTCACGAGCTGACTCAGCAATCCTAACGTCCGGTCAGGATAGAGGAGACAAGTGGATATTGTAGCAGCAAAGTATAGCACAACAATCCTAGCTTTTCATCAACTTTTATCCAAACACATACCCCCGCCGCTTCACTGCTTCACTTTGACAACCACAAACGGCACCTCGACGTCCTCTCCCTCCAGATCATCCGCCATGATCTCGACAATCACCCACTGAGCATGTTTGGGAATGCGTTTCTTGCTTACCGTTTCAATCAACTTGCTCATCTTCATCTTCAACCTCTCCTCTCTCTTCTTCCCCGGCAAGAAGGCCGAGAACAACATCGAAACTCCACTGCTCAACATGCTAACCTCCAACCCATGCTTTTCTTTGAAAAGGTCTAGCAACTCTTGCAACGTAATATCCTCTTCCACCTTGAAGCGGGACCAGAGTGTCCATTCGGTATCGTTGTATTTCAGCTTCTGTGCCGCAATCGGATCCGAGAATGCAATGAACGGCAAAGCGAGGTTGACGAATGCGTTCGAGTAGGCTTCGATCTCCTTCTTCTCGTCGATAAGTTTGTAGAGTTCCAGATTGACCAGACCGGTAGCGAGAGCAGTGGTGGTGGCGATAGCCGGGATGATCTTTCCTGCGATACCTTTCGTTTGGTGCTTATCGGCGGGCGAGATGCCGTAGTTGGTAGCACGAAGGTTAGAGGCAGCAGTGATAAAGTCCATGTGATGGTTCCTCTCCTCGTCCTTCTCCATTTCGATCGGCTCCAGTCGGAAACCAGCCAGCGAAGATGCTTCAGGTAAACTGCTAGTGACATCGGTCAAGTCTCCACCAGCATCATTGTTGCTGTTGTTGTTGGGAGCAGCCTCGTTCTCGATAACCTGGATCTTAACATTGTCCTTGGGCTTGAACTCAGGCACCTTGATCTCAGCCAAGACCTTCTTGAAGTAAGCAGCATCAGCCTCGCCCTTCAACCCGTAGTTCTCGGCATGTAACAAAGCACCACTCATCACATACTCGAGGTGCATCGGATCCTCAGCATCAAACGTCAACGGCTTAGGAGCACGCTTCGGTCCCGACCAGAAAGGTTGACCGCTCGAAGTAAGCGCATCGGCAGGCAACGAGTGGAGCAACTGACGAATGTTGTTACTGTAGTTCTCCTCGAATCGCATACGAGCCCAATAGATGCACTGCTCGAACGACTTGGGTCGCTCATCCACAAGGTACTGCTTGATCTGATCAAGCTGCTCCTTGGCACCCGAACCATTCTTGAGCGTCGTCTCAATGTAGTCCGGCTGCGTGAGGTACTGGTTGACGTTCTCCGCCGGCTTGAGGAAGAACTCATCAAACTGCTCACGAGCCCACTGAATCGTGTGTTCAATGGCGTTGGGGAAGTTCTTGAGCGTGCAAACGGGGATCGACTTCTCAGGAGGATCCTGCGAGGACGAGTAGGACTCGGTCAAGTGAGGCACAACCACCTGCGTGTTTGCCTTGGTACCCAGCGTACCCGACTCCAGCAACGGCTTCTCGTAGTAGACGCAGCGACGATCCATGTACTGACGTGCCTGAACATTGTCCAGCGCGTTGGTGACACCAGTCAGGCTGGCGAAGAACTCGTCACCGTAAACATCCTCGGTCTCGGGACCGACACGGTTCTGATGACTGTGGATCTTGCCCTTCAGATCAGCGTTCATCTCAGCAACAGCCGCAGCCGCCGTATCAGCCTTGAAGTGACCCACATCCTTGGATCGGAAGAGGAATTGACGGTTGAGATTCGACTTTTCGATCGTGTCCATGTCGGTAACGTGGATGGCACCTTCAGGTCCACTGCCGAGACCCATCATACTCCAGTTCTTGAGCATCTCGCATCCGATCGCACCGGACCCTACGAGGAATTGACGGGCGTTGGCGATCTTCTGCTGGAAAGTGCGACCGAGAACAGCGATCTGGCCATCGTACCTCGAGTTGCTAGCCTGGAACTCGCTCTCAGGCAAGCCAGGGACAGAGTCAGGAAGCGACTCGAGCGAGTCAACGTACAAGTGCTGCACGAGAGGATGGAACTTGCCACTGCAGGCCTTGAGCACTTCTTGAGCGACAAAGCCACCGACATAGGCTACCATGGGCGAAAGATCACCAGTTGCCTGGAAAGCAAGCTCGCGCACCACCTTTTCGGGCAAATCGGCAGCATCCTGACCGTTAGCTTGGACGATCTGCTTGGTAAGCTCAAGGAACTGATCGGCATCCTCTGCATTCCTCGGTCGAGGCAAACGACCATTCTTCTGCTGGAACTCGGAGAGCGCCTGAAAGCCGGCGTGGAGAGCAGCTGGGCGATCGAACTTGGCAAAGTCGGCAATGAGAAACTCGGGCTGCTTGCTGCTCTCTCGCAACGACTTGAACGCAATCTCCTTAGGCATCTTGACCTGCTTGAAGATACCACCACGCTTGTACTCGCCAAGGCCCTTGGTGCTGCCGATGGTGAAAGTGTAGGGACCCTTGACAGTGATCTTGCGAGGTTGGCTGTTGTTGAGCGCCTCCATACCCTCAACTTCGGCGAAAGTGACGTAGTCGCCGTCCTGAAGACCATGGCGGGTCTCGTCGAGGGTGGTGACAAGACCCTCTTCGTCTTCGCTGGCAATCAAAGTGACCATACCCGATAGCGGCTGTTCGCCGGTAGGATCGTTGCAGAGGAACCTGGGACCAAAGTCGTTGAAAACGGAACCGAAAAAGCCGCGTACCTCTGCTGCGATAAAGTGAGTGGAAGTGCCGTGAGTGATGTCATTAACGCGGAGCTGCTCAGCGTAGAGAGCATCGGACATGACGACAGTCTGGAAGCGAGAGAGAACATCCTGGGTCAACTCGGTCTCCTGCAGCACTCGGATGGGGACATAAGTATTGAGTTCGGCAAGACGAGGCTGTGTAGCATGGTCCCTACGCTTGCCTGCCGATGCATCTTCGGGACGAAGGAAGAACTGTGTGCTGAGATCCGAGATCGAGACGGGAGTAGGATCAAAGATGGTGATGGACTTGACACCGGCCAATGCGACATTCTTTGCGATTTCTGCACCAAGACCACCAAGACCAAGGACGAGAACATTGCTAGCAGCCATGCGCTTCATGGCATCGTGACCCAGCACATAGAGCTGACGGCTGTAAAGACCCTCGTCGATGCCCTGTTCGGGCAGGTCGACCTTGATATCTTCTGGCGCCATTTTTGGTTTTTTGGCGGGAGCTGTAGTTCCGGCTGATTCCGGTGGGTTGCGCTTCTGACGCTCGGCAGTGGGTGTTTCCGACGAAATGGTTGACGTTGCGTGAATGCGGGAAGGATGAGAGGGGTGTGACTGAACAAGGATGCTGCTCGTGTTCGGCCTTGCGTGTACTAATCTGAACAGAGATGAGACGCAAGCGAGTGATGAATGATGAGGATGATGATGGTCGAACCAGAAGGAGGCTCAGTTTCCTGTTGCAAAATGCTGCTGAGTCGAGTTGAATCGAAAAAGGCCCGTGCGCAAGGAGAAGCAGACAGACACGCGCTGAGACGCCTGGGTATTCTCTCGTGCGAATACTAGCCGCACGAGAATACTCGATCGATATCTTCTCGCGCGAATACACGTCGTGCAGGAAAGTTCGACACTTGGCATCTTGCAAATCTTTGCTTGTATATTATCTAGATCTCCTCCTTCCTTGCTGAATCCATCTAGTTACACCATTCCACCGCACATACAGCTTGCGCACCTAATAACGTAACACTCGCACTGCCGCTGTTCTGTTGCTGCGTGCTGTTGCTGCGTGACTGATGCAAACGTGCGAGAGATTCCAGAGAGAATTCAGAGAGAATTAATCTGCCGATCACGAAAAACTCGAGGCAGCACAGCGCAGTATTGCTATCACCAGGTCCATGAGTAATCGCACAAAAACGCAATTTCTGGCTGCCATTTTCGGTGCTCTATTTCCATCCTCAATATTTTATTTCTTTTTTCTTTTTTCTTTTTTCTCGAATTAAGGTCGGCGATATCGAACTCAGCCCTGAAGGTCGACATCACATCGCAATGGTGTGCAAGAAAGAGGTAAAGACTTGCTGATAGCACAGAAGGAATCGTGATGACTAGGATCGATTGCTATCCTATCCTCTACAGTTGTTTGAATGCAATGCGCCCCTACTGGTATCATCATTCGACACCACAGAGGCCGCTTTGCTATGGGGTCTTGATTGAGCCGAAAAGTGTTCGCACATGTTGACCAGATGTGCTGTCGGTCCACCTGCATATTCACCCTCAAAGCTCACCAAATTCGAGCTGTTTGATCCAGAAGCAGGCAGAGCAGTAGGGGGAGCCGAGTTGGTACTTGTCGCCCTACCACCGTCGATCCTCTTTGCTGATCGATCTCGGAACTTGGCACTCGAGTCAGGCGGGAGATCTGCTGAGCGACGGGATTCGACTTGAAGAGTATTGGTCGCTGAAGCAAAGTGCTGCACGAGATTATCTGTCGAGATAGCCCTCGAGGAAGCAATCGAGTGGGATCCTACCAACGATCGAGCCCGAGATCGAGTACCGGTGACTGTCCCGCCTGGACGAGAATCGAAGCGGAACCTGCTGGGCGAAGGTGCACGCGATCGAGAGATCGTCTGCAACTCTCGTCCACCTCTTCCACCATGCAATCCGTGGTGGTGTGGGAGATGAGCATGAGTGAACATCGCCTCGGCCTCATGCTGGCTGATCTGATGTCCTCCCAAAGAAGAATGCGCCTCTAACTCAGTCCAAGAGGATCCTCCTGGAATAGCCTTTCGCAATAGCGCAGCCGAGATCTTGAACCCTTTGGCAATGGCCCAAGACACCAAGAACCCAAGCAATCTCCTCTCGATCGAATAGATCAAACTAGCAAACGGAATTACACCTTCAATCGTCTCCCTCAACCCCCACGTATCTTCATGTCTCACAATCAACCCAGCATCGTTGAACTCTAACCTACTCATCACTCGCAGCTGAACACTGCACAACGACTTCAACACCGCCCTAGGATGGAACAAAGACCAGATCAAGGTACGGAATGTCTGTCGACCCAACCCCTCGCTCGTCCAGTGTGGAGTGAGCGCATCGGCAGGGATGGATGGACGCGATCCAAGTTGCTGCTGAACCGTCTCTGCGTCGATGTAGTGATGCGCGTTGTTACCGTGGCTGAGGTTGTGCAAGGTGGAGCTCGAGGGTGGATCAGAGTCTTCTCCGTTGACGCTGGGTGGAGTGTTGGCGGTTCCGGAGAGCGGACGGATGCCGTTTCCGTTGAGGCCGCCTGCAGAAGGTGCGTGTCCTGGTGTGTGGGGCCGAGAGCCGCCCCAGATGCTAGCGATGCTGAACGGCGTTGTGGGGCTGTGAGGATGACTCTGCGCAATACGGGAATAGGCGCTGTTGGCATAGTCGATAAATGGATGTGGGGTCATGGGAAATGCAGAGGCAGAGGCAGAGGCAGAGGCAGAGTAAGGATAGGAAGCTCGTGGCGTGCGGTTCACATCACTTGCATCCGGGTCTGGCGTGGGTTTTGAGTTGGACGAGCCAAAGAGGCTAGGGAAGAAGGTGACTGTGATGGTATGGTCAATGATTCCTGCTCGTGTGCCGTCGAATTCAAAGTCAGAGCAAATGACGTCTCGCAGCTCTGACTGAACATCCATACCAGGCAGAGCAAACGCCATGATGAACTGGTTGGCAATCTGGTCCCTTCCATGTGCGGAGAGCAGGGGAGATTCGAACACAGCTCCGCTCTCGTAGTATCGCGATAGCATTTCCTTCACTTCCTCTGGCTTGCGCTTGCACGAGTAAAAGGTGTTGTGCAGACCCAGAATGATATTTGTAAGCGTGCTGGGACTGGGTGGACGAGCACTGTAGCCACCTCCCATACCCAGTCCATGCATGCCTGGATGACCGGAAAGACTGAGATGGCTGACACTGCTGGGACCTGCATGATGCGAGCCATGAGCATCGAAAGCAGATTGCAAGGAAGCGCCGTCGACGTTGGGTGGCGCGACGGAGGAAGAATTGAGGTTGAGGTTCATCGGATGTGCGGAAAAGGTGCTGCCTGAACTGCTCTGTGCTCGACCATGACCACGCATGGACAAGCTGGAAGGTGTCTTGGGAACTGCAGATGTTGCAGGGAAATAGCCCTCAGCGTGTGAGCCTGGTTGACGTGGATGATGGTGCCAAGCGGCAGGATGAGCGTTGGGAGGCTTGTCATTGGCCTGGAACGAGTTTTGGCGACGGTGAAGTGATGACGCCGCTGCTGGTGCTGCGGGTGTTGCTGATACTGAGTGTGTGTCTTCTTTGGCGGTAGCATTACGTGGAAGGTCGATCTTGAGGTCAGCAGCGAGCTCGCCGCCTGCTTGACCAGGGAAGGATACTGAAGTCGACATTGCGACTGGTTATGCTTTACGATAGCGAAGCGGTGATGGTCAAGTGGATGTAGATGGCCGTCGATTGAGGAGGTCTACAGGAGCGTCTGGTTCTGTTGATGGAACAATCGTTCAGATGCCACTCGTAGTCGGTGGAACGACGGAAAGGTGTAAGGCCATGACGGCAGCGATGCATTGTCATTGTCGTTCGGCTGCTCGATCTCGCTTTCACGATGAAGCCTCCTGTCGGCGCAGTTTACTTTTCCATGTCGATCGACGTTTGACCCACATCAAAGCTTTCGACATGTTTCAGAACAACACTCTGCGATGAGAACTCGCATGCTTCAGACAACGTCTCGTTAAAGATAGGAGATAAGGTCGATGGCGAGCAAAGTCTCCCGAAGCAAGGCGGACATGGTGAAGCTTGAGGGCGGAGTTAACCATCAGCGGGGCTTTCAGGTGACACACACACACACATATGCTGAAAGTAGCAATCCAATATGATGATGTAAGCTGACATCAGACGATACGGGAGGGATCGGGCGAAGCCGAGCTGATCCAAGATCGGGTACAACTTGGTCGCGCTCGTTGTCAGACTTGGTTAGGGACGTCATCTCTTCTTTTTCTCCGATCGCCGATTCATTTTGAAATTTGAGACTGATCTGAGATCAGATCGCCGATTCATTATAAATTTGAGGCTGATCTGAGATCAGCTTCTCGACTCCACTCAACGCCTGTCAAGCAGCGCAGCCGAAACTCCCCTTTGTTGCACCCTCACCTTTGTCTGTCCCTTCCTTTGTTCCCATCGATGGCAGAGTCAAGCCAGCACAACAGTTGCCTGTTGCCTGATGCAGTCTTGAGCCGCTCAACATGGCCACCGTGGTGTCTCAGATGTGCAGCGCAGATCATCCAGCTCAGCTTGGAAGGGTAAAATTTGTCCTGTTGTGACATGTCCTAACCGATGGTCGGCGAATTTCCTCATACTTCTCTGCAGAGAAGGGCAGCCTTTAACTTCTATCCTAGTCTCAGCCCGCTTCAACATCGCTACCCCACCACACCCTGAGCTCAGCACAGATCCCAGAGAGCAGTGAGGGCTCGAGGAGTGTTGCCAAGGTTAGGATCTTCTCTCCAACGCACGCGGATTTCTTCGTGTGCTCTCTTGAGCATGGTTGAGGCTTGGAACATGTCAGCGTACTGCCAGCTGATAGAGCCAAGTATCAGCTGGTCAAACAGCAAACCAAAGATGGCGTGCAAGGGCGGCAGCGCTTGCTTTCCCGCTGTGTCGGCACGCCGACTTACTCTGCAGTAAGTTAGCTTCCCTTTCTCGCATCAAGCTGAGCTTACCCTTCCTTAGTCTTAGTTCCCGTAACTTTCTTCTCTTCATCCATCACCATACTCGTTCATATCGTCGTTTGGTCGTGCCCCACCTTCTTTTCCACCTCTGTTCTGTTTCTACATACCGTTGGTCGGTCCCACCCTCTTTTCGCCCCTACACGAGTAAAAGAGAAAGCTAGCTAGTCTAGTCTGCATTCATCCTTTCGTCGATCGAAAGGGAAGCTCGTTTTCTACGCTCTTTCTTACATCCACTTTCTTTTTCGCACATCTTGGTGCAGGTCACCATAATCAGCAGGAACACATTTTTTCAATCTTTCTCAACGGAATCACATACAGCAAGGATGATGTTGTTACCACTTGGAATGCTCGCTTTGGTGAGCTTGCTTGCACAGTCCGCCACAGCTATGCTAGGGGAATTGCCGGAGGGATATGTTCCAGGACACATTGCTCGCACCACCGCTGGTGCGAGATACATTGCAGAGAAAAGTGTAAGCTATGTACCGGATCGACACACTTCGCACGGCTTGGGGCGGAGGAGGTCGATATGGCAAGTGTTATTCGGCGAAAACAAAGATGGGATGAGGCGGAGGGCAGTCCCTTCATCCCGGATTCTTTCTCGTCGACCGAGTACCCGCATCTCCCCCCGCAAACGCTCATGTAAAGCTCGCTCTTCGAACTCCACCACCTCATCCTCCGCCAGTTCATCATCTTCTTCTCCCTCAACTCCAACGGGGGCTCCGGAGGATAGCAAAACGGGCACAAATAAAATCATGGCTGGCTATTGGGCCGACTGGACCTCATCCACCTTCCCCGTCACTTCTATAGACTACACCAAGTTCGACAATCTCAACTACGCTTTTGCTATCCCCACCTCCAACCTCGACCTCTCCATCCCCACCGACCCCTCCGGCAACCTTCTTCGCAGGTTCGTCAAAGCTTGTAAAGCGGGAAACACCAAAGCGTTGCTCTCCATTGGTGGGTGGGGTGGATCAACGTACTTCTCCCTTGCTGTACGCACCGCAAGTGCTCGAGCTACTTTGATTGGGAACATCATAAAGTACTACAACACTTACTCACTCGACGGTATCGATCTCGATTGGGAATATCCAGGTCAAGTTGGAGCGGGAAATCACTTAGATCCGAGCGACACAGCAAACTTTCAAACTTTCCTCACTCAACTTCGTGCAGCATTACCCCAAGGAGCACTCATTACAGGAGCAGTAAGCCATACTCCGTGGAGAGCAAGTAGCGGTCATCCAGTAGCCAGTGTCGCCCGTGCAGCTGCAGCTATGGATTATATCATGATCATGAACTACGATGTTTGGGGATCCTCCGCTAATCCTGGCCCCAACGCACCACTGGCGAATCTTTGTGGCAACTCAACCCAACCTCAAGCAAGTGCTGCGGCAGGAGTAAAAGCTTGGTCTGCTGCTGGTATGCCCCGTAATAAAATCCTCCTTGGCATTCCTGCTTATGGATACATCAACACTTCCAGCAAGAAGACACTAAAACAGAAACGCGCGGTACAATTGACTTCAATGGACGCCTCCACCTCGTCCGGCCAAATCAGTTTCTCCACCCTAGTTAATCAAGGAGCTTTAAAGCTAGGAGCAGAGGCATTGTACCATGGCAGTGGAGGCTGGGTCAAATACTGGGACGATTGCTCGGACACGCCCTTCTTGAGCGATGGGAACAAGGTAGTAACATACGATGATACAAGTAGTATCTATGATAAGGGAGCTTTTGTAGGTAAAGCCCGGATTGGTGGGGTGAGTATGTGGAGTTTAGATGGCGATACGAAGGATTGGGCCTTGACGAATAGTGTTATTGCTGGTATGAGCTCGAGCTGAGTCTACTGTTGCTTGTTGATGCTGTTTGCTTTCCGTAAGAATGTTGACATTTTCTTACTGTACCAGGCTTCGATGTGGGTTGCGTGGAAATGAGATCGTGGGTGAGAAGCGGATGGGTTCAGGGTTCCGTACTCTCTTTGTCGGTAGCTTTCGCACTTTCATACCTTCATGTCTCGGTGTCTAATTGCGCCAACTCAAGATTGCAACTGCACCATATCAACTTCGCATTTCATAACTTCATTTGCAGTGCCGAGTCAATTTTTTGCCTGTGCTTTGTGACGACCATCATCATGCCTTCTGCCAAGTCCAAGAGGCTATCTCTGGAGACTACTGTAGCCCCGAAAATGGCCAAAGGCTGGATAAGAAAAGCCAATAGGAACCTGCTTCGGTCCATCAAAGGTGAAGCGCTAGGCCAGGAGCAGCACTACAACATGAGTGAAGGTGACCAAGACCTCTCAATGGAGCTCCCCAATGACCTTGCCAACCTGCAGGCGCTGGCTTGAACTTTGTTTTGATCGCAAGAAACGTAAAAATGAAACGGTACAATGACGAGATTGATCTGCTCCGAAAGTGCTGTGGTGCAAAGTGCGGAAGCTATCGACAAGGAGAGTAGTGTTCAGTTCGAGCATTGTAGAGGCTGGCGAGATTCTCATAAATCATCCGCGCTCCTGCCCCTGCTCCCCTTTCCCCCCCCTTGGTCCGCCTCATCGCACATCCAAACATTGTCCGAACGACAATGCTGAACGTCGCAATTCTTCCCGCAGACCCAACGCGGACATGTCTCTCAATCCGTAACCTAACGTCGACCCTTCTCTCCCCCTCTTCCTCTCCCTCTTCCTCCCCCCTATCCCCTCACCTCACCATCCACGCTTCCCTCACTCCCTCAGTCACGGCTTTAATCTGGCTCCCAAACATAAAGCAAGCCAACACCTCTCTCGAACTCTCGACACTCCTCTCCTCCCCCGCTGGGGGATCGATCAAGTTCATCCAAATGCCAATGACAGGAATTGACGATTTCATAGCGCTAATCCGATCTACCAGCCAAAAAATCACCTGGAGTTGTGCCAAAGGTTGCTGTGCAACACTGGTTGCCGAACACGCACTTGCACTTGCACTTAGCCTACTACGTGGCCTAAGCAAAACTGGATGCATGACATCTTGTGAAGTTGCAAGTCTCTCTGGTAAAAGTGTCGTAGTTATCGGAAATGGAGGTGTTGGTAAACAAATCAACCGATTCTTGCTGCCCTTTGCATGTCAAGTGACCATGACTGATTCTATTACTACCAAAGCTCAACTTTTGCAACTATTGCAAAAAGTGAGCCTGGTATTCATTGCATGTCCCTTAACCGAGGCAACAAAGGGAATGTTTGCCCATGAAGCTTTGAGTGCGATGCGAAGTGATGCAGTTTTGATTAATGTTGCCAGAGGAGAAATCGTTAATACGGGCGCATTAATCAATGCAGTGAAACATGGAAATCTCAACGCTGCAGGTTTAGACGTGATTACTTTCACACACGGCAAACAGGGCGAAAAGGAGAAAGAAGAGCTGGATAAGTTGGTGAAGCAAGGAAAGCTTTTGATCACTCCACATGCAGCTATACCGCATCATATGATCGAGGCCTTGTTGGGTGAAAGGATCAGGCATAATTTAGAGGTGCTAGCGACGGGTAAAGGCGAGTTGATGGGTGTTGTTGATCCGAACAAAGGCTATTAAATGCCTGTTCTCTTTAAACAGCAAACATGGTATTGCAAATCTACCAAACGACGACATTCCAAACTACTTTGTAGATCCGCTCTTTGTTTCCTCTTCAACCCCATCCTTGAATCTTGCCGTATTCAGCCGTCTGGCAATCATTCCAACCGTCTTGATCCTTGGTCCGCGCCATGGTGAAAACGCACTCTTCCTTCCTCTTGCACCATTCCGCGCTTCTTCGTTCTGTAAGAGCTCCGGTACACCTTCTGCTCCAGCAGAGTGGAGTGCACAATGAGTCAAAATCCACCTGAACCCAACAGGAATGCTTAAAGTCAACGCTTCCATATCGAGCAAGATCCGAACAAGGAAAGGGTCCGGAGAATGGGCGGTCGATCGACCGCGCGAATTCCAATGTATGCGCGAAATGATGAGATGGAGGAGTTGGCTAGTGGAGAGTGTGGTTGTGTCGAGGTCGTGCTTCTGTTCGGCGTCAGCTGGTGTGGTAGCGGACCAAGCTGGAGTGAGCGATGCGAGGTTGTCTTGGCTCGACGCGACGGTGGCTGCTTGGTCTTGCGAAGAAGAAGCCTGCACGCCGACAGCGGCTTTTTTAGCAGCATCCTTGTAGCCGCGACGCAACTGCGACAAGATCTCGGAACGAGAAACATGAGATTTGCTGCGCTGGATCATACCAAATCGACGACCAAGGACGCCCAACAGAGCATCGAAGAATCTCGAGTCCAGCTTCATGCCTTCATGGATGTCGCTGATCTCCTCCTCCTCTCGCTGCTTACTGCGCACTGAGGGCGCTGACTCTGAGTCTTTGCTTGGATCCGACTGCAACCAGGCTTCCAACCGCTTCCTCCTCCAACGATTAAGCTTCTGCAACAGACCCCAATGATGGACCAAGAACGCATACTCTCGTTTGGCTAGCACTTGTGCAGCCCTCCATCTCAGACCCTCACCCAGATCGCCAACACTGTTGTGTGACCTGCCAGCATATCGTCGTGGGCGTAGTGAAGCGACAATGTTAAAACCTCGAGCGTACTCTCGAGAACGACCGATGGAGTTGGATGGTCTTCTTGCACCGACACGAGCAGGACGCATACGCTGGGTCCTGGCTGCGTGCCGCACGATGGGCATCCTAGCAGCTTCGTTGGCAAGCACCTGCATGAGCAACGTGGCAGCCTCCATGGGAACCTTCCAAGGCCTCCTTGCAACGTCGATGGAAGGAGACCGTAATGCACTCTGCAGACTTGTGCGTTTGATGAGACGCCAGATTCGCAGTGCTAGGCCGGTCTTGCCTGCTTTGACTGCGAGATTGAGGGTAGCTGTCAAGACGTGCGGGTCCAGAATGGCATGTCGGGATGCTTGGTTCGCTTTGGGTCTGAGCGGCCTATCTGCGGAGGACGAAGAGAGTTGCTGATCGTCAGAGAAATGTTGGCCAGGAGCCCGTCGGCGCGCATAGCTATGGGTGTTGAGGGCAGGGTAGATGCGCATGACAATCTCTTTGACACCAGCATGACCAGGCTCGTGGCGAAAGCGGCGCAAGAACAAACCTGAAGCGGTGAGGTACTGCAGCAGCGAAACCAAGCGGTACGAGTCGGCGTGGGCAATCGCGGTATCAATCTGATCGATCATAGGTCGGAAAGGACATGCTTCGACTTGGATCGCTGCTACACTTGCTGAAGCTGCGCTGGACTGGAACTGAGTTGATGCTGACGATGGCTTGGGCCCGGAATGAGTCTGCGACTGCTCTGAGCGTTTGGTGGTCAGCACAGCCCGCGCCAATGACTCATACCGCTGCGTCGTGGCTTGACGCAAGATAGTGTTGAAGGTAACGGCATCGGGCTCCAATGGTGGCTGCCGAGTTTGGGTCATGTGTTGAAAAACCTCTTTACAGATCGAGGGGGAGTTCAAAACGGAAAGTGCGTAGTGAATGAGCTGGTTGTACACGGCAACTCCAATGGCCGGACGAATGACGGGATCGCCGCCAATGAGCAGTTGGCCGGCTGATCGTGTCTTTCCATCGGGCAGCGACTGCATGTATTCGCGCAGATAGTATCGGATCACTTGAGCTGCACCAAGCAACCTTTGTCGTTCGGCGGCATGGAAAGACCGAGACTTGCTCTTAGTTGCATCTGCGGCGCTAGACTCGTTGAGCAGCATTTTCGTCTCGAAGCGGCAGCATGCTGAGAGGATCCAGGTGATCTCTGGTGCGCTTGGTGTTGGTGGAAGTGGCAGCCGTCCTCCACGTACGAGGCGGATGAGTTCGATTAGGGAGTCAGCATACTTGATGCGTTTGGCGCTGAGTGCCTGTCGCTCGTGGTCAGAAAGCTGAGACAAGAGATCGGGTTGAATGCGAGACAAAAGCTCTTCGATCTGTTGCAGGGCACGTGTGATTTCTCGCAAAGCCTGTGAGCTTGGCTTGCCCATCTCTACTACGAGCGCTGCCTGTCGTCGAATTGGAGATCTGGGTCGTCTGGCTTCTTTGTGAGCCATCCACCAGGCTCGCACTTCGGCAGCATAGGTCTCTACAGCTAGAGGGGTGTGAGCTGAAGCAATCATGGCTCGTACAAGTGCTGTTTGTGATAGTGTCGATCTAGGCATGTGGGCAAGGTGCATGGCGGAGAGGAGCGAAGTGGCGGCGTCGAGATGCTCGTGCGAGTCGAAGCGTCGAGAGGGTCGAGCACTAGATGGTGAAGGTGCCAGAGTGAGCTGTGAGATGACTTGCTGTGCGATCAAGGCGAGTCGAGCAGCAGCGTTGGAAGCAGCAGTGTTGGAAGCAGCAGTGTTGGAAGCAGCAGTGTTGGAAGCAGCAGTGTTGGAAGCAGCAGTGTTGGAAGCAACAGCTGCCAGTGATGGCTCTACCTTGGAACTCGGAGAAAATTGGTTAGCTGTTGTCGAGAGAAGCGGGAGTTCAAGATGCGAGATCGAACGTGGGTTCCAGCCGAGCTTGACCAGGAAATGGCGAAGTACAGTGGCTGCTGAAATAGCTTGTCCAGATGCGGATAGATAGAGAGCACCATCGGCAAGAGTCTCGTAAAGGATAGCACGTGCTGTTCTAGCTCGTAACCTGGAATGAATGCGACAGAAGAGAAGAACAAGGCGTCGACACCCTTTGACGACGGTTGCTGGCTGTATCTCGGTACCTTTCTGAATGGCCTTTCTGAGGTTCGAGCTCTGCTGGCGTAAAGAAGCAAGCTCAGCGACGGAAGCAGCTGACGGCTTGGGGCGACTGGTAGGTGGAATGATGGTGGTGTCATCTGCTGTGAGAGGATCGAATGCGGAAGGGTGAGAGATGCGTTCTTCTTCGAGATGGCTGTTGGCATCTTGCTGAACTAAAGCATTTGAGGGCGGATGATGAATGAGTGGGTGCGGTGGATTGTAGTGATGCCGTAAGAATGTGAAGTCGGGCTCAAGGTGATTAGAGAGATGCTTGCGATGGTGGGAATTGTCTTGGTGTACCGGAGCAAGCTGTTGTGCGGCAACTGAGACTGCTCTTGTTGGTGCAAGCGAGGATTTGAAGCGAAGTGCAGTCCCTTGCCTCGCTGCTAGTGAACTAGAGCTGCAGGCGAGATCGAGGCAGGAAGAAGGATAGAGGAAAGATAGAGGCTGCGGGACGGGGGCAGGTGGAGACAGGAAGCTCTGCGGCGAAGAGGTGGATGAAGATGATGCTGGTACTGTTGGAGGTAATATGAAACGCGAGGCATGTATTGGTGGAGGTGGTGGCGATGGTGGCGGCAGGCTTGATGGACCAGCGACATTGGGATTGACCACATTAGCTCGAGCTATTGAACGAGACCGTCGAGCTTGTCGGTGGTGGTGGCCGCACGCATCGGCTGCGCTGGAGAGTAAGCGCTTGTGAGGCATGAGCGTGTCATCTGCCGAGGACGAGAGCGGGCGTGTCTGCTCTCGATCCTTCCTCGGTAGAGATGACTCGTTGGGCTACAAAGGAGGAAAGAAAGGGCTATCTCGATCGATGCATGGGAATGTGCCTAGTCGTAGCGGCCTGAATGTGGACAGGTACCGCGATGTCGAAAGGAAAAGGGCAAAGTATCCGGGGAATATGTGAAGGCTCGTTTCTTAGAGGACGGAGGAAAGGCAACGAGATGCGAACTGCTGAGTCCAAGTGTCGATGTATATGTGATGCAGGTGTATGGGAAGAGAGTGACGAGGTGATGAGCTTTGTAATGTTTTATCGAGATGTTAGTTGGTTAGTTGGTTAGTTGGTTAGTTGGTTAGTTGGTTAGTTGGTTAGTTGGTTAGTTGGTTAGTTGGTTAGTTGGTTAGTTGGTTAGTTGGTTGGTTGGTTAGTTGGTTGGTTGGCTTGATAGACTAGGCCGGCTTTGTTGAAGGTGTAAGTTGCGGTTCGTGGTTGGACAGAAAGAAAAGTTGCGAGAGCCAAGCGATTCTTTGTTTCTTCTCAGCGCACGGCCAATCTCTCTTTCCGCTTGGCTAACAACTATTGCCCGAGTTCCGCTCCATCACGCTCATCCATGTTTGACAGTCAGGACCGGTGAAAGTATAGGCAAAAATACTAGGAATGAAGTGCACTAGGGGGTTTAGCTCAGTTGGTAGAGCGTTCGCTTAGCATCCTGCCTAAGTTGCGAAAGGTCGCGTGTTCGACTCATGCAGTCTCCATTTTCCTTTTTCCATTTTCCTTTTTGCTATTGGCTGCTGAAGATTACGATCCAGTGAGACGCTGAAGGATGACGCAGAGCCCTGCTCATTGTCAAGCTCGGCCATGAAGTAGCATACTCCCACGTTCGGTATGAGCCTCATCGATGTATATATGTATATCAAGCTGAGAACACTAGGTTCTTGCCACATTGACTTAAGGGGGTATCAAAGTTTTTGCGATTTTAAAAATGCGGGTTTTTTCGAGAGTGTGTTTTTGGAGGGAATTTGAACCCCCCCCAAGGAAAAGCAGGTTTCCAAAAATGCAATGAAATCATATGGCTGATAAAATGTGTAACCTAACAGTGGTCATGTTACTTGTTGCTCTTGTCACTATTACCCATTGCTTGCTTATATCTTGCTTTCCTCTTCACACAATGCACTCAATGTAATGTTTCATATGGTGGTGAGAAGAATTGTATTGAACAGAAGAAGAGAGAGTGCCTGTCAGATTGAGAATGGTTGTGTCAAGACTTGCTCCTGTCTCTGAGCTGATGCACTTTGAGTCATGGCAATGTAGTCCACAGTAGTCCTCTCATGACATCAAGACAATGCAGTAGTGTCTTCCTCATTGTGCCCAGTGGATCTGAACAGTGCCTGGAACAAACCCTCTCAAAGATCATGTGCAGCAGAACTTTGAAGTCTTGACACTGCATACTGTGACATTCCTTGTGTTGCAGTGGCAAGATCCAGTTTGTATTCCTGCTGATTTGTGCATCTTGTCCTCCTGAGCTCTTGTGTATCACTGGCATCAAGTTGGAGGCTTTGAACAACCTCACTCACCTCATCCTCAGAGAAAGAGGGCAACAGCAGGTTGGCAATATCAGCAGGATGGTCATATTGACTTGCAAAGGTGTGGGCAACAATGCAGGCTTGGATCGTCTTGGCAGCAGTGATGCAGTCCTTGAAATGGTAGATGTTACCACGATAGACTGTAAGGCACTGGAAGCAGTTCTTCAGGTATGCAATGGCATGTTTGACTCATACTCAGACTCGAGAGAGCATGTAGTTGAAGTGTCAAAGGTCTTGACTCTTGTTGGCAGCAATGTGAGAGAATGGTCCAACTGTGAAGGCAGAATGGCCATATCCACCATCAACCCAGATGAACTCACCATCGTCAAGGTACAGGTGAGGCTTCTTCAGGATGTTGCTGCCTGAGGCCCAAACCTTCGAATCCTGAACACTGCCAGGCTGTCCAACAACTGATTTGACAATCCGCAGTGAGTGTGGCAGGATCACCAGCGCTACATTGATGCTGTGGAAGCCTTTGTAGCAGAAGTGCTCTCGACTGAGCACTCCTGGCTTCCAGGCAAGAGGGATGTGTGTGCCATCCACCACAAGCCAGCCCTTACCCCACTCTTCAACCCCAGTTGTATTGCACACCCAGGCAGAAGCATGTTGTCTCTCTCCCTCTGAAGCAAACTGCATGACCTTGTTGTTTAGCTCAAGGAGGCCAGTGACTGTGCGATTGGTGTATCCAACAATGCTCCCAACACCACAACCACATTGCAAAGCAGCGTCATGTTCACCACCTCCATTTCCAGAACAGCCGAGTCTGTACAGAGCCACTGAAAGAATCTCTTGCACTTTGTTGAGAGACATCACACCTGAGCTGCTGTAGTTCCACCGGAAAGCCTCTGTTTGCTGGAGTTGGATGGCGAGATTGTTGAATGCTTCAGGCGACATACAAACAAGTCCATGATACATCCTATGATTGCTTGATTTGTACCTGTTGAGAAGGTGGATAAGCTTATCGGTGTGGCCAAGAGGAGTGCAATGTGTGATTGTGTACCTTTGCTTGCATATGAAAGTGTACAAGCAGACAAGGTGTCATGAGAGCGGAATTGGGTCACCATCATCATCCAAGTTGTTGATGTCAGTGCTGCAGGAGTGCTGCACTCTGTCGGTGTTTTGGATGACCTCCACAGGTATAGAGAGCTCGAGAGTGTGGACAATGTCATTGAGAATTACTTGCTTGTTGCTGTAGTGCACCATGGCTGGAAAGAGGAAGGGAGTTGGAGAGGGAGCATGGAGAGGGGGGATGGAGAGGGGGGATGGCAGCAAGAGCGATGCCAAAAGGTTGCAGAGTGGAGTGGTGGTAGTAATGGAAGAGGTGTGAGAGTGAAAATTTTTGTTTAAATGCTTTTGAGCTCATTATGTGACTGTGCTGCACATCATTTTTATTCACCTCATACTTGCACTCTACAGAAAAACACTCAGAAATGACTTTGCATTGAGACTGGATGATAGTACATGTAATGCTACAAGACAGGAAGATTGAATGAAGAGTCCATGTTGTTGTTGTTGCTGGTGTTCTGACAAGCATCCTGTTTGACACTGGCCTGAGAAGCAAGGAGGCACACCATCTCCATCACCATTTCATGATCACACACACAAACACATTCATCACACTCTTTCTCCTCCCTCTCGTGATGCAGGTACATCTCCTCGCACTTGGTATGCTCAGCCTCCAGTATTTTCTTGCATCTGGTGCATTCCTGTTCAAGCTGCAGGCAGATCTGAAGGGTATCAATGGAAGAATGATAGAAAGCTTCAGCAAGTGTGTCACACTTGTGATCAAGGGCACCTCACTTGCACTTGGTGCTGGGGGAGAGCTGGGCTGAAGATTGAGAAGAGGTGGAATCAGAGACATCCAAACTGCCAGCAGTGGAGGAAGGTGGTCAAGCCTGCAAAGGTGGAGGTGAAGGTGTGTTAAAGATGTCATCATCACCAGTGCCAGCAAAGGATGCACCAGAAGTGGATGCAACAGCAGCCAGGGGGTTGGTGGGTTCAATCAAGTCGAGAATAGGAGGCAAACCACAGCCGTGAGTGCTGTGATTGTACAGCTTGCTGCCACAAATATCCATGGGTATGTCAGCTGAGCCATTTGAAGGCATGTCAGGCTTGTCATCGCTGGTGAAGTCGAGACTGGGAGTTGTGATAAGTGCTGCAGGATCAGCATTGAATCAGCCATTCTTCATCTCGTGCATCCTTTCAAACCAAGCATACTTTGTTGACAGGGCAATGCGAGATACATAGGACTGTTTAAAATTGAAAGTATGAATCAGCATCCAAGCATACTATTGCAAGCAACAAAGATCACCAAAACTTACCAGGTTGGATGCATCCATGTCCTCCAGCAGTGTACCAGCTCCAGTGGGTGAAAGCTTCTTCTTCTCCCTGTAGTATGTCTCTAGCAGCCACCTCAGCTTGGACTTGATGCGATTGGGATCGACAGATGCACCTGGGAAAATCATCTTGGAGATATCCTGAAAAATGGGATGTTTGCAAAGTTTGAGGGCTGGATCGCTCTCAGCCGATTCTCGAGATGGCAGCAGAGTGCGCTGGTAGGAGTTGTTGTTGTAGAGGATCATGACAAGGTGAAGAACATTGGCACCTGACCATGTCAAGTTCTTCTTGCCTGTGGCAGATCTAGAGGCTCAAGTTGGACAGGAAGTGTGGATGTCAGGAGCACTTGTAGAACCAGATTGAGACAGCACAGGCACACTTTTGGTCTGAGTTGCAGAGCTTGTAGGTGTAGTGGACTGGCATAACAACTCTGCAGAGATGTCACCAGAATCATCAGTGGAGGAGGTCATGTTGAATGAGTGCAAGGAAGAGGGAGTGAGCAAAAGTGCAATGAGATTGAGGAAAGGAGAGAAGATGTGGAGTGATAAAAAAACCGTGTTTTTGCAAATGTGCCTCCTGAGCTGCGTTTTTGAAAACATGGTTTTTTTTCCCTTTGCAGAGCTTATGTAAGCTTTTGCGTTTTTTTTGAAAAATGCACTCTTGGAAAAACCCGGGTTTTTAAAAACACAAAAACTTTGATACCCCCTTTAGTCAATCGAGTATATATGTTTCTGTCTTAAAGCAGCAGTGACATCGTACTCAGACTCTCCCCGATCGCCAGTTATCGGGGCCAAAACATCTTCACTTTTCAACATTTCTTTTTTTGCTTTCCGTGAAAAAATTCAGACTTTTCAGAATTTTCAGAATTTTCAGAATTTTCAGAATTTTCAGAATTTCCTCTGAGCCAACGGCGAGAAACGGAGCTGGTGCGTGGAAAAGCGACCAAGGGTTAAGGACCCTTGCCGCACTTCAACTCCACTCTTTTTTCCTTTTTTCCTTTTTCCTTTTTTCCTTTTTTCCTTTTTCCTTTTTTCCTTTTTCCTTTTTTCTTTTTTTTTCTTTTTTTTTTTTTTTTTTTTTTTTTTTTCTTGGCTGCTACAGCTAGAGAGAAAAACTTCTGGACCGGCCAAAAAAAAAAAAAAAAAAAATCGTATCTGAAGCTCAATTTTTCATTTCTTCGCTGTGGCAGAAGACAGAGAAGGATTGGCACAAGGACCCCTTCTTCCTTCTTATCAACCCCTCATCCCATCTTGGTGCAATCCCTTTCAACCCCCTTTGCTCGAAGTATCATCTCATACCCTCTCATTCACATCGTCAAGCATAACCCCAAACATAAACAAGATGGGCAAGAAGGACTCCAAGGTCGCCGCAGCCGCTCCTGCGGTTGACGCCAAGAAGGACAAGAAGGCCGCTGCCAAGACTGTCGAAGAGACCAAGGCCAACGGTGTTACCAAGAAGGACAAGAAGGACAAGAAGGACAAAAAGTCCAAGAAGGAACCTACTCCTGAACCCGAGTCTGACTCTGACTCCAGCGAAGAGGAGGAGAGCAGCGACTCTGACTCCTCTGACTCTTCCTCCTCTTCCTCCTCGTCGGAGGAGGAAAAGAAGGATGTCAAGGCTGAACCCAAGACCAACGGCAAGGCTGCCGCTGCTGCCACTGCTGCCACCACCACCACCACCGAGGTTTCCTCTTCCTCTTCGTCCGACTCTTCGGAATCTGACTCGGACTCTGACTCGGACTCTTCCGATGACGAGGACTCCACTGCCGCTACCGACTCCAAGAAGCGCAAGGCTGACGACGAGAGTCCCGTTAGCAAGAAGGCCAAGACTGAAGAGCCCGCTGCTGCCACCACTGAGCTCGCCGAAGGCGAGACCAACCAGGTCTGGGTCGGCCAGCTCTCTTGGAACGTTGACAACGACTGGCTCAAGTCCGAGATGGAAGTTTTCGGTCAAGTCACCTCTGCTCGTGTTCAGCTCGACCGTACCACCGGCAAGTCGCGTGGTTTCGGTTACGTTGATTTCGCCACCGCCGCTGCTGCCAAGAAGGCCTTCGAAGAGGGTCAGGGCAAGCAAGTCGACGGTCGTGCTATCCGCATCGATCTCTCCACTCCCAAGGGTGACGTTAGCGAGGACCGAGCTAAGAAGTTCAACGACCAGCGATCTGCTCCTTCTTCCACTCTTTTCATCGGCAACCTTTCCTTCGACATCACTGAGGACGATGTCTGGAACGCTTTCAGCGAGCACGGTGAGGTGAGCGGTGTTCGTTTACCCAAGGACCCCGATTCGGGTCGTCCCAAGGGTTTCGGTTACGTCGAGTTTGCTGCCCAGGAGAGCGCAGCGGCTGCTATTGACGCTATGACCGGTCAGGAGCTTGCTGGTCGCCCTTTGCGATTGGACTTTTCTACACCAAGGGACCGTGATGGTGGTGCTCCCCGTGGTGGTGGACGTGGTGGTGGACGTGGTGGTGGACGTGGTGGTGGACGTGGTGGTGCATTCGGTGGAGGACGTGGTGGCGGTGGAGGATTCGGAGGTGGACGTGGTGGCGGTGGACGTGGCGGTGGACGTGGTGGCCGCGGTGGTTCTTCCGACGGATCGTTCCGCGGTATGGCCCGTGGCGGCGGATGGGGTCAGCGAGGTGGTAGCGCACGAACTGGTGGCGCTGCTGACTTCTCTGGCAAGAAGATGACTTTTGACGACTAAATGTTGTCGCCTTCCCTCTCACACACATCACAACCGCAATCCACACTGTGCGTAGAGGATACTACCACAGCCACAGCCATACACACTTACTTTACCTTAACTGGCTGAGCAAGCTGCAACGTTCCAAAAGCGCCCATCCTCTCTTTTCGCGATAGCCCATCACTTTCTCTAATCCGGGTTTCTTGCCATCGAGGATGCATCCTCTCTCCCTCTCTCTCCCTCTCTCTCCTTCTCTCTCCCTCTCTCTCCTTCTCTCTCCTTCTCTCTCCCTCTCTCTCCCTCTCTCACATGCATCAGTTGTTTTGCTTGGGCTTCATTCTCTTTGCATCTGTACATCTCATTCACGAGGGCCTCTTGTCTTTTTTTTTTTTTTTTTGTAAATGTCTTTTCTCCCTCTCTGCTTTACTGGTCTTGCTATAGGCCTCTTGGGTCTCTCACAGCGTCGTTGCTTTCTGGATTCTCATCCCATCTTTGCGCAATGGGCTTACTGGTTCGATGAGAGAGGCAATGCACTTTGCATTTCAGTTGGCAAGCCTGCCAATGTGTGTCTGCTTTCCGTGCTGGTGTGACAAGTAGAGCGAAAGTTGAACAACTCTCGGAATCGAATTTTGGCCTTGTTTGTGACTTGTTTCAAGATGTAACAGAGTTAGCTTCGGCAAAATTGGTTATTGGCTGGTCTGATAGCCGATGGATTGCAGGGAGAAGAAGACGACACTGTTAAAATAACGATGACACTGGGTCGTAGTTGTACCCGATTCTTCTCTCGTATCGGCGATGCCCGATGTTTGACCAGATCGACTTTGTCCGATCTCAGTTCCGATCTGCTGCTCTGCCCGATCATTTTCAGGGTCGTGGGATTGTCGAGCGCGATCGAGGTAAGATATCTGCGCACGGCCCACTATTGCTTGTTCTTTCTCCTCAACTTGTTTCTCCTCAACAACACTGTTTCCTTCTCTTCTCGATACTTGGATACTCGATCTGAAAGCTATCGCTTTGCGTTGCATGTCATTCCTTATTCGCCCCTCAACTACTCGCCTTGCTGTTGGATCAATCCATCGTCTCTCAGCTCCCCTTCTCTCAGCTCTCACCATCACTCCCATCAACCCTTTGCGCCTATCCAGCAAAATGTCCTCGACGGTGCCTCCCTCCTCCGGAACATTCCCCTCGTTTAGCACGGTCAATTTCTACGCTGGCTCAAAACTGAACCGACTTTCATGGCTACGAACTTCAGCTTGGTTCCTCAACTCTACCATTGCTTCTCCCTCAACCCGATTTGTTGTGTTGAAGAACAACAATCCGCTATCGCATGCTTCTGGTCCGGATGAGGGCATGCTTGCTACTCTTTCGTGGGATCAAGTTAAACCGTACATCCTTGAAAATGTGAAGCTGTCTGGAGGAGTTGAAACTAGTGCTGAGGATGTTTTGGTTTTCGGACCCCAGGCTTATGGTTTGACCAACAGTGGCGGAGATAATGCTGAAAAAGAGTTTTCTAGAGCGACGGATGGAGTGGCACCTTCTCGTCTTGCTCTCGTGTTTTTGGGAATTGACGAGAGCGGGCTAAAAGAAATAAGTCTGCCAGGAGAAGTGGCAAAGGATGCTACTCAAAGTAGCGATGCAGGAAACGACAATGCTCCACCGGCTGGAACTGCTTACTTTGCTCTATCTCTCACCTATCGACCCTGCTGGCTTTCTAAAAACGAAATAGCACCCATGCAGCCGCTTCTCAAGAAGCTCGAAAGCGATGAGAAATATGACTTTATCGATCTGCGCGCATCCTCGCGAGCTGCAACTTGGCCAGCCTCAGATGCAGCCATCGTAGCGCAATCCAAATCTCTGCTCGACTGGAATGAACGTCACACTTACTGTCCTGCTTGTTCGCGACAACAATACTCTCTCTGCGCAGGCTACAAACGTGGTTGCACTTCTTCCCTTTCCATCTGCAACCGGGTGGATTTCACCATTAACCTGCTCGGCGATACACCCTGCTTGGATCAAGAGGGCTTAGGCACTTGCCCGAGTACGAAAGTGTTGTCTAACTTCCACTATCCGCGTACAGACCCAGTTATAATCATGGCCATCATCTCTGCCGATGGAGAAAAAGTGTTGTTGGCCAGACAAAAAAAATGGCCTTCCGGATTCTACTCGTGCTTAGCTGGATTCTGCGAACCAGGGGAAAGCTTTGAAGAGGCTGTGAGGAGAGAAGTGTTGGAGGAATCAGGAATTCAAGTGGACCAGGTGATCTATCACAGCTCACAACCTTGGCCTTATCCAACCAACCTAATGGCAGGATTCTATGGCATTGCAAAAAGCGATGACGAGAAGAGTATCAGATTGGATCTGGATAATGAATTGCAAGATGCGAGGTTTTATACTAGAAAGCAAATTTTGGATGTATTGCAAACTAAACAGAGAAGTCACTTTAGCAAACAGGAATTGCAAAACATCGACAATCAAGACGACCTCACAGCAGAAAAGGACCAGAAGAACAGGCGGGTAAGTATCAGATTGCCTCCTCAAACCGCAATTGCTAGGGTCCTGATCGAAGCTTGGGCCAACGGTCAGGCTGTTCTACCCGGACAGATGAATGCTAGGATCTGATTCTCGCTCTCATAGACTTGCATCGAACATGAATTGCTCAAGATTGCAATCAAACCCTCAGAGGTATGCCAAGTCTCAAGCCTATCCATCAACACGGCGGATGTTAGAATGAACGATGAGGATAAGCGATAGTAGAAGATTGATTGCATTGTACAAGAGATACGATAAGAATAGCATGATGAACAAAGATGCAAATGTATAAAAGAAAGATCAAACAACACCCCAGAAATCCTCCAAAGCGCAACAGAATTTGCCACAAGCAACGGAAGCACTCAAAGAATACTCGGAGATGGAAATCTTCTCGTCAACAAGACCATCAGCAAAGTTATCCTTGCCATGAGCCATTGCACCTACAAACACAGCAATGCTATGATTCTCCGGAATCGTCGGCAGGTAGTTGCTCAATCTCTGAACAGGCGAATCGAAGGAAAGTGTCACCTTGTGTGTCTTTGCCGGCAAATGATCTGTGACTGGATTCTTGATGACTCTCAAGAGCTTTTCACTACCACCCATGGATCGAATGCTCAACTTGTGAAGAAGTTGTACCATCAACCCGGAAAACCTCTTGAATGTTCGTGGGATACGAACATGTGGGTTGACCTCAATTAGGACTCCCTTTGCTGTGTGAATGTAGACCTGCAAAAGGCCAGCCTTGTTGAGAGGTGAATCGAGAAGTGTAAGCAGGCACTGGTGGGTAATGTCGGGTCTCGCTTCAGCAATGTCACGACCCATCTTGGCAAGGACTCGCTGATGATCATCGCAATTAAGCAAAGCGTATTTGTCCCCACCATCTTTGTTGTTACGTCCTCCTCCACCACCGCCACGGGAAGCGGAACCGGTGGAAACTTTGTAGGTTTCAAGACAGGCTTGTTCCAGAACGACGATAAGACGCGGAGTGTTTTCTTTCTCGCCTGCCGTTTTGGGTACTTTGGGAACTTGGGGTACCAGAGAGGAGTCAACGCGGGAACGCTTGGCGGTGTTGGCTTTGGCTGCTGCTGTTGAGGTTGAGGAGGAGGAAGAGGAAGCAGCGGGGTTAGAGATGCCGTTGGCAGGGGTGAAGCTTGCAGAAGAACAGGACAGCATGGTCGTCACCGGTTTAGGCGGAAGAGCGTGACGCATAGGTGGTGCGGCGGTTTTGTTGGATGGAGAGTTGGAATTGCAAGATGCGACCAAGGCTGTCTCACTGTTTTGCAGACGAGAATGGATGGAATCTGTGAGACAAGGTTTGCTTTCCGAGTCTCGTGCTGTAGAACGTGATGAGGGGGAAGTGGCCCGAGGAGAGTGTGGAAGTGGTGCAATGGGTCGGTAGGTGGTTGCCGGTGCCGAACGAGTGGTCAATCGATCATCCTCCGAGTCCGAGGCTGCAGACGAGGCTGAAGACATTGTGACAAGTTAGAAGAAAGCTTTGCGAAGGCCAAATGGAGAGGCGGTCGATTGGGAGGTACTGCGACCGAGTTGTGTGATATTGCTTGCGCCTTGTGACCTCTTGAGATGGTGGCTTGAAGCAGACAGGAGTGTTGGATGTTGAGCAGTGATGATCAGATGAATGCCCATGTGGACGAGAAGGAAGAGAGCCAATCAGTAGACAGGTCTTGTGTCCCTCAGCAAAGCAGCGGGAACAAGAAAAACTCTAAAAACCGAGTCAGATCTATCGGCCGTATAAAATTGTGAGGGAATTTGGGCGAAATTGTGAAAATGTTAGAGTAAGGACTCGAGGCGCGAAAGAAAGGGAAACCAACACTTTTCTCGGGCGAGATCACTCGGCCGTTACACACACACTCTCTCGCTGAGCCTCTTTCAAGTCGCGTCACGAAACTCTTTTTTGAAGGAACTGCCATTCAACACGACGCGCAGTCAGGGAGAAAGGTCAAAGCGCAGTCAAGCATCGCACTTTTTTGATCTAACATTTTCATGATCTAACCCTTTCATGATCTAACACTTTCGTGATCTAACACTTTCATGTCTTGCTCATCCTCCTCCATCGACATCCTTCATCGACATCCTCCATCGATATCCTCGGCTTCATTTCATCCTTAGCCACCACGCATCAAATATCGCCTTCAGCTCGAACAAACCTTTCTTTCATTTTCCTACAATCATTCGCCTCTCAGGCTCATATACCATTCGCACGTCCGCTTGCCCTCTCTCTCTCTCTCTCTCTACTTTCTCTCACTTGCTCCTGTCAGCTCTGGTAGCATCAGCAGCTCGCAAGCATGAGCGCTGACAAGACCATCTTCAAGGTAAGATGCATTTTTCGACAATGCTCTCCCGTCCCTCTGGATGGAAAGTTGACTGACCTACAACTCTTCCGCTGTTTTTGCCCTGTCCTACTCTTTCCTGCCAGGCCACCTACTCGGGCGTGCCAGTCTACGAATGCATCATCAACAATGTCGCCGTCATGAGACGGCGTTCCGACAGCTGGCTCAACGCTACCCAGATCCTCAAGGTCGTTGGTCTCGACAAGCCGCAGCGTACACGTGTTCTCGAGCGTGAGATTCAGAAGGGCATCCACGAAAAGGTACAGGGTGGGTACGGCAAGTATCAGGGAACCTGGATTCCTCTCGATGTTGCCATCGAGCTTGCCGAGCGGTACAACATCACAAATCTCCTCCAGCCCATCACTTCCTACGTTCCCTCGGCCGCCGACTCGCCGCCTCCTGCTCCCAAGCACACCATCTCCACCTCTGCCCGCGCCAAAAAGATCGTCCCCGCCGACGCTGGCGCTCTTGGCCGTTCAAGACGCGCCACCAGTATCGAGACCGAGTCCGAGCTTGTGGGCGCTACACAGAACAATGCTTCCGAGGGCACCATGAGCCCTTCACCCAGCGACATCAGCAGCTCTTCTCGTACACCCAGTCCTCTTCCTGCCGACCGTGCCAACGCTATGTACGCCAATCAGGCTGCTGCTGCTGCCACCCCCGGTTTCAACGGTAGAGAACCCAACAACCAAGCCAGATACGCCGACATCATCCTCGACTACTTTGTCACCGAGAACACCACTGTTCCTTCGCTTCTCATCAACCCACCTCCCGACTTCAACCCCGACATGAGCATCGACGATGACGAGCACACCGCCCTCCACTGGGCTTGCGCCATGGGTCGCATTCGTGTCGTCAAGCTCCTTCTCTCCGCCGGTGCTGATATCTTCCGCGTCAACACCAACCAGCAAACGGCCCTGATGCGCGCTACCATGTTCTCCAACAACTACGACTTGCGAAAGTTCCCCGAACTCTTCGAGTTACTGCATCGTTCTATCCTCAACATCGACAGGAACGACCGCACTGTCTTCCACCACGTCGTCGACCTCGCCCTCAGTCGAGGCAAGCCTCATGCTGCTCGATACTACATGGAGACCATGATCAACCGCCTTGCCGACTATGGTGACCAGCTTGCCGATATCCTCAACTTCCAGGATGATGAAGGCGAGACCCCCCTGACAATGGCTGCTCGTGCTCGATCCAAGCGACTCGTCCGTTTGCTTCTCGAGCATGGAGCTGACCCCAAGATCCGCAACAAGGAAGGCAAGAATGCCGAAGACTACATCATCGAAGACGAGCGTTTCCGATCTTCACCCTCTCGCACCGGTCCAGCAGGTATTGAGCTTGGAGCTGATGGTCTGCCCCTCCTTCCCACTAGCTCGCTTCACACATCCGAGGCAGGTCAAAGAACTGCAGGACGCGCTGTGACCCTGATGAGCAACTTGCTTCACAGCCTAGCCGACAGCTACGATAGCGAGATCAACACGGCCGAAAAGAAGCTCACCCAAGCTCACGGCTTGCTCAAACAGATCCAGAGCGAGATCGAGGAGAGTGCCAAGGTTGCTGACGGCTTGCATCACCAAGCCAAGGGGGTCGAGGAGGAACACAAGCGTGTCGACTCGCTTCAGCTTGCACTCAAACACGGCACCAACAAGCGTGCTCGTGACCATCTCGAACGTCGTTGGGCTCAAGGCAAGGAAGCGATCAAGCGTGCGAGGTTGCAAGCAGGCTTGGAACCAGGTGCGCTTCTGGATAGCAATGCTGCTAACAAGCAAGACGGCACTACTGAGGCTGGTGCAGATGACGCCAACAAGTTGATCGACGGTCTGCCAGCCGGTAGTGATATCAAGAGAGCTATTGCTGAGCTCAAGAAGCAATTGGGTGAGGTGCAGCAGAAGCGTACCGAGCTGGTGGACAAGTTTGTCACCCGCGCTAGGGAGCAAGGTACTGGACGCACTATGGCTGCTTACAGGAGGTTGATCGCAGCCGGTTGTGGGGGTATTGCACCAGATGAGGTGGATGCTGTGGTGGGTGTGCTGTGCGAGTTGTTGCAGGAGGGTCATGCTGGTGCAGGTGCCGCTGGGTCGGGGTTGGAAGGTGATGAACGAGCAAGAGATGCAGCTATGATGCTTAAGGGTGCTGGTGCTGCTGCACTTGCTGCCAACGCCAGTGCTGCCTAAAATCCAACTCGGCTTTTGTAGCTCATTCTCCGTATTTCCAGCTGCATCTTGATTTGGTCTAGCATTTGTTCTCCGTCTGACTCTTTCTGTGCCCTTGTAATGTAGTCTCTGTTCTCAACCTCCAAAGGATTGTCGTATGGGGATTGAATCAAGAGGAGGAGCATCTCGAAGTTGTCAAGGAAGGAAGCATTGATCACGTGACGCCTGCTGAGCCTCGAAGAAAACGTCAGAGGGAGAGAGCATTTTGGACAATTGCACATCTTGTCATCCTTCCCAACACCATCCTCTACCTCACATTGTGGGCATCACTCGCAGCTATGTTGCGTCGAACACTGGCGCTCTTCTCCGAGGCATCGCGTTCTTCTTCTTCTCGGACCTCTTCTTCATTGGCATCTTCCATTCTCACCTCGCACTTGTCGAAATCGCATCTTCCACCAGCACTCGTAAGAAGCGCATTACCACACAAAAACTTATACCAGCTTCTTTCCTCCTTACCCAATGATGGCGTCGGTGCACGTGTCAGACAACGAAGATGGGCAGCAAAGGGACTTGATGTGCCAAACAACGTCGATCTCAAGTCGCATTTGAAGAAATTGCATACAAAGCAGGGTGGAAAGGCGAAGAAGGAAGAGGGACACTTGTGCTATTGGGAGGTCACAAAAGCCAGCTTGAAGGACGGTGGAAAACATGGAAAGGCTTGGGGAAAGCTTGTTTGGAGAGGTAAGTTGATACTGCAGTCGAGTAGAGAGAGAATGAGAGGAGAGAGAATGAGAGGAGAGCAGTTACTGACTAATGTTGACCGTTGCCTTTGACCGTTGCCTTTGAAATGACACAGGCAAGCCTATCACGGAAAGCGAGACAGGTAAACGCATTCCTGGTGCTCTCAAGTACTTTTGGGATATCGCAAAGTAATCGAGCATAGCAAAGCAATATATAAGGTAACACGCTTTCTTACACCATCCTCTCCTTGCTGAACTCATCATTGTACTACAGAAAGCCTTGGCAGATGACCTTAGGGTTTTGTCGAGGAAACGAGATTCTTTCTTCACCAACTTGCCACTTGCTTCCTACACTGCTGCTGTGCAAAGCAGTATCACAACGGACAGCTTGAGCATTTCACCAGGTACTTGAGCATATGGTCTTGCATGTGTCGAGCATCATCGTCTGGGCTGCGATTGTGGCAAGGATTGAAGAAATGTAAACAAGTATAGTCCCGATAACTGGTGATCGGGAAGAGTCTCAGCACGATGTCACTGCTGTTTTAGACAGAAACACATATACTCAATTGACTCAAGTGAGAGTGTGGCGACTCCTACTTCATGATCCATCTTGAGAACGAGGGGGACAGTGTTGTACCCGATCTCTGTGTAGATCTTCTCCTCCGTGTCCCGATTGCGTTGATGTCAGCACGTATCATCATATTGGATCGTTTCCCTCGGCAAATCATTCGTGACTTTTCGGATTTTTTGACTTTTTGTTTTTTTTTGCCTCCACAAAAGAAATCACGAAAGTTGTATGACAGCTGCAACGGAACACGTGACACGCGCCTTGGCTCCAACACCAACTCAGCCTCGTTTGACAGCTGATCCCATCGACCAACCTTGACTCAGCCTCTCGCTATCATCTCATTTGGCAGCAGCATCCACATCCACATACATCATGCTCCTCAAGTCGACGCAGTAGCATGGTAGCGCAACAGGCGTCCCTCCCGAACACATCAGTCGCGGCTGTGGGGGGTCAGCACGCCACAACTCCTTCCACCTCCTCGTTCAAACCGACTGGTTGGATCCGCTCTAATTCCCGTTCGAAGCCCTCCGCCGCTGTCTTGGCTGATCGTACCAACCTTCCGCCTACATCACGGCATACACCAGCACGCTCTGTATCCAAGACTCCCGTATCCAAGACTCCCGTATCCAAGACTCCCGTATCCAAGACTCCCGTATCCAAGACTCCCGTGTTAGCACCAGCATCGGTGCAGAGTGTGCCCAGTCGAACACCAAGCACTGGGGCAAAGGGAGCGAGTGGAAAGCAGCAGAAGTTATCAAGCTTCTTTGCGCCCAATACGACCGCGAATCGCCACAGCAGGTCAAAGTCGATCCTGTATCAAGACTCGCCCAGCGTCGGCCGAGCACAGCGCAGCCATAGCAGCAATGCAAGTGTTCAGCCGAACCTAGCTCGACCTTCTACACTAGCCGTTTTCGAGGATCAAGAGCTGGAACAACGAGCAGCATCACTGCTACGAGGCAGGTTTGGAACTATATCTCGCTCATTGAACCCAAGTCGATCCTCGACGCCGACCAGACCACCAGCTTCTCCCTCTCGACCGCCGCCTGCTGATCCCCTCACAATGGCCCGTTCCCCACCAAAACAGCATTGGCCGCCAAAGACTGCCAACAAAGCAGCAGCACCGATGACACCACCTCGACTCAAACGCTTTGAACCGCAACAACCGCCTTCATCGCCCATGTTTCATCAGACATTGATGCAAGAGTCTCTTTCCAACTTTACTCCTCCTGCGTGGGAGAATGCGATAGGCAGTAACATGGCGCTGTTTCAACGACTAGCCGGTTTGCCGCCGGACGAGATAAAGGAGTGTGAGAAGAGCAAGATGGAGGAGGAGCTGGAGAAGGCTCATCGCAGGTTGCAGGGTCGTTCGCCAACCGCGGCGCGGAGGAAGGATGAGGGGAAGAAGAACAAGATCGGTTCGCCGTTGAAAAAGCGTCTACCTACAACGGCAGAAAGGGTTCAGCGAGCAGCAGCGCTAAGTTCAGCTTCGCCAAAGACCAAGGTGAACCTTGAACGTCTGGAGCCAATTATGAGGTCCCCAAGGACGAATAGGCGGATCTATGCGCTTGAGACGCAGCTAGATCGTGTGCCCAACGGGAGGGCGACTAGTCTACAGCCGCTCGGTCTACTCGACACGGATCAAGGGTTAGGGCAACGTAGAGCCGTATCAGAGGCTAGATGCAATGGTGCAGAGACGTCTAGACACAACTCGATACTTCCAGCAACGATGCAAGAGGATTCGGTGGAGGAAGACTCGGAGACGCAGCCACTGCTGTGGCCGGAAGAGTCCGAGACGCAGCCACTTGCCTGGCCTGACGAAGCAGAAAAGTCGCCACCTCCCGCCATAGCTCCACCGGAAGCAAATGGAGTGCAGACTAAAGAGGCGCAGCTCCTAGCATGGGACGATGTACAAGAACCCGACCCTGCAGCACCCGTGTTTGCCGCTCCGACAGCTGGTGTCACCACCCTCGCCCCGCACCTTCGCCCAGCGATCACAGAAGTCCCAACATCAGACGACGAAGACCTACTCCTCCAACGAATTGCCATCTCCTCTTCCTCCTCCTCCTCCTCCTCCTCCTCCTCCTCCTCTCCCTCACCACCTGCCTCACCCACAGCATCTCGTTCTAATAACCCCACCTCATCATCGCTACACCCTGCCTCTCCGGCACATAAACGACGTCGAATTGATCTCAACCAATCCAGCTCATCACCTGCACTCTCTCGCACCCCACTCCGACTGGCCAAAGTGAGCCCAATCACTCTCACCCCCACTGCAGCCAGACAGATGGAGGGATTGGGTCGGTTCGATCGCGTAGTTGCAGCATTACGAAAAGAAGAACGGAGACAAAACACGGGTTTGCAACTCCACCTCAACTCCTTCCTCATTTCTACTTCTACTCAACAAAGGGATAGAGTGAGGGAAGAGGGCAAGATGGATGAGAGAAGGGCGGGATTGAGTGCGGGTTTGTCTGATGAACTTTCAGACGACGAAGGAGTGGACACAACTATCACCCATATAGCGAAAGCAGAAAAACACGGGGAGGGAGATGAAACTCAACCTTTACCCTGGTCCACACCTTGCTCCCCAACCGAAAGACCGGCTCTATTAGCACTACAAATGTCATGCCAACCTTCACCGCCAACTCGGGGAAGGTATACAGGTACAAGTAGCAGTAGCAGCAGCAGTGGTGGGAGCGGGATGATCAGTTTTCCTAGTGAAAGCAATTTAAGAGACGCGGGCGGAAGTGAGCTAGTTTCTTTCATTGATCGGTTGTAATATTGATCTCACACATCTTTCGCAATGCATTATTATACAAGTGAACCAAGTAAGATAGCCGAAGCCTTCTCGCCAGCTTGCAACGTGCTCTTCATCTCACCGTTTTGTAAGGGAGGTAGGGCAATAAGCGCGTTGGCTGAAGCCATACTGTGCATTGCGGAACTACGTTGATTTCCAGTACTATAGGCTACCAAACCTTGGCTGGATTCAGACCGTAGAATGACTCGATGGAATTCTGGACGTGGGTCAAGGCGCATCTCGCACGCTAGAGTCACAGGTATTGAGGCCAGGCTCCAAGGGTTGGCCCTTTGGCTTGATGGAGAAGAGTGAGCCGGGTAGCCAGCAAGTTTTCGAAGCGATGGAAGAACCAAGATGTAGAAGGTTACCAGTGCTGATGCTGGGTTACCTGGTAGAGCGAATATGACTTTGGTTTGCTTTGCTCTCTTGATGGTTGCGAATGTCGTTGGTTTGCCAGGCTTCATAGCTACTCTGCCGAAATGTATTTTCCCTTGCAATTCCCTTTCGATCAAGGGCTTCAACAAGTCCGACTCACCCATACTTGTTCCTCCTGTAGTAAGCACTAGATCTGCCTCTTCCATACCTCTTCTTAGCGCTGTCAAAGTCGTACTTATATCGTCGCCGACAATACCGAGATCAATCACCTGGAAGCCTAGCCCGGTGATTGCTGCATGTAAACCAGGTCTGTTGGCATCAAAGAGAGTAAACCCCCACGGCTCCCCCTTTTGCATTTGCCAATTCTGGGCTGAGCCATCTTGAAGTTCATTCCCAGTACTAAGAATGGCAACTTTGGGTTTGCGATATACGGAAACAGAAGAACGACCCAGGAAGGCAAGTGTACCAATTTCTCCGCCAAGTGCAGAAATGGTTGTGCCTTTACCAAGCACCACCTGACCTACTTTGACATCGCTACCCCTCTGTCTAACATTCTCGCCTGGCTCAACTTTCGCAAGGACTTGCACTGTAAGCTCTTCTCCATCTACAGCATGAATAAGCTCGGTATCTTCTACCATAACTACAGCATCGGTGCCTTGAGGTAGACCTTGACCAGTATTGATTCGGAAGATCTCATCTTGTTGCAAACAGCGAGAGAGAGAGTGAAGCGACTTGAACGTTGCCACGCGATAATGTCCCGGTGGAGTGGTGGCTGAGTTAAGCGCATATCCATCAACATTCGTCGTCGGACGAGGAGGTATGTCGGTCATTGCAGGTACGTCTTGTGCTAATACATGTCCGATCAAAGCTGTGCTAACGGGCATAGTCACTATCGCTTCGGCCTTCGGAGTGTGCTCTGCGATAAGTCGGAGTGCTTGGTCCAATTGTAAGAGTGGATATGGCGAGGTGCGGTGTCGTAGAGATGCACCTCCAGTGGGATGAATGGTGCGGAATCCGGAATCATCTGCAGGTGTAGTACGTTGTTTTGGTGCTTGATGAGAGTGAATTCCCTCTCCTCCTTCGTGATGGTGATGGGAACAAGTAGTATGAGTAGTGGTATGCACATTTGCATTTCGATGTCGATCGCCTTGCATCTCTCTATGCCTCGCCTCCCCACTTGCGCCACTCAAGAGTTGCAATGCATGAAGCAACAATCCATTGCCCAACAGCACCTCCAAGCATTCTTTCACTGCCTTCGGAGAGCCAGGAAGGGCAACTAGCAATCCTTCTCTCCCATTCGCCTTGCATATACCGGTCACGCTCCTGCTGAGCGCTGCAAGTGGGGTCTTATTCAACGAGTAGGCTGTTATGGCATGAGTAAGAGCAGGAGTTTTACGAGAAATAAGAGGTTCCAAAGCTTCCGGTGTCACATCTCTAACACCAAACCCAGTACCACCCGTAGTAACAACAAGATCAACACCCTCCAATTCAAATAGCAACTGAACAGTACTTCGAATCTTGCAAACTTGATCGCCAACATAATGTCGCGATATACAAGTCAAGCCGATGATCGACAGCTGGTCGACGAGAATTGCACCTGAACCATCCAGCGAAGGATGAGCAAGGGAGGTATCCGAGATAGTTACTACCGATGCTTTAAATGCCTCCATGGTGTTAAAGGTATAGATATGGATGCCTTGTGACGGTTTGGTGGTGGAAGAGAAAGAAGAGATAAGAAGGCCTTGACGCAGGGAGCAAGAGTTGAAATTGCAATCAGGGTCCAGATTGAGTGCGTCGATGGCCGATTTTTCTCAGCATGACTGTTGATTGAAAGCTGCTATACACTGCACATCTGGAATGGGACATGCGTATCACTGCATGACAGTGTTTGAGGTTTGAAAGGTTATGATGTTGCGATACAGAGTACAAGGGCAAACAGCAGAGAATACAGCAAAATTCTTCACCAAGCCCGGGTATAATCTCGATCATCTTGCCACCTTGCAACACAAACATGGCCCGAATCACTCAGGAAGAGGCCCTGTGCACTCGAGATACGTCGCTGGAACCAAGCCTTTGACTGCCTGATCATCATCTTTGATCGCAATGGCCCATCCGCCTTCGATCGAGCCTACCACGTGAACTGTCTCGCCAGGCTGCACTGCCAACTCGTGTTCGGAAACAGGATCAAACTCGTAGAGCACCTTGTAAAGCCCTTCTGGCACATTGGCGTTATCTCCTTGGTCACCATCAAACTCGTTCTCATCATCTGCACCTTGGATGTAGAATTCGTGCTCTGCTGCATCTGACTCTTCTTGTGGGTACTCGTCTTGGCTGCCTTGCTCCGCCTCTTGCTGTTCTGCATCTAGAAGCTGCTCTCCATGATGACGAGGGTCGTCCGGTGGGAAAGCAAAGTCGCGCACTTCGATCGCGTAAGGAGAATCTTGTGCCTTGTCGGCATTTCGTGCTGTTTGATAGCTAGCACTTGAAGTTGGGCGTGATGACTTGAGGTCTGCTCGGGAGGTTTCCTGGTTGTGTTGCGAGGCAACATCGGTGTTGCCTTCTGCTGCTGCTGATGCGGAGGCATTGCTGAGACGATGGCGCCAACTTGCAGAGCTCGAAGTGGGTCGCAGCTGAGGCGAGGTCAGGGAGTTGGACGCCTGCGAATTCCTTCTGGAGAGAGAACTCGAGGAAGCACTGGCGATTCTGGCCGCTGTCTCATTTGAGCATGGTAGTGATGGAGGACGTGTGGGTGTTGATGTACTGCAAGTTGCTGTTAGACCAAGGCAAGAAGTCGGACGCTGGTTATTGACATGCGCAACTGATGAAAGAGTTCTTAGTTTAGTTGGCGGTGATGCAGTCGATGCAGATGCGGATGAGGATGAGGATGAGGATGAGGATGAGGATGAGGATGCGGCAGCAGACGGGGAGGAATTAGCCGCTGCTGTGTTGCCACGCCGACCAGGCGGTGGTGGCTTAAGCCTCCAGTCCTGACCTTCTTCGGGTGAAGGAACGAATCCGCCGGAAGGGCTAGGATAGAGTGTATCCGCAGGTCCGGGTTTGGGCGGTGCCATGGTTAAAGGAGACGGCTCATTGGGTGATCCATCTGTCGTGGAAGAGGTGGAGGGCTGAAGGGTGAGAGCGTCTATGGCCTCGGATGAGAGGGGAGTCGAGTTGACGCGGCTGAGTTCGGAAGTGAGATTGGCTGTGGACAAGAAGATGGCATCTGCAGATTTGCGATCGGTCCTTGTTGTGCTACCTGCGTTTGCAGCTATAAGATGCAGAGAAGAAAAGGCGATGCAGGTTGGCGTCAGTACAGCTGTGCAGCTCGAACGAGCGTGTCGACGATGAGACTTTACCTTGCAACCTCGCTTCTATCGAAGGCATGCGGATGAGCGGCCAATCCGAGCACAGATGGCCGCAAATGTACGATGACTTAGGATTCCAAGAGAGTCGATTCGGAGGTGGACGCTGTCACGGGATGTTCCTCGCGACCTTGAAGGCAAAGTTCGGGCCGATGTTCAGGATGATGTTGACTAATGGCTGATGGATTGGTCGCATTAAGGAAAGAGTGGTGATGCTTAAGGTCGATGATGCTTAGTGTCGATGATGCTTAGTGTCAGACGCGCTTTCAAGTCTAGACTCGTTGGCCACCGAAAAAGAGCCGTTTCATGGTATCAGCCTCGACATAACATCGAATTAATACGATACTGACACGGCCGAGAATCGAAAACTGTATTGGCCCTGTTAGACCGTGTTGACTTCACAGTTCCCGAAGAAAAAGAAAAAGAAAAAGAAAAAGAAAAAGAAAAAGAAAAAGAAAAAGAAAAAGAAGAAAAAGAAAAAGAAAAAAAAAAAGATTTTGAGAAAGTGCTCGCGGTCCGTATCCTTCGTCGTTGAACATCATCTCATCATCATCATCATCATCATCATCATCATCATCGTCATCATCATCATCGTCATCATCGCCATCATCTTTGCACGTACTGCTTCCTACCGATACAGCATCACTACCGGATGAGCAGTCGTCCAGCAGCATACGCAGCCGGCCAAATATCAGTCCGGTCCCATCTTATCGCACAGGACACCACCGACAGGACAACGCTTGGGCATTTCATTTCTTCTTCTGACGACCACCTCAGCCGTCTTTGATCTAGCGCATATATCGTCCTCAACATGTCTCGTTCTGGCGTAACAGTTAGAGCTCTACGTTCCCTGAAGCATCTCCACCCAGCCAAAAAGGGCTCCAAGTTTGCCATCAAGGCGCCCTCCCATGCTACCCACCAACCCAAATTTGTTCAGCCAAAGGATCGTGTCCCATTCTGGAACATTATTCCTGGCGACCATGTCAAGCTCAGAAATGGTCGAGTCGGTGTCAAGGAAGGCCTCGACTCGACAAAAAAGATCCGCGGCGAGGGTATCGTCGCCAGCATCGATAAGCAGAAGAACTGGCTCTGGCTCAAAGATGTCGACGAGAACAACAAGTTGGCGCCAAAACTTATCCGACACGTCGTCCCGCGTTACGTCGACCCTCTTCAACCCGAAAATGGCTACGGCCCCAACATCACAGAGGTCCCTCGTCCCGTTCACTACTCTAACGTCATGCTCAAGATTCCAGGCTCAGACCAGTTTGCAGTACGACTCTCTCGTTCCGCCGTAAAGTACGACAAGTGCAGGGGCAGGTTCGTCTGGAAACGCTACGCCACTATCAAGGCATCGGAGCAGAAGTTCCTCGAGACCGGCAAAGCATTCGAAAAGGTCGAGGTGCCTTGGCCAAGGCTTCCCAGTAAGCGCAAACTTCTTGACGACACCATGAGCGATCGCCATGTCGTCGAGGCCGAGTCCTGGGCTCCTTGGAGGCCAGAGGACCCCGTCCTTCTCCCAGAACGCAAGGGCATCACATCACCTCAGTCCGAACGCCGTGCACAGATCGAAACGCTTGAAAGGAGAAAGCTCCAGGCCTGGAAGAAGGCTTCCCTAGCTGGCCGATCAGCACCCGCCGGCGCTTATGGTACCTATTCTGGCTTCAAGCAGGGCCGTGCCAAGCCTCCTCCCATCCCTCAGCCTCCCACTCCAGCAGAGACTATCCGATCTCGCACCGATGCAGCATCTGAATGGGCAAGTGGTTCCGCCATCAAGGCGCATCGTCAGGAAGGTGGTCTTTCGTTCTTGTGGCGCGACTACCTCGATGTTACTCCACAACAAGGTCCTGCAAGTGGTGGTGATTGGAGTGAACTTGCCGTCAGCACACACATGGGCGGCCTTGACGCACCCAGAAGCCCGCATGACGGCCGTCTCACCAACGGTGTTAGCCGTAACGACGTAGACCGGATGCCGATCGAACTGCTAATGAGCCGCGATCTCACCAACGATCGCGGTCTCAAATGGAGGATGAGGAGATGGAAGGAAAAGAAGGCCGAGCAACAACAAGAAGCAATCCAACAACGCCGTACACAATCCGAGGTGCTCAAAGAACTCGATGCACTCAAGATCTAACGTTGATTTTTGCAACTCACCTTCCACACACACACACACACACACACACACACACACACACACACACACACACAAGTCTGTGTTTGCAGTCTCATGACAAAAACACATGATTGCCTGCTTGTGTAGACTAAGGTCTCGACTATAAAATGCAAGTGAATGCGGTGCTTTCTATTTGATGGTGACAATCAAGCAGTTGCTTGGTCAACGAACTGCTTTGCTCTGGGAGATCTTCTGAGGATCGCTTGCTGCAGTCGCTTCAGGATACGTATCATCAACAATGCATCGCCACGACCTGTGATTCGCTTCAAGGCAAACAGAAAAAAACTCGAGACAAGCACAAGACTGATCAAGTCGAGTGCCAGTCTAGCGCTCAACTTGACCAATGCCACCAAGATTCTAACTGGCCAAGTGAAAAGGTGGTAAGCAGTCTTGCTGCCGTTGTCCCAAGCTCCGCCTTGAGCGAGGAAACTTGGTGCCAGCGCCTCAGATCGAGCGCCGCGTGCGACTACATTGAGACCGATGAGGTGCTTGATGTCCTCGACGACGTTCATAATGGCAGTGTAGAGACGTGCGCTGCTCGACTGACCGGAGCCGGCTCGTCGTGGGTCATCCGGACTAGCTCCTGAGGAGCGGCCCTCGACGCGGTTGAGACGCTCATGAAGTGCTGCGAGAGATGCTTGGATAGATTCAAGTGCCATCTCCATCTCAGGACGTGGCTGCGGTCGTGCGGTGCCTGCATTCGAGGGAGGGCGTGGTGGATAGATGGGAGGCGGTCCGGTTCTCCTTCCAACCGAACGACCACCGACAGATGAAGCGGCATACGTGCTGCGCTGATAATCGCCTGGCTCGCCTTGACGTGGGTAGTTGGAGCCTGCTACGGACGCAGCAGTGGATTTCGGTGCATACTGTGGGCGTGAGTAGCCGCCCTGCAAGGAGGGCGGGCCACGAGGACGAAGGCCTTGTGAGCTCTCGTACTGAGCTAGTGCCGATACCTGCGAGCGCGAGGGTGGACGCCTGTTGTAGCCTTCTGTTGCCGAAATAGAGCCTGCTCGAGGCTGAGGTCGATAGGACTGGACGGAAGATGGCCTGTGTGGTGCGGGATGCCGAGATGCGCCTCTGAATGGTCCAGGCTGAGAGCCGAGACGGTCGTCTTCTGATGTCTCCTCCTCGGACTCGGAAGCCATCGGTGTTCTGCCAGGAGAGACTGCGGAAGGATGGCCAGCTCCACGAGTGGCAGCGGTGCTGGTAGCTGTGATAGATGGAGCTGTGATAGATGGAGCTGTAGGAGCAAGGTGTCGGGGCAAGTGAGGCTGTGCGGCGCGAGAAGGACCCGATGGTGGCTGGTGTAGACTTGTCGGATCGAGACGTTGCTGATCGTCGGATTGCGTGTCGGTGATGGACTGCTCATCCGAGTCGACTTGAGCCAATGAGCCGTCCATGAGACGCTGGGCTACCTGACCTGAGAAGTTTTCGAGCTCTTCGATGAGTGCAGCTGCCTGCGGGCGATCGCTGAAACGTCGCAAGATCCTGAGCATCGACTCGACATACATCTGCTTTGCATCTCGGGGGGGCATCCCACTGACTTTGGACCAGGCGTCCCACTTTGCCCTTCCGAGCATATCGAGCATACCTGGGCGCTTCGACTGGACATCTCCCTCGGTCGCTTGCTTGTAGAGACTGTAGAGAGCTAGCTTCTCCTCGTACGATGTTTGTATTGGTCCAGACTTTGGGAGCGACTGGACCATGTCGACTGTTTTGACGAAAAGAGCATCTATGACGTCTGCGCTGCTCATCTTGGCGGTGTAGGTGCAGGAGCGGTGAGATTGTGTGAGAGGAAGTTGGTGATCAATGCACGAGAATGTTGGAACCTCGTTGAGGTGGAGGCGGCAGAAAGGAATGCAGCAGTCCAAGTTGCGGGGCCGTTGGCCGTCTGCTCTAATGGAATACCTGATCCGCCAGCCAGAAAAGAGGGTCGATGCGAATAGGAGCGATCATGTCGAGTTCAGAAGGAAAGAAGCAGGAGAGACAAGACGCACACCTTTGTCAACCCCACACGATCCATATTCTCAACACTATTTGACTCCCATCCCCGATCAGATCTCACACTCCCTTTCCCGATCAGATCTCCCACTCCCTTCTCGCTTATCTTTGAGCCGGCGAGACGCGTCGTCACAACCCTAAATGAGCGCGCCTCTCGGCCGGAGGAGAAAGAAAGCGCGGTCAAATTTGGCGCCTCCTAAATTAGCCGCGCTTGACCGGAATTCGGTTAGCCGCTTAACCGGAATTCGGGCAACATGTCGTACGATAAGAAAAAAGCCTTTCGCCGTGAATGCCCAAGTGTGCAGGACTCTCTCTCTCTCTCTCTCTTGCCGACCTGTCCAATCTTCCATCACTCGATCCATGACCCTGCTCGCAAGTCATCCACCCCACCTGCCGCTTTGACAAGCACAAACGTTGATCGAAAAGAAAAGACATCACTGGCGGAGGAAAGAGCGCTTTTGTCACCATGACGAGCTGGTGGAAGAGGACTTGGCGTTATCTCTCGTCGCATTCCAACTTCTTCGTCGTGGCCGGAGGCCTCGTCGGTGGTGCCTATCTCGTATCTCAGTATGCCATCTCCAAGCTCCAGCAAATCCAGGAGAAGCTCCTCAATGACAAGAATGCAAACGAGAACCTCCGCAGGAGATTCGCTCAAAATCAGGAAGACTGCACTTTCACCGTACTTGCTCTCTTGCCAACTTTAGGCGATCAGCTATTTGCCAAGCATAATGTCGAGGAGCTCACCGAAAGCTTACGTTCTCAAGCAGCTCCTCCCATCTCATCCGCTCCACTCGAACAACCTGCGCCCATCGCTACCAACGACGCCCTCCAAGAATCTGCAGCACCGCCCTCTGAACCCAACCCTGAGATCGCGCAGGACGCACCACAATCCGCCCCGACCCTGGCAGCCGAGCAGCCGACAGCACCACAGCAAACAGACAGCGCAGAAGCACCATCTCCTCAGCTCAATCCTCTTGCTAAGTCGTTCGTCCCCGGTAATCTTACACCGCCCTCCAAGCCAGACCCCGTCTCTGCCGTCAACGGTGCCGAAACCGCAGCGCAGATTGAGGACAAGCCTGAAGAGGCAGCAAAAGCTCCCACCAACGGCACCACATACGCAGAGGCCGCTGCTTCTACAGTCCTAAACGGCACCCACCCGTCGACCTCCGAGTCTCTATCCCTACCATCACAGCCCACCAAAGCTGCCGACGCATCACCTCGGGATGCTGTCGCTCCTGTCAAGCCGGATCACTCGCATCTGGATGCACAAGAGCAGCGCAACAGAATTCTCGCAGAAAAGCAGGCAAAGCTTCGCCTCTGGAACAATCTCAAATTGACTGCCTTTACCCGTACCATCACTTCGCTATACTGTGTCGTCCTCCTCACCCTTCAGACTCATATCCAGCTCAACCTTATCGGTCGTTTCGCCTATCTCGCTTCGGTCCAAGCACTCGCCTGCGAGTCGCCCTCCTTGTCTGACCCTTCGAGCGGCCTCGACCATGACACCGAACGCCTCTACCTTACTTTCAGTTGGTGGTTCCTCCGCCAAGGATGGGACCGACTCTCCGATCGCGTCTCCGCCGCAATCGAAAAGACTTTCTCGCCGCTCTCTGTCAAGGCACAACTTTCCATGGCCGACCTGAGGGCATTACTCAACGATGCACGCTACATCATCGAGCATGATGCACCAACTACTCCTCAGGCCTTAGAACAGCCATCATGGAAGCAATCCAACTTCCTCCAGGTCCTCTTCCCCAACTCGATCGACGAAGAAGTTGATGTACTCGTCGGTGCTGGCGCTCTCGAAGCCGATGGTGCACACTACGCTCTCGCCACAAATCACAAGCTTCGAGCTCTTCTCGACGAGACAAAAGACGTCATCGAGTCCAAAGACTTTGGTACTATCCTTGCACTTTGCATCGACCGCGTCTTCGAGATCTTCTTCGACAGTCTTAACCCTACTTTTGGCATCCAGAAGTCTGGCAAGCTGCACTCGACTATCTCGGTCGAGCCCCTTTCAGCGCTCGAGTCGCGCTTTCAGGAGATCACAGATGAGATGCAACATGGCAAGCGCGTTCGTCTTGCTTCCCTCTTCCCTCTCGTTTCACGACAAAGTCAGATGGCCATCCGTGGCGTTCCCAACGAATACATCGAGGCTCTTGCCGACTCGAAAGAGTTGAGAGCCTTTTCCGCCGTTCTGTATGCTGCCTGGTCATCTTTGTAAAACTATGCGTTTTTCTAATCAATCTTTTCAACTACCAACAGGCGCTTGCGATCTTGCACGGTTCGATGGAGAGGAACCTCGAAAAGAGAGTCTGAATGACAAGCTTGGGTGATGAAATCTCTCGAGTTTTTGGCATTCTACAAGTACAATGGGCGAGTTGTGTTGAGGTCTGAACATCACCAAGTCTCCATCGGTACGCCTTGACTCGCCTGTCCGAGCGACATGAGAACCTTGGCGGATCGTCGTGCGTCCATGAACAACTCGTTGGCCTCTGCAACATCCTTTGTGGTGATCTCGGATCGGCCAGCAGTCTTGGCAAGAATCGACGAGGGGCTCAGCAATTGGAGAGCAAATCTGTAAGCAGCGACCATGGTGAGACAGAGTAGTGATTGTTCAGTTAACGAATCTTGGTTGCAGTGAGCGATTAGACTGTGCTAGCCTTTGCACTTATGTGCTTACCTGAGCGAGCTTTGGACGCCTTCTTCTGTCAACTTCTCGAGAGCATCTTCTGCGATCAGATGCCCTTCGACTTTGGTTCGCAGACGCAAGACTTCCCTGATCTCGTCCTTCTCGTAGGGCATTGTGCGCACGATCATGCATCGGTCGAGGAGATCCAATGGAATGCCGTGAGGAGCAACAATGCCAGTGCCGGATGCGGCACCCTCGTACTCGGTACCACGGACCATGCACTGCCCACGGTTGGTTGCAAGGATCACGTGAGGGCTGATGGTCGATTCGAGGGCTCGATTGAGATAGGTGAAGCATTCCATGTCGAGCATGTGTACCTCATCAATGAACAGGACACCAGGAACAAGCTCGGCAATACCCTGCTCGATGTACTTGTCAACGACCCTGTTGATCTCGCCTCTGAGCTTGTCAGTCACTTCCGTCCTTCGTCCCTTGACAAGCTGGCCAACGACGCTCATGATGTCCTGACCTCCCTGAGGTTTAGCATTGGCCATGTCGAGGTCATGCAGGGTCACGTCTTGCACCACCTCCTTGCGCTTGTGCACCTCTCCTTTTGGCAATGGGACATACTCCTCGGCTTCCAGGTCGAATTCGGTTGCGTAGGCGTCGCTGCGTCCAACGCGCTTAACAGCGCCAGTGTTTGCTTCAATGTAGATGACGTCGCCGACGCTGATGCGCTCCTTCATGATGCTCTCGTAAATGCTTGGGTCCAGTCGCAGCTGCTTAGTTCCCTTGACGGTTTTGAGCGCGATAACTACGTGAGCGATGGTCTTGCCGTAACCGGAAAGCGGGTTCTCTGCTTCGGTTGGTGTGAGCTCTGTGATCTCTCCTTCGTAGACCTCCTTTGTTTCGCGCACTCGCAAGCCGATGGCTCTGCGGAAGTTCTCCATCAAGACTTCGGTCTTCTTGACTTCGGAGCTGTAGACTTCTGATCCGACCATGGGGCAGAACGGCACTTTGTGGCCAAGCTCCTGCGACACCGCAAGAGCAAGAGCAGTCTTACCGGTACCAGGACCTCCGGCAAGAAGCAGAGCCTTTCCTGCGAACTTCTTCATGCGGATCAGGTCGAGAACAAGACCGCAAGCCTATCTCCATGTATATCGGAATGAATTCGGAGTGATGAGCAAATAGGGTCAGCGAATGCTCTCTGCAAGCTGTCTTTGACCTGCATCTACTGTTGGTTCATTGACTTACCTCTCGTGCTGCCTTTTGCCCGACAAAGCCTTGCGCGCTTGGCATTGCGTTGCCATCATCACTGAGACCAAGACCTTTGATGTGCGAGTGAGTTGCGATCCTAGCTTCACGGGAAGCCCCTGAGGTCGTAGCATCCATCGCTACGGGACCGCCTCCTGGCACCGCGGCAGCCGAAACGTTGGCGGTGGCCATGCTTGCTATCTATGCCTTTTGTGGTAGAGCTCGTAGGAGGAGATGTGACAAGATGATGCAGGACCGTGCACTGTTCTCCTATGGATGGTGGCGGAAGGAAGGCTGGAAGGCGCTGGTGATGATCAGGTGCAAGAAGCAAGCAACGCTGAATTCTAAAGACGCACTGTTCAAGATTTGCTGCGAGTCTTCTCGACACGTGATGCGCGAAAATAAAGATCTTAGATGTTAGAGTTTCGACACACGCTCGACCTCAATGACATCTATAAGCTGAACGTCACCACTCTTCGAAACAAGCTTATAGAGCTCACTCTCTGTAAACGAGCCGAAACGACGTCCACATCTTACAAGAAGCCCTCTCGCCACCCCCTCCAGGACAACAGCTGAGTCACAGACTATGAAGCAATCTGTGCGGTGTCACAGGGTCGGCAGACCAGCGCAGGAGAGTGCGCCAAATTGATCAACGGCAGTCATGGGAATGTCGCGCAACGGATCAAGATATGAAGGGTGCGCCAGTTTGACCAGCACCAAACCATTGGGGATCAACGAGATTAATTGGGCTGGCAGTGCATATGAATTACAAGATCAATCGAACCCTGGGGTTCCAGATTAATCTCATGGGGATCAGTCAGATCAGCATGCCTCAACAAGTCAGCCAATATGAGCAAGTACTAGGAGGCATAGTGTCATGGGCCTGAGTGCACAGGAAGCAGGAAGACCCGCTAGTTCATATGAAGGGAGCACAGGAATCAGGGGATTGGGCAGACTGTAGGATTTGCAGCAGGATTCACCAAGATCTGCAGTAGAATCGGCTCTATGACAGAACTCAGTGAGATCGGTATGAACAAGGATGATATCACGAATCCTGATGAGATCAGTAGTAGGAGAGGTTGTATAGTAGATTCTGCAGAGATCAGTGACAAGGATGTTCATATGATGAATTCACATGCAAAGAGGACCAAGCTCACAGGTGAGGAGGACCAAGCTCTGCCAAGATGGGGACCAAGCTCAGTAAATTGCAGCTGGTTACCACTCAGGGGTTCACAAGATAGGAGTCAAGAGAACAGTTGCTGGTTAAGAGGAAGGAGAACTGTGTCACAGACACCAGCATATAGTTCATGAGGAAGAAGAGCTGTGTCGAGGAGGTTGACATGCAGCTCAAGAGGGACAGGAGTAGGGTTACAGGGACTCCTGCATAGCACTTGAGAAAGGAGGTACTCTCTGGAGAGAGAGTTGGAGCAGTGGTGCTGGTGGCACTGCGAAGAGGTATAAAGCCATACCTTCTCATCACTAAGTGGTTGAGTGGATCCTCATCCACTCTACTCACCAAACAAACTAGTATTACTTCAAGCAAATAAGTATCATTAGTTCACAGTCAGCATAGTAGTAATCAACAGATTGCTCCTCATCGAAGTGTGTGTGTTGTATCACCATTTCCTGACATCTGAAGGCAGTTCGTAGCAAACCAGTGGTCTGGATAACAATAGAACCGAAGGCAGACATCCACTGTGGCCCGGGGATCACTTCAAGCATTAGCTGACACACTGGACACTCGTGTTGGTGTCATCAATCCATACTCACACCAGACCATTGGTGTCAACATCAAGCTCACTTAGAGTTGTATCATAGTTTGATCATGCCGAGCTACCTCTGGATGGAGTGTCCACAGCAGTTAGTCGAAATCTGTCATAACGATAATACAACTACAGATTCCAACGAGAAAGGTGACAGAGAAGGCTCTGTCACATATTTCACTAGGAATTGAAATACCATTAGCACTGTCACATAACTCAACAGAATTGGTGATAGTATCAATACTACCACAGATCTCAGGTTTCAGGCATGTGACCACTGACATTAGAGTGGATCGTTCAAGCAGCACCCCACAATCAACATGATGGACAAAAGCCTCAATGATAAGCTCAAGAGGCTACTCTCCTTAATGGAAGCCCAGTTGGCACTTACCAGGCAAGGGCAATGCAAAGAGCATCTATGCTGCACTCATCTGAGTGGAGAGGGGGTGATTGAGCCCTCCCACCCAGAGGATCAAGGGGCTAGGGAAGAGATGATGGGAGACCCTCCCACACCATCCCCAGCGTCATGTCCAAGGCAGGTGGTATCATTTGTGGAACCGAGTGAACTGCCAGTCGACAACTATGACAAGTATGCCTCACCCACTGGGCCCAGATACTTCAGGCCCCATGTGGATCTGTACAACTGGCCAAGGGCAGAACCTCATGGTTTCGACCAGGAGGATGATATGAGCACTGCCGGAGACCCCAGTCTCTCACGCTCCAAGCTGGTTGCCACCCCATTCCCCAAGTTTAATCCTAGAGACATTGAGATTTTCATCCTTGAGGCTGAGGCATGGTTCAAATTCAACCAGGTCTATGAGCAGGCAAGGATGATCAATCATATGGGTGCTCAATTGGAAGGGAATGCTTGCGAATGGTGGCCTTCCAAGCTTTGCATCGACAGAGGCCAAGAAGGAAGACTGTTCAATGATTGGCACTACTTCACTGAGTGCCTGATGGAACAGTTCAATCCTCAGAATGCCAGAATGGAGGCCTACAACAAACTTTTGGCTCTCTGGCTCACAAGCGATGCACCAGGTGCAGCCACACACCACATTGAGCGATTCAGGGACTTAGAAGGACAAGTCAATCTAGATGACAATGAACTAGTTATTGACTTGTTTAGGGGAAGTCTCACATGCAGCCTGCAGGAGAAGTTTGAGCAGAACCCACCTGTGAAGAGGTGGGAATGGTATTGAGAGGTTGAGGAGATCGACCAGCAAAGGATGCTGTTACAGCAGTCCTTGGCCCAGCACCCAAGCACCGCTCCATCGTGACCAAACCCCAGAGGCTGACCTATGCCACCAGCTCAAGGTCCATTCCCTGCTTGGCAATTGACACAGACCTATTCCTGACTGCTGGCACAAACAACAATAGGGAACTTTAGCCAACCAACCAATTGGCTGTTGCCCCATCAATTGGTTCAGGGTCCGAGACAAGGAAGCCCTGCATTACCAAGCAGCAACACTTGTCACTTGTGCAAGGGGCTTGGCCATTGGGCCAGAGATTGCCCAAGCAAGAAGCTGGATGCCTTGGGGCCCTGACCCATGGGCCCGAAGGTAATGGTAACCACAGAAACCTCCTCTGAGGAAGGAGACCTGGACCCAGGGGATAGCCAGACAGATGACCTAGAAACGGTTGACCCCAATGTCCTAGACTTCAGCCAGTATCAACCACCAATGGATGCTGGCCAGGAAGAGGTCCAAGAAGATGTCGACAAGGGAAACGGCAGTGGGGTGATGCACTGATGGTGTGCATCGCTCTACAAACCTCCTCACCATCCTTATGTATATATCAAGATTGCCCCATATGCTTCTCTACCAGTGGAGGAATGGCAGTACTAGAGCTCTCCAGAACAGTTCAAGACCATCTGGCTTGAATACTTGCCGACACCAGCACTGGACTGTCAATAGTTTCAGATTCTTTTATTAGTAAGTACCACATACCCACAAAACCCACAAAAACAAGAACCATCCACAGTGTCACCAGGCATCAGCTTGCCATAAACAGTTCAGCTAGCATTCAAGTTGCTATCGGCAAGCACAGTCTTGGAGTAGTCAAAGCCTTGGTGGCCGATACTGCTGACTATGACCTTATCTTGGGCTTCACCGAGCTAAGAAGGCTCAAACCCACCATACAGTGGGAAATGGGCCAACTGGAGTTCCAGACCCAGGACAAGGACCAACCCCTGAAACGGCCCCCTGAAGAAGCTGTAACTGGGGGACTACATGTGAACTTGGTGAAATCTGTCATAAGAAGTGACTTATTACCGAATTTGGCAAAAGATGTTGTAACTAGCAAGCTAAAACAAGAGCCCACTATAAAAGACAACCTATCACTGAATTCAGCAGGATTGGTGGTAACATGCCTCTATGACAAGAAACCAAAACATCTGACCATTCATGGGAATGAGTTCATTTCAGCAGCAAGCCTGATACAAGCTGCCCTGGAGGACAGACCCATTGGGTTCATGCTCCTGGACCTCCCACCCTCGTCACTCCTGGCCTTCAGGTTTGTACCCACCAGCACTGACAAGGGCATAGAAATGGAAGTAGAGGTTGATCAGAAGGTATCGGCAGAAGATATACCAGAACTGTATCAACATTTGCAGGATGTGTTCAATGAGGTGGAAGCAGATAAGCTGCCCCACCATATGGAACATGATCTTCATCTGGAACTGATGGAAGACAGTAGGCCACCACAGGGCCCACTATACCTCAAGGGGCTGAAGGAAATGGCCGAACTGAGGAAGTACCTCAATGAGAACCTTGCAAAGGGGTTCATACACCCCTCAAAGAGCCCGGCAAGATCTCCGGTGCTCTTTGTGCCCAAAAAGGATGGAGGCCTCAGGCTATGCGTGGACTACCATGGCCTGAATGAAATCACCCTCAAGAATCAGGCGCCGCTGCCCCTCATCGAGGAGCAGCTTTTCCTGCTCTGGAAGGCAAAGATCTATACCAAGTTAGATCTGCAAGCGGCATACAACCTCATCTGCATTGCAAAAGGGGATGAATGGAAGACTGCATTTGGCACACAGTTGGGCCTCTATGAGTACCTGGTGATGCCTTTCGGCCTGGCAAATGCACCAGCCCATTTCCAGTCCTTCATCAATCACATCTTCCAAGACATCATCAGAGTGTTTGTGGTTGTGTACCTGGATGACTTCCTCATCTTCAGTAACACAGAAGGGGAAGATGTCCAACATGTCACGGAAGTGCTCACTCAATTAAGAAGCAATTGACTGTTCACCAAGCTGTCAAAGTGTGAGTTTCACATCACTACAGTTGAGTTCTTGGGGTACATCATCAAACCAACTGGGATTGAGATGGACCCAGAGAAGGTCCGAACTGTCAAGGAATGGCCAATGCCAGAATCAATACATGACATCCAACAATTCCTAGGCTTTGCCAACTTCTATCGGTGATTCAT